CTGGTTTTTCTTATGGTAGTATCCCCTCCCCCCATCCCAACAACCTGTCACATGGACACTAGTTATAGTGAGGTAGGATAACATTCACACTATATGTACAAAAATATAAAATAAATAGAAGCAAAATAATAATCAGAAAGTATATACAATAAATAAAATAAAATAATCTAAAAATAAGACAATTAAAACATAGCAAAAAACATATGTATACCTATATACACTATTTACAATCAGGCGACGGAACTCCGAGGCAGGCTTGCCCCTCTAACTATGGAGGGAAAAGAAGGACTCCAGGAGATCCCTGCGTTACTCCCTCAACCGCAACATTGGTACTAAAGCCAGAGGACAAATTAAAAAAATAATGATGACACTTGTCAAAAATTGTTTATTACCCTCTCCATAATAAATAATAAAAAGTCCCAAAGAAACCACTTTAGGTTTTGATGGAGAGGAGAGGATTGATATGAGAATATCTCAAAAATTATTGGGATTTTAAAAAAAAATGTTGAATACAATATATATATATATTGTATGGAATATTATATTATTCATATTATATTACGTTGAGCGGAAGTTATTATTGCAATAATAACACGTCGTATAACTTTTATTAGAATTATTATAAGCAATTTTCATAGAGAAATATTGTAACATTAAAACGTATTATTATTGTATCGATTCGGAAAATTGGCGACTATCGGATATGATTGTAGATCAGTTGAATGATGTATGTATTATTTCGGTTTGATTCGGCCCGATTTCACACGGCCCGATATATATGTATACATATATATATATATATATATATATATATATATATATATATATTATATATATATATATATATATATATATATATATATATAATATATATATATATATATATATATATATATATATATATATATATAATCTATTTATTTATTGTATATTATAACATTCTGTCACTTGGATATTAGTTATAGTGAGATCGGATCACTAGCGGATTCAGGATTTAATTTTTTTTGGGGGGGAGGAGGACTTCAGCCCGAAAGCTCTCCCTCTCTCCTCCCATAGATCCACCCGTAGATAGGTCACAGTCGCACTATTTGTACAAAAAATATAAAATAAACTGAAGCAAAATAACTGCTATTGTTCTCCAGTAACTAGTCTGCGAGTTCCAGAAGAGTCACCTGGAAGAATAGGAGTCGATATAGATGTTAAGAAAGGTATTGTACTAAGAATAATTCAATAACAATATAAAAAAAAAAAATCGTGAACTAAAACTGCAGAGTTCAACCACTAATGGGCCGTTTACAGTTATAATACGTAGTACAGGCCCCTTTTTATGAAATTATTAATATCCGGCTGAAACTTCGTAAATAGCTTTATCTCATTGTAAACTACAAATATTTTATTTACGAAAATTCTCGTAATTGGGGCCATTTCGATCTGGAGGTCGGTAAACGTTTTCTATTTAATTAGGTACTAAAAACTCGTATTGAGCTATAGGGTTCCACTAAACCATCGAATTCCTCTCGCATCCAATCCTTACAATCCAAAATCCTTCGTAAAATCCTCAATGCTCCTTACTTTGTCACTAATAAAATTATCCATAAAGATCTTAATGTTCCTTATGTTTCAGATCTGGCCCAATCCAGATGCCTATCCTTCCATAATAAACTTCAAAATCATTCCAACCCTCTCGCTTCTAATCTTGCTTCCTCTTCAATTCCTGATAACCCTCCGAGGCGTCTGAAAAGAAGATGGCCCCGTAATCTCCTAATGTAGTCATATCATTAGTGTGCTACCATTTAGGTAGTTACTCAGCAGGTGTATTCATGTCATTATATCTATTATGTCCAAATTTACTAAATGTATTTATGTAATACAGTTGTAAATCTCATTAAGAAATAAAAAAAAAAAAAAAAAAAATTTTCACTTGTATCGTAAAATAATTTGATCACTGAATATAAAAACATTGTCCATTAAACCTGGATATTAATGTTCCATATGTTACTGATTTAGCCCAATCTAGATATCTATCCTTTCATAAGAAATTCCACGCCCATCCAAACCCACTTGTTTCTAATCTTGCATCCTCTTCAATTCCTGACAATCCTTCGAGGCGTGTGAGAAGAAGCTTGCATCGAGACCTTCTAAAATATAACTATTATTGTTGATTAGTTCCTCTACAAGTCTGTCCATATCAATGTACTAATTCACATTTACTTCTATTCTATTTTAGATTGTAAAAAAATTATTGATAGTTCTCAAAGTACAATCAAGTCAATACGCGAGAGGTCAGACAGGCTGTCGCTTAAAAATTAGAAATAAAAATATAAATAATATATAATACTCTAAGAAATAGTGCCATTTTTAACCACCAAAGCATAAAGAAGTAAATTATGCATGTTCGTGTTTATAAATGTTATTGTCACCTATTACGTATCCCATTTTTAACACTGAGTTGACCTTTACCGTCACGGATTATTATCTATAAAAAATTATCTTCGACAGGAAATTTATTTTGTTATTATTATTCTTTAGCTTAAAATCGATTAGTTATCTCAGTCACGCGAAACATAAATATCGATTACAACTACTCCAATGCAATATTATATTATTCATATTATATTTCGTTGAGCGGAAGTAAATTATTGCAATAATAACACGTCATATAACTTTTATTAGAATTATTATAAGCAATTTTCATAGAGAAATATTGTAACACTAAAACGAGTTATTATCGTATCGATTCGGAAAATTGGCGACTATCAGATATGATTGTAGATCAGTTGAATGATGTATGTATTATTTCGGTTTGATTCGGCCCGATTTCATCGCTTAGTCAATAATGTATATTGTGAACAAAAGTGGCTGTACACATTCTCATTTGTTTACTATTACTTATGTATAGTTAGACAAAAAATTGCTTATCCAAGTGTTCAACGGAAATACCCATTTTATAGTACCAAGCCTCGCAAAAACGTCTGAATGTTTCTTTGAATACTGTTTAAAAACTAAAAGCCGTACGAAACTGAAATTGCGTATTTAAAGTAGGTGTATACATGAGATGTTTCATATTTCATATTAACTTAACTAAAATAGAACAGACTTAATAACAACATGATCAAGACTAAAACGATCATCAGGAGGCGACTGAAAAGAAGCTGGATGAGAGATCTCCTTTCCTGAATCAAGGAAGTAAGCAATGACCAGAAAGAGATAGGGATGGCCATAGATAGTCGATATTATCAAAAATTTCTTCCTTTATTCGATATTTTAACATCGATAGTATCTTATTAATAACGCCCCTTCGGTTAGGTTAGGTAACGAGTTGTTCTAGGGCAAGGTTAGTAAAATTACCAGGTTCGCTCACTCAGAGGGAAAATGGTGGGGGGGAATCGAGCTCTGACGTAGCCAATAGACTGATTTTACCCCTCCGGCCTTTCTGGACATTTTAAGATTATTATTTACTTTTCTACATTAAATCAATACTGCATTGCCAAATAACTTATTAATTTTAATAAATTTTAAAGGTGAGAGAAAGATTGATATGATATTTTGTTTATTCCGAAGCAAATAAAATGTAATTTAACAAGTTGATGTATGATTTTTTGCAAAGTACCACAATACTACTTTTTAAATATTTCAAATAAATACAGAGCATAATATAAAATAATAGAAATATTGAAAAAAAAAAAAAGAAAAAGTATTTAATCGAAAATTAAAGAAGCGTTTTCATTCCGTGAAATTTTGTAAATATCACGTTTTTATGTCATAAGTAATCCTATGTAGTGATTTTTCTCAAGTTTTTTGGCTTGGATTTTATTTTTTCTTAATTGTTGTAAAAGTCATAGGATATTTAAAAATTTGATTATATTAAATACCCGTTGCTGAAAGAAAGGTTTTCTTCCTTAATTTTTACACTTTGTTTCCTAAGAAATAGATAGTAATTTTTTTTACAATATTTTTACATTTACATTTTAATATCCAATCTTTTCTTCGAGCGTCCTTTGGAAAAATATGAAATGAGATTTTCTTTCCCATCTTCTTTGCGTCAATTAGATTATTGTTGCAAGATGCAACTGCTCATTTTGTACCTGGCATTCTATAGGATTCTATTAATAATTATGTTATTATGAGAAATACAAGAAATACTAATAAGAACAAACGAATTCTCTGTAACATGATTTTTTAAATTAAATTTGTTTATTTAAAGAAATTTTGACTGTAAATCCTGACAAAGATCTTCACCCTTATAATATTATTGTAATATCGTTATAATATTAAAATACCCACGAGATCTACAAACAAAATTACACAAACATTGGGCTAAAATGTTCTATAATTAAATATAAATCTTAGTTTTTTCTATTTATGTAATATATTTATATATTATTTACATAGATTTTGAAATAAAGAATTTATAAATAATCTTAATATCAATTTCGTTCTTTTCGTTTCACGCCTGGCCTGTAATTTTCATAGCATTTTATTCTAGATTTATAGCCGTATTTATGTATTTATCTACTTGAAATTATCTTCAACCAAACATCAAAAAAACAGAAAAGTATTCTTCTCAATAAATTAAACAAGAAAAAAAAAAAGCACAATAATGTTGAAATAAGCCTTCATTGATAGGCTTGAAAGAGTAATAGGTAGGTCTCGCAGTCTATAACTTGCGGAATGCTTTCTGCCTCAATTAATTATTTGATTAAGTGTACCCACTTAAGTGAGTGTGCGCCAGGAGGTGTACCCTTGAGCTTAGCAGCTCAGCGCCTAACTCATTGAGCAACTCTGCTCCCAGTTAGGTATTAACCTCTTTAAAATAATCCAACAGGACTTAAATACCAAATGTTCAAAATTTCTTTCTCTAATGTTTTTTTTAATAACACTGCAAACATTTGCCTTATACGAAGATGCCATCATATATTATTTCATATATAATAAATATTTAGCTATATTGAAATATATTTGAATGAATATTTATAATTATGTGTAAATTCTATTTAAAGATCGCCTGTATTTCGCCTGCTCGGTCCAGTTTGACGGAAACAATAAGCACACTGAGGTACGCTTCGCGTGCCAAAAAGATAAGGAATAAACCTATTATAGTGATGGTAAGTAATATTAAAAATTTTATTATTCACTAATAAATTATTTTTTCTAATAAATATTATTTTCTACATTATTTGTTTACATTATTTTCAAATAAATATTTGTTCGAATTATTTTTTAATTCTTTAATATTGTTTTTGAATAATTTTTTATTCGTATTTATTATAGACCATACAAATAAAAATTAATATGTCAGGAAGCTCCTTTTTCGAACTATTTATCTGGTTTTTGGCCTTCCGCGTTGTCTCATGTCTTCTAATACGGGCACTCATATTGGGCAGAGGCTTCCTGATGGATTACTCTGAACTAAATGCCGCCCATCGTAACTAAATGCCTTTATATCATGAGATATTGATTGACCAGTTTCTGTAAGCAGTCAGTTATTGTTCTTCTTCCTCCACTATTCTGAACCCAGTTCTGGTTATCTTATCTAGGATTTTCCTCTCAAATCTTTCAATAGTTTTTCTAGAATGCTGGTAAGTCTCTAGGCTTCGCAACCGTATATCAGAACTGGCTTTCTCATAGGAATGTATATCCTTAAGTTTAAATTAAATACCTTTATAATGTCGAGGAAGCTCTCTTAGCACTGATCATTTATTGAGGTTTTTGTGGATTCGAGGTCTTTGAATTTGTCTATACTGGAGAAAGATTTTCTTTCTACACAAATCCTGTTATTGGGGTGGCTTCCATCAAGTATTTTATTTTATTTTCATTTACTTTTTTTTATTTATTTATTGAGAAAAATACATTTTGCCTCAATCAAGGGCATTAAGTATTTGAGATATAAGAAACTCTTTCGTACAATATATAAAATTACAGAAATAAATAGAAATTATAACAAAAATAAGAAAAAGAAACCTTAGTAAAACAGATGAAATAAAATATGATATAACACAAATAAGAAACAAAACAAAAATAAATAAATAAAACATACCCAACTCTAAGAGATCCCAGCGCTTCTCTCTCAGCCGCCTCACTGAGACGAAGATCCAGTGGAGACTGAGAAAGGGCGCTAAAGCCACATACGCTTATGACTTGAGTGGAGAAGCTGGCCATTGCCAGGACTCCAATGACGTATTTACAAAAGATCTCGAGGCCACTGTCTTTTTAACCTTCGATGAGGATTGTAGAGATGGCTGGAGCTGGATAAGGATTGTGCTAAGGGATTATGATGATGGATTAGGTTTTGATGAAAATGTGAGAAACGGGATGGAATAACGTCAATGACATAAGGGATGTTAAGATCATGATGTAGAGTTTTGTTTGTAACATAATAAGGAGCATTTACTATTGTACGAAGGACTTTGGATTGGAAGGATTGGATACGTTTGATGTTCGAAAATTTAGTTGTCCCCCACAGTTCAAGTCCGTAGGTCCAGATGGGTTTCAGTATGGTCTTTTATATCAATAGTTTGTTTTCAATGGAGAGGTTTGATTTTCTGTTAATTAGTCTGTATAACTGGCCAAATCGTCGGTTAAGTTGTTGTCTTTTTAGTCTGGTATGTGGGTTCCATATTTTCATTTACTAGTAGGCAGATTTGCATTTCTTCTCTAATCGAATTCTCTCCAAGAACGAGAATTTTATAGTTCATTCCGAGTGCATCCGTTAATGTTCACTTGTTCATATCACCTTCTAGGGTGAACTGCATTGGCGAGTCCATCTCCTATTCTCTACCAGATTAATATAATCAAAAGTTTGTGCCTCTGATTAATCTATGATGACTACAAGCGATAGCTTAACTGAAATATGATTGAACAGTTAATCAAGAGCTTTTAAAGCATTAGTTTTATTTTAGTATAATTACTATAATCAAAGCGATCTCACATTTTGATCTGATTATTTTCAGGACCCGAGAGAAGCATTGATAATAAGTTTGAAAAGAGAAGTGGAGGCGCTTCAGAACGAAAATAACCACTTACGAGCTGCTTTGAGGCTCAGCGCGGACGCCATTGCTAATGGGCCAAGCCTTTCAGGTAACAATTGGCAGATTATTTCTTAGGACTTGACCGAAACGAGTTTTGACCATCACTGTAGGCGCATGCGCAATAGTTTTTTCCGTTCTTAAATCCGCAACACGCATGCAATTTAAACGAAAAATATCTGGTGTGTCCACTCACACGACTTCCCTACCTATTTCAGAAAAGTTATAAGTTCATGAAGAAACAAAAAAAAATTGAACTAGATTTATTTTTCTCAAAATTGATCAAAGAAAAGATTTGAGTACGATTTATTTGCTAAATTAAAGCAATGTAAACCGGCTTAAGTTAGATCAGTTTAAAAATTTTAATACTCTCTAATATTTTGCCATAGCTTAGTATTTGCAAACAATAATTTCTGTTAAAAGTAGAGGAAATAGTGAAGCTTGTGTGATGCGGGCAACAGATTTCCTTACTTTCATTTTGTCATCTTTGTTCTCTCATTCATCCCTTTCTGACACCAGGATATGAACCCGTAATCTTATATTGGAAATTTAATAGCTGTAACTTCGTTAATAGTTGTCCAAAATGAACGATTTTTATATACTTTTATAGGGGATTTCATTACCTTTCAAACTACAGGCTAAAAATGTATGACTGAAACGTATAGATCCGTCGAAAACCGCATATCGGAAATTTGACCCGATTGCAATACTTTCCTTACCTAGTATAGGTAGGAAAGTAAAAATATACTCCGCAGTTTGCTGATCTACAAAACTCGTATTGGGACCAAGCTATTATTACGGATTTAATTTTTTTTTTTAAATTATAAGGTTATTTTTGAATCATTACCAAACAAAAAAATAAATAGAAATTTCAATGCAGAAATGTAAGAGTGGCTTCATATAAAGAAAGACATCCGTCATTTTTAAAAGGTTGAGAAAAAGCCAATTTTTTTGCACTATAGCTTCACTTTAGACTAATTCTAATGATATTTTTCATTATTAAACTTGAACATTCTTAGAGAAAACCATCGGAAACAGTTTTCTTTAAACCTATAAAACAAAAATTGATCTTTTCTACACTTTTCTGAAAATGACTGATAACTCTCTTTAAAATGAAATCGTTCAATTAGATTTAAAAACCTATAAAGAACGACCAGTAAATAAATTATGCATTACAATTATTAACTTTATTAAGGCTCACTTGGAATCTCCATATCAGACTGAAAAGACAAGAAACTGCCCGACGTTTTCGACTACTTCAGCACTTACTAGACAAACGCTCAATATTTAATTAAAAAAGACTCATATATATTAATTAAATTAGTGAATACTTTGATGAAATTTCCTTTTGTCATATTCCAATAATATCCACTTACAATTACTGTGACAACTTTTGACCTGTATATGACAGACAATGCAAATCTCTTAATTCCGTTTTAGTAAACTTTGCAATGAAAAATAACAGTTTAATAACTAATAGTCGTACAATCCATAATCAACGGATCGTACAATCCATAATAAGCCAGTGATATAATAAACAGGACTTTTGTTATTTTAATGGTGTTTATAATTTGTTATCTGTAATCTTTTAGCTTTAGCTCAGTCAAAAATGAAATTCAAAAATTTATATACCCCAACATGGCCAGAAAATAATTTTTATTCAAAGTTGAGCGGTAAGTGAAAGTTGTTTATTGCGCACACCAGATTTTTGGTTTATTATTTTCAATAACCAACCATTTTGATCGACCAAAAAATTCAAAAACTGAACCCCCTCTCAAAATTTGAGGTTTCACATTTCAGGACGCGTAGAGTTCGAAAAACGAATACAAATTTTTTTGTCCGTCCGCCGTCCGCGCATTTTCTCTGAAACTACTGGACCGATTTTTTTCCAAATTTTGATATAAAATCAGAGCTCACCCGAGGATGATGCTCCTTCATCGACATTACTATCTGCCTTTAACTTTCAAAATGGCGGCCGAAAAACCTGCGTTGCTATAGACTGTAGCTCCTAAACGAATGTACAGATGTCAATGAAACTTCCCTAAAGTCAATTTCTCGACGCCCTTTAAATTTATCTATATAACATACTTCAACGAAAAGAAGCTGGAAAAATAGTTACGAAGAGTGGTAAAATTAAATTCGGAATAACTCAAAAAGTACATACTATTTTGTCGATTTTGCGAAATTTCCTAAAAACAAAAAAATAATCGTTAAAATCGGACTATTAGGAGCAAAGATATGGTCTCAGGTTTTTTTTATATGTTCTATTCCAAATGTTATATCCTTGGTTTGGTTTTTAAATTTTGAATGTGTTACTGAACGAATGCTATTTTTTTTTTTTAGCGTATTACTAATGATTAAAGAATAACAGTTTAGTCCAATAATTGGAATCACCTTTTGTTTTTTTTTCTTTGTAACTCGGAAGGTAATGTTACTTTAGATGTATAATTGTTTGGAAATAATAAACCATTGTGAAATAATTTGCAGCGTTTTTCTCTTCAAAACAAACAATAATCAATCTTATTTTAGCTCGAAAACGGCCTTTAAGTTTATTTCTTTCCAAAAGGGACCATAATCGAGTTTCAATGTTTTTAATTACTACTCGAATAATCAGTGATTTTCAGAAACATATACTACAAATAAGGAATTTCTTAATTCATTTTTTTTTTTTAATATTGGTTTTGATATTATAATTGAGAGAGAAAACATATTTTTTCAAGCTTTCTGAAAAATAGCTTATAATTATTAGGGATTACTTAGAATATACGACTTATACATAACGAAATAACCTAGTTTTCCTTTACATGTACCATCCCATTTATCTGCTAAAAGAGGCCATAAAAACTTCATAATGTGAAAGAATTGTTATGGTTTCATATTTCAATAAACTATTTTCACTCCTTTTCTTTAGAATCAGCTGTGATAATTTCAACTGATGACTTAACCTCTATACAGTTATAATTACATAAAAATATATTCAATTACATAATTATTCGTTGTCGTTATATAAGCATAAAGTCACAATTACGTAAATGTAATCATTATATAAATATGCAAAGACAAAACAGTTTTTCTCTTCGGTTTCTCAAAAAAAATTCTCTCTCTTTTCTTTTTCTTTTTTTTTTTTTATTATGAGAGAACAGATGGTCCGGAGTGGCGGTCATACATATCTTCAGCTATTTTAAACTATTTTATTCAATCTACGTTTCGATGCACTTTACAAGCCATCATCAGAGCTAAAAATGAACAATATATAAAAAAAGTGCACAATAATTTAAAAATTTAAAGTGAAAATAAATGAGATCTAGAAATGGAAATAAATATTAATTATATTATAAAGGAAGGTGATGGTCTGGGATAGCGGTCATAAATAGGCTAAATAGTGGTAAAACTATTTTATTGAAAGCCGACGTTTCAACCCGACTTTGCTGGTCTTCTTCAGGGAGGTGTGTTCAGCTAGGAGTTTCACTTAAAACTGAAATGAAACTCTAGTTCTAAGTGAAACTCCTAGCTGAATATTAATTGTAGATGAACTATGAGAGAACAGAGTAATGGTAAGGACGTACAAAATCAATTATAACTAATATAGAATGAATATTTTTTTTTTTATATTATACACTAATATCAGCAGGATAGTTCCGTAAGTAAGGTATTATTTTCTTCATCTTCTCCATGATTATTAATATGGTGACTATTCAATACAGAACCATTTGCTCTGTCTACATAATTTTTTAATGGATCTCGAATTTTTATCTATATATATATATATATATATAAAAATGAATGTATGTCTGTCTGTTTGTGCTTTGTTCATTAATAAACCATTCATCCGATCGCCATGAAACTTTGGGAATTTGTTCCGTACACTCCTGGGAAGGTTTCTGGCATAGTACTTCTGTCTTAAGATAATTTTATATATGTAAAAAAAATAAAAATGTAAATGTTTTTCTGTTCAAAGCCGCAAAAAAATGTGTCGCTATAAAATGTAGCGCCAAAACGGCTTTACCGATTTTAACGGAACTTGGCTAAAGTCTTCCCCTTGAAACCCTTTTAATATATGTGTATAACATACTTTCCCGAAAACAAGCTGAAAAATGTTACGATGAATTCAATATTTTATTTGACGATAGCTAAAAAAGTACAGAATTTTTGACCCTGATAATACCTATATGTATATGAAAGATTTCTGAATTGCTGACAAAATAGAAAAAAATCACCGAAATCGGACGGTTCGTTGTAGAGTTTAGAGTTTTAAACATTTACTGCTTTCTCTTCAGAAAAGGCCATTTCTATTTTGCTTCCTTACTACCGAAGGTAAGCAAGCATTTTTTTTTTTTTTTTTATTGATTAATCGAAAATTTTATAATTACTGCAGTAATTGAAATTATCTTCTGAAGAAGTTTTATGATTCTCCTTATGTAGGCCAATACTATTATACATTCTTTATGTTAATTTTTTATTTTAGTTTTATAAATTCAACTCAGACTGTTTCTCATGATTATGAATGACGGCGTATTCACTCAGATGATTATGAATGTTCAATTTGAATCATGAGGAAAAAAATCATTAGAATCAGTTTAAATTGAAGCCATTTTACAGACAAATTTGTTTCCCGACTTTTTAAAAATGACAGATGTCCTTTGCTACTAATCTACTCATATGTGCTTTCTATTTTCTTTCTTTTTCATTTTGCCAGGCTAAGCCACAGAAGCGCGTGGCCGGGCAAAGCTAGTATTATATAAAAACAATACACTATGATAAAATTAAAAAATAATAAGTTTATAATTATTTTCTTGATTTATTAAAAAATAGATTATCTCTTTTGCAGCTAGCAGAGTTCATCTGAATACGCCGCTCAAAGTCGACTTCGACCATTTATCTCAAATGGAAAAATCGGAAATGGTAGAATTAGTGAAGCATTATTCCAATGAGAACAACGCACTAAGAAAAGAAAATTCTGAACTCTTCGCTGTTCGAGACCTCCTGATCCGGGATCAAGAACTGGTTTGCAGAGAAAATGAAAGGCTGCTTAAGAAGCTGGAAGATGTCAATTCGTGAGTCAAATTGTATTTATAATATAAAATAATAATATAAAAATAGATGTATTTTCTGTAGGTTGCCAATTTCCCTACGATTGATGCCGCATTGCCCACTTCTCAAGAAATTTTATTGCTTTCCTCTTCTCAAAAACTGCAAGCGAAAGTACAAAAAATTGTAGTTCATATTTAATATATTTTTTTTTTTTTTTATGTTATCCCCAAACTCGCCATTTCTGGCATATGGGAGAAGTTATTCTAGAGGTATTACCAAACATATTCTAATTAAATTGGAGAGTTCTAGATTTAATTCGAGGGTCCATCGTGAAATAAATTTGCAATTTAAATCCTGTTATAGAACATCAATCAGAATTAAACCTACATTTTATTTAAAACTGCTTAATTTTACACAGATATGAGCCCTTTATTTTGAAAGTGGCCTACCCCCATTTATCTTCGAATCGAGATATTTAAGGGTTTGCGTTTCGATGAATTTAAAAATATACGTATAGGATACTAATGAGTCATACTGCTTAAGTGTATCTAAGGGTGTTAAATTTATGGTTCCTATTAAAATAGTAACAATTATTAAGTGAATAATGTGCGTTTTCTTATCAAGAATGGAGTTAGGGCACTTACAAACATACATTAAGATGCTTCAAATCGAAAAACAAAATACTCAATTTATTTTACATATCTTTAAAACACTTCGGAAAAAAACAATTTATACGATTTAAAACATTTTTCAATTACATAACATACAAAATTACGAACATTTTATTAACAAACAATTTACTATTCATCTACATTTTCCTCAAGAAAGGGATTTGAAGTAGTTATGATGTTCCGGTGGTATATATCGCAATAGGTCAATTGTGTCCTTAAATTTTGTTGTTGTAATTTATCTGATATTTTTATAAAGTGGTGTCAATACAATATTTTCGAATTTTCTTGGTCTACCCCGACGTGGTAATAAATTCAGGACTTTAAAATTTTCATTCTCATTCATTGTTGTCTTATAGAAAATATTATACACGTCATTTCTGACACTAGCGGATCCAGGATTTAATTTTGGAGGGGGGCTTCAGCCCGGAAGATTTTTTTTTTCATAAAAATAACGATATTTACTTTGGAAAAACAGAAAGAAAATAACTATCTATAAGAAATGGTGTTTAAGTGATTCCTTAAGTCCTTTTAAATGTAATTAAACCAACAATAATACTTTAAGAGGTATTTTTTCATTTTTTTCTCTCATAAAATGTGGTTATGTTTTACCATTTTGGGAGGGGCTTCAGCCCGAAAGCCCCCCCCCCCGTAGATCCGTCCGTGATTTCTGATAAAACGCATCCAAATTATTTGTAACCAGTTTACTAATTCTCCGTCAGAATTCTTTATCCTTTTAAAAATTGCGTCTTCTAATAATTTTGTCGATACAAAATATTTTTGTCCCATTTCATTTACAATAAAATTATCAAATAAAATTTTCATATCCAACATTATCAATAGTAAATATCTTGATGTAAGTATAAAATAAATGGAGTTAGACCATTTTCAAACTACACGGTTCAGTTAGTGAACTAATTCTGAAAAATTATGTATCAAAAATTTATCGTATTTGCTCAGAATATAAGCAACCTGAAATGTTTTATTGATATATAGTATGGAGTTGTACATGTAACCATGGTAACTGCCCAAAAATTGAAAAACGGAATTAGGAAACTTTCAAAATAAACGGCTCATATAATGAATTTAATCAAAACCATTAGAACCGTTTTCGATAAAATCGTAAACATGTATTTAGTCCATGATATAAAGTGTCACTTCGGTCAGCCGATTTTGACGAAAAAGTTGCTGTAACATCCCAGGCATATAAAAACCTTAAATATGCAATTTCACTTTCTTACGACTTTTCGTTTTTGAGCTATACTGTTAACACACACACACATGTTTTCACACATGACCTCAAAACATGTTTTTCTGTTGAAAACTCAGATTCGAAAATTTTCTCGATCGCCACACTTCTCCTTACTATATATTTCATATATAGGTAGGTGAAATTAAAAATATATAAACGACTTCTATGGAAAAGTCTTTGTGTTTTATTTTTTCGCTATTGAAAAAGTTTTTTGGTACCCTCCTCAAAAATTGTTGTTCTGGGTTTCCCTGATTCTCTGTCTCAACCTGGGTCAATTAATGTACTGCTCTTAATTTTATTATTATTAAAGCTTTATATATTTATATTTAATTTATAACCATGTTTTTCATATTTTTAATTATGTTTTTTTTAAAACAAAATGATACCCAAAATGTAAATAAATGGGCCATTTTTAGGGATGATTTTTTTCTCCAATTTTATAACATTTCTAAATTTAATTTTTTCAAAATTAGTAAAATCGATTGCACTTTTTTCTTTTCTTTTTTAGATTACCGAACCAAGCACCTGAAACCATGAAAATACTTAATAAGGCCCTCGTTCATAGACTGAAGAATTTATAACGACAAAACAATTATAAAAAAAAATTAAATAAAATTGAAATTTATAAATAAAAAAATGAAAAACTTGTGTACCATTTATATATATTTAATAGAAATAAATAATAAATAAATAAATTTTAGAGTTTGTATTCGATCACCTATTATTCCTGCAAGGCCTGCGGCTTCGGCAGAAATGTTAAATTCTTCTTTTTCATCGACAGACACAGAAGGAAGTCAAATTTGGATAAATCCAAATTCGCAAACGACTGGTTCATTACAGGATTTGAGATCGACCCAGGTACTCATTCATTTATGATTTTGCTTAATTTAAGTTAACATTTAATTGTTGTAAGTTGAGGAAGTTGTATCTTTGCAGTTTTTTTTTACAGGAACCTTAGCTCCTGTTGCTTTAAATATGAAAATTGTACTGCCTATTCAAAATTACATACACAGACAAATAAACTTTCTTGAGATTTGACACTGTTATAGACCAAGAACGATTTATTGGTGCCCCGAAAATGTGAACAAAATATTTTCTTTGGTAACTCTATATTTCGAAAAAGGCTCATTAGATTCTATCCATAGTAGGAGAAAATTTTGAAAATCTTATATATTATTTCTAAAAGGTGTACATTCCTTCACATGCGGAAAATAGTCCTATTCCCTCCCCCCTCCTCTGCGAAATTTCTGTAAAAAAAGTTATGAAGGAAAAGAAACTTTGCATTTTTTTCTTGATTGTACTCATGATAATTAGAAAGATTCCTGCAAAACAAAAAAAAATCGTAAAAATGACTAGAATTATGTATAATTTGTATTGACGGAAGGAATAAAGTGTGTTGAAATATTTTTTTAGGGAGAAACAGAGTTGAGATTTGTATTTCGCAGCTCGAAAGACCCTCGAATACGAATTTTCATTGCGAACTGTAGTCCAAAATCACAAAAACAGTGTTATAACTTCAATATTCTTCTACATATTCACACGAAATTTTGCAGGGATATAGGGCTTTATAAACTACACGAAATGACACAAACTTTACCTTCCTAAATAATTTAGAACTCAACTTATAAAATAAAAACCTGTTAGGAGTTTTTATTTATTTACTCTTTATAGACGTGTTAAATCAAAAAGTTATTTATACGGTCTTGAAGAGCGATAATTCAGCTTTCCACCTGTTGTAGAAACATTGAATCAGGATAAAATCCTGAGGAGTTATGAATGTTTTAGTTAACGGCAGACAAAACATTATAATGAAAAGCGAAGTCGTTGCCATGACGACTATCTCAGAACAGCTCTTCCATTCTATATATTATTTCTAAAAGTTGTTTTTTTTTTGTCTGTACGCCATAACTTCGTCAATTCTTCTTCAAATCCAATGATTAACCACTCATTTTGAAGACATTCTTCTGCTTCACATACGAAAAATAGTCCTGTCCCTCCGAAATTTCTAGAAAAAGTTATGAAGAAAAAGAAACTTTATTTGCGAATAACTCAAAAAGTATGCATTTTTTGTTATTGTACCCATGATAGTTAGAAAGATTACTAAATTACCTACAAAACAAAAAAAAATCGGACAATTATTAACAAAGATACAGTCCATTAGTTTTGGTATGCTTAATAATGTCTACCTGTTTAAAGATATTGCATTTAGGAGTAGAATAGTCTACTACACTGTTTTTCCTGGCTGATATATCAACTTTATTATTTCTTAAAGACATTTGGTTGTTCTTACATTTTATTTTATTTAATAATTTATAAAATCCTATGATCAATGCTTCATTTTGTCTCTATTACCTTTATTATCTTTCTAGTCAGCGTTTAAAAATAGGTCCTAGCAAAGCAATTTGTACAAATATTTTTGTCTATTATGTTAAATGGTATATTGAAATCGGCCAAGGAAAAAATATTAATTCCTTCCTTACATAATACATACGAACTACTTATTTCCATATTGTTTTGCTATTTTTTCGGTAAACAAAATTTTTTGCGAATTATTCACACGGGCCAACTAATCATTATATAACAGAGGCAAAGATAAAACAGTTCAGTTCCTTTTTCACGTGTTTCTCAACCTATATTCTTTTTTCTTTTTTTTTAGCAGCTGTTAAAGAGTTTATTGTTATCAATAAAAAAAATTGGAAACAGTGTATATAAATAAAAATGTAAATGTTACAATTAGTGTAATTAAATGTTACAATCAAATTCAGAATAATTTTAATGTACATTTCATTCTTTTTCTATTGCATAATGTTGAAATGAAACAATTTATACCATCCGAAGATGGAAAGTGGGTTTAAATATTTTTTTAAATTGGAAAACCAAGTTAAGATTTGTACTTCGAACTTAGGAAAAAACCTCAAATAGGAATTTTCATTACAATCGAAAATTAAAAAAAAAATCGTTTTGCTCAAATGAGCATGTGGATTAACGTATTGGTTTATTATTTTCAATAATGAAACATTGTGATCGACCAAAAAATTCAAAAACATAACCCCCTCTCCTTGAGGTTTCACGTTTCAAGATGCGTAGAATTCGAAAAACGAATAAAAATGTTTTTGTCCGTCCGCCGTCCGTGCATTTTCTCCGAAACTACTGGACCGATTTTTTTCAAATTTTGATATAAAATCAGAGGTCACCCGAGAATGATCCTCCTTCATCGACATTACTCTCCGCCTTTAACTTTCAAAATGACGGTCGAAAAAACCTGCGTTGCTGTAGACTGTAGCTCCTAAACGAATGTACAGATTTCAATGAAACTTCGCTAAAGTCATTTTCTCGACGCCCTTTAAATTTATCTAAATAACATACTTCAAGTTTGTTTTTATGTGTTCTACTCCAAATGTTATATCCTTGGTTTGGTTTTTAAATTTTAAATGTGTTACTGAAATAATGCTATTTTTTTTAGCATATCATTAATGATTAAAGAAAAACAGTTTAGTCCAATAATTGGAATCACCTTTTGTTTTGTTTTCTTTGTAACTCGGAAGGTAATGTTACTTAAGATGTATAATTGTTTGGAGATAATAAACCATTGTGAAATCATTTGCAGCGTTTTTTGTTTTTTTTTTAAATGGTAAGATACTGACCCAATTTGTAATTTTTTTTTTTATAGGCATTTATTTTACCATTAAAATGAACGAAAAGAATATTGTAAGAATCAACTTCTAATTCAAGCAACTAAAACGGGCGTAATAATCTAGCAATTTATCGACCTAAAACCCCTACCCTACCTACCTCTAATTCAATTTTTATTTTTATGATAATTTGTCGCCTTTGATAAGGGCGACTCATTTTATTTAAATTATGCTCAGATATGACATATTCAGTTAATTTATTTCAAAAATTTGATTTTTTTTTCTATTTTCAGAATTTAGGTAGATCGGCGTACAGTGAAGATATGAGACGAAGCAAGATTCCTCTGGCTATTGAAAAAGAACTAGACAAAAGGCAGATTGGTATTAGGAACTTCTAGCTTTTATTTTTATTTATTCATCTTATTTTCACACAATTGAAAAAATATATATAAATATTTTATTTAAATATTGTCCTACTAGATTAAATATTTAAATTCAAACCATTTAAAACTAGTCAGTGTTATTAAAATGTAAATAAAAACTACATTAAATATATATTTTGAATAAAGACATACTTACAAATGTAAATAAAAGCAAAGAATACGCTGCATTTCCTTTACCCTTTTCATTCCTTTATTTTCTATTATTATTTTAAGGTTAGTTCCTGATAAAGTAATTGCTCCATAATTAGTTACAGAATTTATACAATTTTTCTTAACTTTAATTTAACAAAAGATCACGCCTATAGCAGACCCAGCAAGGTAGGGATGGTTCAGAAATATTGGAACTGTTACTTTTTTATTACGTATGTGCTAAATAAACTTAACAGATCCACCTGTTACTGATTTTTAGAAATAACAGTTACGGCGTATGATTATTTCATCCCAGCATTGTAATCTTCTTTACCTGTTCCAGAAATACTAGCTAATACCTAAAGCTATAACCGATATTTCCACTAGTAGTTCCGAGTTCCAGATTGGGACAAAATAAGTATGATTCTCCTTGCCTATTACCAAAAATAGCTATATACACACTATGTAGCTTTATATGTTTTGAAACTTGTTGTACACCTTCTATATTTTAATTCATGATTAATAATAAATCATAAATTAAATTAAATTCATTAAAGAAATTAAATCTAATGATGCAATCTATTAATGATGGAATTCGTAATCAGCACAAATAAAAATAAAGAAAAGCAATAAGAATACTTTCAGACCTCCTCCAAAACTTTTTTAAAGACTTAAGGAATCCATCTATCGAATATATGCAGAGTTTAGGAACAACCTCCTATATTCCAGTGGAAAGTTAATACTTCTAGAAAGTTTCAAAACACATAAATAATGAAAAATACATAAAAGAATTATTTATCTACAGAATTGTAGTTTTACAACAGAAATATACTTAGAAAGAAAACTAAATGTAAATATGTACAGTAAATTGAGAAATAACGACACTGATGTGTAAGCTATGAATTCTTCGAACACAAAAGACAATGGAACAGCTAAGCGGTAGTCATTCAATGGATGAATAAAGAAATGCGATGAATTCCTTTTATGGATTCATAGAAGATTTTAGGAAACTACAAATTGATTTCAGATGTCCATCAATGAGGTATTTTTATGATTAGTTTTGTTGTGTAATTTATTTCACTTTTGGCTGCACCCCCAACTAACTTCAATGAAATTCTCAGCATGTGAAAGCCACAATTCTTTAACAACCAACTAGATTGATCAGCCACACTAAACTTCAAAATAATCGATTATATATTCTTTCTCTACTTTATTTATGTTTCCTCAAGATTAACACTCTTCTAGAATAGGTATTAAAATCATCAAATTAATTACAGTTCTTTATCTGTTCATTAAATATTAATTTGAAAAAAAAAATCAAAATGTTAACAATACAAATAATAATGGAATGTATTATGAGAGGATTATTTGATTTCTTGGTCAAATTGGTTCATTCAAAATAATAAAACAAACATATTTACAAATTACAATAGGCAATTAATAATAATTACAAAAGTACTCTAATTGTAATAAACATATAACAAGACACATCTATGTAAAATGATATATAATTAATATGAATTGGTAAAAAAACTCACCACGACACAGAAATTCAATTTTAGGTTATTATTGGAAAAATTCTAACCCACATAGCCTTATGTCTTCAAAATGCAACTAAAGCAAAAATTCTATAAAAAAAAAACAATCAACGTTTAGGCAATTCAGACATCAGGATAGAAAAGAAAAACAAATCTAAGAAATCAATTCAGGATATCCATTCCTTTAAAGCTACCTTAACTTCCTTCCATTATGTGATTGGAGGTCATATATTTTTTTTTTCTGTAGTGTTCTGATGATTGTTGAAAAGTTCTTTTTTTTTCTTTTTTTTTTTTTGTTTATGCCTTACCTGTATTTTGTAGACATAAGACTCTATGGATGGAATTTTTCCAATCATAACCTAATATAAATTAATATTAATTTTCCAAGAAAATAAAAAAAAAGTCTGTACAGTGTTCTGAAATAACGATGTGCGTAATCATTAAGAAAAAGAAAGTAATATAAATTTTAAAGAACTTCAACAAATTATGTCAATGGGCAAGAAATACAAGGCAATGAGGAAAAATGATATTGCATTAATAGATGGTTTTTTTTTTTAGATTCTACATCAATAACTTCTATTTATAGATTTCTAATATTTATTCATGGTTTCCCTTTGTTGGAATTCCAATAAACACAAAAGAAAAATAAGTACAATACCAAAAATGCAGTATACCACATCATCAATATCTTAAATTATTATTTTAAGGAACAAAATCCAATAATTACATTTTATTTAAGATTTTAAATGCACTTTTTCACCTTTCACCTGTCATTACAAGCAGGTCTAGGGAAGGGAGAAGGGTGAGGGGGGGGGGGACTTTCAGACTGAAGCTCCCCTCTCCCAAAATATAAACATATTTATGATAAAAAATATTTAAAAAGTATCTCTTAAAGTATTATTGTTATTGTAATTACATTTAATATGACTTCAAGAATCACTTAAATACTATTTAATATAGTTAGTATCTTTCTTTTTTTCCAAAGTAATTATCATTAAATATATGAAAAAAAACCATGGGGCAAAAGTCATCAATAACTCACCTAATGGGGGTATTGTTTCCATATTGGTAATTATATTCATTGTATGATGATAAAAAATAATTAATATGCTCAACAATTTTGAACATCGTAATTATATGAGTTGAATAGATAACTTCTAGATATCATTATTTTTCTATGTCACTTTCCTATGTTCTTTGCCTTTTTATTTCTTTCATTATTTGTATATACCAATTTTATTCTTTATTTGTGTGAGAACTTGAAATATCAACATCAAATTAGTTTAATTTTAGTTACTAAATTGTAAATTACTTCAGATATTGAGAGGGGATGAGTGTGTAGCAGAATTAAAATTAATCAAAGGAGGAAAATATGGATATAATATAATTTAGTAATAATAATAATATTCATCATAATGAATAGTTAACGAAAATGAAAATAAATGTATTAAATTATGGTGATTGATAAACTGATAAGTATTCAAAGCAGGGCCTCCACTTGGGGAAAAAAGTTCCCTTTTAGGAAAATTCCAAGATTGAGAGGGGGTGAAAACTGAAATAATTTTTATCTATCATAATCTAATCACAGTTTAATCTATTTTTTTTTTTAAATAAAATAAGTAAAAGACATAAAACTAGTAGTTACATATAATGCTACGTCAGAGGTGCCCATCTCTCTCAAGATTAATGGCACATTTCTCTCCTCCCCATGATATTTTATTGCTTACATCTTCTTAAAAACAATGCAAGCAAATATTTGAATATTTTCATTCCAAAATTCATAAACCCGTCGAAATGTGCCCCCTCAAAAATTTTGATGGCGCAACTGGCCCCTTGAAACTCCCTTCTGGGCACCCCTTTGCTACGTATTACTTTGTACATAGTGGGTGGATTTTTAAGTTCATTCAGAGGGAAAATCAGAATGATCTAAGAGAAAATTAAAAAAAAAAAATGGAAAAATCATAGAGTAATATAGCAAGATTTGCAAGCAAAAAAGAATTTGGGGAACTTGTAAATAAAATATTTCACCCAATTAATATTAATTAAATTCACAGAAAATAAAAATACATCACAAATTTTGTAATTTGTTATTTTCATTGCAATTAAAATATTATTAAGGACAGTAACGGTTTCAGGACTCAATTTTTGAGGTCTAACCTTTTTTTTTTTAAACTATTATTAACTTTTTTTAACTACATAAAGAGAGCATATTGTAATTGTTTAAATATTTGGCTCAGACCATTCATAGAAACAAGAATGTACCAATGAAAAAAAATAAAAATTTTTTAATAAAAAAATGGGAGGTTTCAGCCATAAAGCTCGCTCTTATGAATCCACTTGTACATAAGGATAATGATAAAAAAAAAATCTGATAACCAGTAGTAATCTGATAATCAATACCTGAACTACAATATTATTGTAGAATTGTAAATAATTCTATAAAACATATGAGAAAGTTTCCTAATTCTTTAACAAAATACAAATTATTAACTTAAATGTGCAGTGCATCGATTAAATGTATTTATACAGCTATAAATAAAAAAAAAATTGAAGTTAAAACTATAATCTGATGGCAAGATACAAAATTAATATAACTGATAAATTAGTAAAAATGGCTCATTTGATTGGTATAATGATGTTGATTTTTTAAGAAAAAGTTTGCATTAAAATGTTGTTTAACCACTAAAATATATATAACTTGAAAATCTATTTAGCCTTCACTGTATTTGAATTTCAATAGCCTTTAAGATATTTTCATTATTTTATATATTGTTAATGTAAGTGTTGACCAATTTCATGAACACACTAGCAAATTTAAATACAAATATTAGAATTATTAGTTTCTACTTCTAAAGAAAAACAAATTTTAAATTACCATCCTACTTATATTATATAATAAACTTAATACGTCCCCAGTAATGAATTAATGGATAAAATGAGTTAGTGAAAGCAATTTTCAAAATAACTAACGCACAAGTTAAATATAAAAAAAAAACTTGTACCACTACAACCCATGAAGGGTCTTGGGTTCAGTACTACTTAGGGAAAGCAATGTTTAAATACAATAAATTTATTTATGTTCTAGGGTTTTGCAAGGTGATTGGACTGAGATCATGCTCAACCACCAGGTTTTTCTTCTTAATTAAGGGAACCCACTTTATATAGGCTGGATGTGCCGCAGGAGGGTCTACCTTCTCAGGGTCGCCCCATGGCCAATGAAACAGAATAAATAATTTATCTGCCATAAGCCAGGATTCGAACCTTTAGTATTTTAAGCTCAGTACTAACTTGAATATAACAATTACAAATTCATATAATTGAACAAAATAGAAATTCCCAATTAAAAGATAACTGCATTATTTTGAATTAGACCAGTTATAATTTTAATATATCTAGTTTTTACAAATGCAAACTTAAAAAAAAAAAAATTTATACTGAAATGAAGATGGAAGCATTTGTTTAGATGAGATTTAATGTACGAAAATATGAAGGCAAATATTTTTGGTAGTACAATAATCGTCCCTCAGGATAACAATTAATCACTATAATTATTATTTTTAAAAGTAAAGGTATAAAATAAATATTTTTAAATGTAAAGGTATAAAATAAATATTTTTTCAACTAAATTAGTATTTATTTCTTTACTATAATTCTAAAATTATTAAATTTATAGAATACCGTGATAAAAATATTAAAACCGATGAAATTATTGAAATTTTATTCAAATTATGTTAATAAACTAGTTGAACTCACATAAAATAATTACCAATATATAGACTTAATTCTTCATTAAAATGGCTGATTAACAACATAACATTAAAAAATGAAATATTAGCAAACAAAAAAAATCTTATATTCAAAAATGAAATGTAATAATGGATTTATCAATCGTGTATTCAGCCAACACACTTGAAATTTAATTTAGACTCACCATGAATTTAACAAAAAAATTCTTTTGGGGAAAAGCAAGAATTCTTCTCTAAAATACTATTTATTTCATTCAATACATTTTAAGGATACAATTATAACAAAGCCCAATTCAGCAAGTGCTTCTAAATTGTTAAATACACTTGAATAAACGGCTCAAATATTGTGAAGAAATTTAAATTTAAAAAAAAAAAGAAAAAAAAAAAGATTAAAAAAATAATTGTAACACTTCAAACATTACATAGCAAATATTAATTTATAATTAGCTATCTAAGATAATGAATTATAAAAATTCAACTATAAACAAATGCACAATAGAAATAATAATAATTTATGATGTCTGATGATTTTATATCACAGATGTGCTACAATCATTAAGCACAATATTGATTTATCTGAAGATGTCACCAAATAGACTATTCTCTCAATTGTGAATCTCGCAGTGCATTCTCCATTGTAAAAAAAAACAGCAGCCACACTTGAGACTTTAGAAAACCCTGTGACTTCAATCATGATTTAAATTAATAATAGTTTTATGTGGATCAAGGCAATGTATACCTCACATAAGGTACTTCCACATCATTGCCATCGGTGTCATTGCAGCAAAGTTCAAACACGAGTGCTTTTACGTGAGGTTCAAGTTTTCTTTTAGAAACTCTACGAACCACTTCCGACATTGGAAGATTAAGTCTATCTTCTAATTTGCTCTTAGCCATAAAGAAGGAATACAGCATACAAACACCTTGGGATAACATTGTTATTTCCAGCTGATGTTTATCCTTGAAGTAATCGATGAACTCCTTAAGAGTCATCTCTCCAGTAACTTCAAATCGATCCCATAATGTCCATTCATTTTCGTAATACTTCAATTTGGGTGCTAATATAGGCTCAGAGAATCCAAAGAATGGAAGCGCCAAATTAACAAAACCATTCTTAAACAAACTTATATCTTTATAACCCTTAGCCAACTTCATGAGTTCAATACAAACTAGACCAGCAACGACTGATGTTGTAGTAGCGATAGCTGGTATAATCTTACCAGCTATCAACTTACTTTTGTGTCTATCAGCTGGAGGTATGTTGTAATTCGCAGCTCTCAAATTTGATGCAGCAACGATGAAATCCATATGAAGGTTATTGTCATCATCTTTTTCAAATTCGAGGGGTGTGATATTTAAGCCGTTGAACATTTCTTTTGAAGGTAGTTCGTTCTGCAACTGTCCAATTCTATCTTGATCAACTTGCCCACCAGCTCCATTGGCCATTTGCGAATCAGTTACAGCAATTTTTACACCTGATTTAGGAGTAAATTCAGGGACCTCAACATTCTGGACTATTTTGGCAATAATGCTTCTATCACGGACCTGGGGAATACCGTAGACTTCAGCCTTCAGGTTAGCCGCAGCCAAAATATAATCCAAATGAAGGTCATTATTCACATCAAAATCTAAAGCTACTGGGCATCTTTTGGGACCAGACCAGAAAGGCTGACCATTAGTTGTCATCTGATCAGGTGGGAAATTGAAAAGAAGTTGACGGATTTGATTTGAATATTGTTCTTGCCAATGATTTCTAGCCCAAGTAATACAATCTTCGATGGATTTTGGTCTGTCATCAATAAGAGCTTGTTTGATAGATTCTAGGACTTCCATCGGCTGTACGCCAGGCAAACGTAAAGTTCGATCGATAAAATTAGGATCACTCAGATAAAGAGCAGCATTTTCGGCAGATTGACGAAACAGGCCTTCAAAAACATCCCTAGCCCATTGAAGTGTATGCTCAATCGCATTAGGAAAATTCTTTAATGTGCATATAGGAATACTTTTCTCAGGTGGATCTTGAGATGAGCTGTAAGATTCAGTTAGGAAGGGTACAACAATTTGTGTATTACCTTTAGTACCAAGAGTTCCTGATTCTAACAGAGGTTTTCTATAGTAGACACAACGACGATCCATATATATCCTTGCATCGACATTATCTAATGCATTTGCAACACCATCCAAGTCCTCGAAAAAGGCATCATCATAAACTTTCTCAGTTTCTGGTCCAACTCGATTTTCATGAGCGATCACATTCATTAATGGATTCATCTTTTTAATTGCCTTCGCAGCAGTGGCTGCCTTAGGTTTCTGAACATCATGAGGTCTAAATAAAAATTGCCTGTTGAGATTAGATTTTTCAATAAGGTCCATATCTGTAACAATTACTTTTCCACCATCTGCTCCCACACCCATCATTGAAAAATTCTTAAGAAGTTCACATCCAATTGCTCCAGCTCCAACAACAAAATATTTCAGGGCACCTAAAGTTTTCTGAAACTCGGTACCAAAAATTGCAACTTGTCCATCATATCTAGAATTAGTAGGTGCACAGTCATTAGGAGCTAGATCTTCATTTGGCAATAGTTCAATAGAATCAAAATACAGCCATTGGAAAATTGGATGAAATTTTCCGCTACAAGCTTTCATCACTTCTTGTGCAACAACACCACCAATAAATGCATCAATAGGATTCATATTTCCAGAACAGGTTTTAGCAAATTGCTCCATAAGCTTCTCATTTAATTCTACATCTAGGCTTAAGTCAGATAATACAGATTTACAACAGTTTACAAAATCTAAAGCATTCTTGTTGTCCCATGGTGATGGCAACTTACCAAATTCTTTCTTATAAGATTCAACAGCTTTGAATGCAACATGAAGTTGCTGTGGGTGATCAAATTTTCCAAAATCAGTAAATATAAATTCAGGAGATTTGAGAGCTTCTGAATATGACTTAAATTGCAGCACTTTTGGCATCTTTACTTGTTGAACAATTCCACCTCTAATGTATTCTCCAAAATTGGAAGTATTGCCAATACTAAATGTATATGGTCCAAGAACTTTAATTTTAGTCGGCTCACAGCCATTCAGTTCAGTCATTCCCTGAATTTCAGAAAAAGTAACATAATCTCCATCTTCTAGACCATGTCTAGTATCATCTAGACAAGCGATAACACCTTCTTCGTCTCGAGAAATGCTTGCTATCATAGCAGAAACTGGATTTTCACCATTTGTGTCAACTACACTGAATTCTCGCCCAAAATCGCAAAAAACTTGAGCAAATACACCCATAGTTGAAGCTATAATTAATGATACATCAGATGCATGAGCTATTTCAGAAACTCTCAATTTTTCTTCTTCTGAAGCATTTGTTAAAACTACAACACTAAATCCTTTGATAAAATCATCAGTAAGAGGTCCAGTGTAGGATCTGGTTGGAACATAATTGTTAAGTTCAGCAAGTAACTGGCAAGATACTTCAGCTCGGTTTAAACCAATAGAATTTTCAGATAAATAAAATTGTGAAGACAGATCTGATATAGTGCATACAGTTTCATCATGTAATGTAACAGATTTAACACCACCTAATATTACGTTTTTAGCTATTTCTACACCAAGTCCTCCTAAACCTGAAATAAGAACATCAGATGATGCCATTCGTCGCATGGCATCATGTCCTAAAACGTAAAGTTGGCGAGAGTAAAGTCCCTCATCAATTTCTTGATTGGAATCAAAAGATCCATTATTCGCCATGGCTGATATTGCCTTTGAAACGGAGTTCGCTGGAGCAGTCTCTCCTGTAGCAATTTTCCGCTTCTTGGCTGGAGGTTCTATGGAATTGTTGGCCACTTCAGCACTAGACATCGGACAAAAGGCCGTATATTCAGCCTGAGTTTATTTTGCACTACCACTACAATGATGACTACAATAATCCGAATAAAACTAACAAAAAAATTTACACGGTACTGGAACTACACTTTAATGGCTGACTAATCACACGGACAGTCATGCACAGCCATCTGCGATTACTACTTTTCTAAACTAGTGAAACTTCAATTACACAATTTTACTCATTAAGCTAAAAAAAAAACATAAAATAGTAATAATGAAATATTTTTACATATCCCATTAAAAATTAAAAAAACATTTTGATCATTTTATTGTAATGACGACGATTATAGACTAATTTTTTTAAATATCTCTAGAATTAATATGTCATTTAATAATCGATTTAACTTTTTAAAAATGATTTTAAAACAACTATAAATAAAAATCATTGAATTACGTAAATATCTAATTACACTCTATTTGGCGGTAAATTTAAACGTGTCTTAACCTTTCAAAGAAATGACAATCCTGTCACATATGTAATTTGAATAAAAAAATGTTTTTCCTCTGAACAATATGTACTTAAAACCTTATTATAGCTATTCTCATTGATGAATCATAAAATACCATCACTAAAATAATACAAGTATTCATAAATAGAAATCGATAAATTCAATATAGCTTTTGACAGAATCAAATCTAAACTTACAGTTTCTAAAATACTTTACAAATTTAATTCAATAAGTACATATATTCTCTTCTTCTAAGGCTATAGAGCAATGAAAATTTTTTAAAGTTAATCAAGGAAAGGATGTATAAGTCAAGAACAGACAATATAATAACACATTTTTATAAATTTTAGTTGTAAATTTACTTTTATATTTTAAAATATTTGTTGACAAGACTTAGAGATACTAATATATATATTTTTTTAATTTACAACTAACCACTGACTTTCCATTACAGGTAATGGAAATACTTCCTGATTCAGTTTATAATATAATAAAATTAAGCTATAGAAATAAAAAGAGAGTTATTACATTTTCTTTCAGAGTTAATTAATTTTTTTTGAGATTTATCTATACCTCAAAAATAATCCAGGACATCTCTACACAACCATATATACAGTAGTGGTTTGCAAGTGGCCAAAATTCAGCAGGATATAAATAATTTAAAATTCATAATTGGTAAATGGTTGACTGTCCTGGATAATGAAGAGAAGAATAGTTGGGGTGGTCAGGCAAAAAATAAATGGTAATATTTATTTTTTGCCTTCTTTTTTGACTGACCACCCCAACTATTCTTCTCTTCATAATTTAAAATTCTTTACTAATATTTAAAGAGTGGGGAAAATTAAGAAAAAACAATTTCATTGTCACTGAGTAAATAAAAAATCATCAAATAATTTGAATAATACTTTATTTTGTATTCTAGTGACCACTCCTCTGGAGGATAATTATCCAATCAAATATTATAAATGTTCATATCATTATTTTATTGTTTTTTTCAATAATCTTCAGATTTTAATCCTTTAAATTATGAACTATTAATAATTAAAAGATTGAGTTTTACTGTAAGACAATATTATCATTAATTTGTTATTATGGTTTTCAATAAATATTACGTCATTTAAAATAAATTTAACAAAAAAAAATCCATTTTCATCTCATGAAAAATCATTTTAATTTTTAACTATAGTCTGATATTTAATTTTTGACTATTTTTTTTTTTTTTCTTATGTGAAATTAGGAATAAAGGTGAAATCAGGATAAATAAATTACAAACATTTATCTTAAGTTACAGTTCTCCTTTTTTTAAAAAAAAAAAAAAAAAAATCAACAGCAGATAATGTATAAAGCCACTAGTGAATCTAGGATTTATATTTTGGGAGGGGGGGAGGTCTTCAACCTGAAAGCTTTTTTTTTCATATATATATATATATATATATATATATATATATATATATATATATATATATATATTCATACATAACGATAATTTTTTTTTTTTAAATGAAAGAAATTAACGACTTATATGTTAATGTATTTCACAATTAAATATAATTACATGAACAAGAATACTTTAAGAGATAGTTTTTAATATTTTTTTCTGTAAAATATGGTTATATTTTACCATTTTAGGTGGGGCTTCAGCCCGAAAGCCTGCCCCTACCATCTCCCCTTTCCTAGATCCGCTTGTGTATAAAGTGTATGGCTGCCTTCAGCATTTTAAGCATATTTCTCATATCTACAACAGGTGATTTCCTTTTTTATTTACTAAATGCTAGTCCTGATGAGAGGATGAAAGCCAGGGGGAGCAAGGTTTTATTTTTTAACTGCTACATTCACATTAGAATAAATTATGGATAACATTACATATATTTTACAATAATTATGTAATATATTTAAATTATATTTTGTTGCAAAAGTTCATAAAAGGCTCCAGTTGGGTTATAGTGGTAAATTTAATATTTGACAAGTCCTGGAATCCCTAAGCTCTATGGTTTTACTCCCAAGCCATGCTCTATGCTCTGATAAGGATTAGTTCTTATTCCCACACTTTTTCCATGTTCATCCCAGGGATATTCTGTTAGATTTAATCTGGCCTCCAACCCTTAAATCCTGAAATATTCTTCAATTTATAAATGATTGTACTGTTAATAACTTCAAACTATAATTTAGTGAATTCAGTTCTGCAGAGAACGATTTTTCCCTTTCAAACGGTATATAAAATAATTTATGGGACAAAAATATAATTAGAAAACGGATTTTAGTGCTTCCATCTTACCAAAGTTCTCCTACATAATTTCTATTATAACAATACTAAAATCAAAATGAACTAATTTAAAAGGTAAGTCTGTCAATTTACATTATCTCTAAATTATTTGGTCAACATCATGATCTGTGTTGTAATAGTAACTCTGATGAAGGCTTACAACATAGATCAAGATGCTAACGTAACAATAAAATACCATTACAGTATATAATATTATGTATTGTCACATCCCCTTACCAACTCCTTCTTTAATTAATCTTAAATTCTCTTAAGATTAGTTCTTTTCCTCATGCCTGTCTTGCCAAGTCATTTGTTTTATTTATTTATTGAAATCATAATCAATATTTGACAATGAACATAGACAGTTGAGAGTTAAAGAATAAAAAGAAAAAAAATATTCTTTTAAGGAAATTTGGTTTTCTTGACCTTAGCGCTACCTCTGTACTTAAGTAGGTACTAAATCAGCTTGGGACATTGTTGCCATGTAAGTCATTTATTTTCTCGATAAACTTATGTAAATATTTTATTAAATCAGCCAATTTAATCATAAATGTTTGATACCTATTTTTTACATTATTTACTGTGATATATGTAATATCATTTAAATTTGTTAAGCTAGTCCAAATATCAGATCAAATAATGATTGTTATCAAATTTAAGACAAATAAAACTAATATTAACATTAAATAATAATAAAATTTAAAAAAAAAAAATATCAAAATTATTAGTTCAAAATTTTCACCATCCACGAAGCCTGATTAAAAAAATATTAAAAACTATCTCTTAAAGTATTCTTGCTCGTGTAATTATATTTAATAGGACTTCAAGAACCACTTAAACACCATTTCATATAGGTAATTAATTTCTTTCTTTTTTTTTCAAATTAATTATCGTTATATGTATATGAAAAAAAAATCTTTCGGGCTGAAGCCCCTCCCAAAATTAAATCCTGGATCCGCTAGTGATCTACCCCAACTAGACCCATTCTTAATTTAATTCTTAATTCTTCTTAATTTAATCTGATTTTACTGATTTACGTCATCATTACATTATTTACTCGAAGAAAATTATCCCAGTAGCTTAAGCAGGGTAGACAAAAAGTAACATAGATCTTTCAGGGTCGAATCTCTAAATCCGGCCTGAGCCATTCAGGTTCAATCACTTTATATATTGAATATTTTATTTTAGTTTAAATAATAGAACGTAGGAATGCGACGTCACTATGAAAGATGCTTAACCACGAGAACTGTCTTTTATTATCTTATTATACCGCAAATTTGATAAAAAAAAAATCATCATGGGCTTTCGAGAATAGCTTGCTGAATATGGAAAGGATATTGAATCCCTACGTCCTAGTTAAAACTTCATAGAGATCCTCGAACGCGTCGTTGTGGATTTCATCATCTTTAATTTCAGTGGCTCATAGACAGTACTATCTACAGTTACTTGATCGGCAGTCTTCAGTATATTGCAATTGGGCCATAATAGATGCCATATGCTTTCCATGTTCAACAAGCTTTGTCCGAAAAACTGAATTGAATATCTGAAAATGATGTTATCTAGTCCAAATATTACCAAATCCTGTGTATCACATTTTTTTTAAATATATATAATACACACCTGATAAATAAATTTAAGCGTCATTAATTTTCAAGACAGATAATAACTAATAACTTAATTCACTCCAGAGAGTAATTAAAGAAGTAAGATTTTTTCCAACAAAGGTACATCTATAATGGATCCAAGATTTAATTTTAATTTTGAGGGGAGGGATGGGGCTTTAGCACGGTTTTTACTTTGAAAGAAGAAAATAGAAACTAACTACCTATATGAAGTGGTATTTAAGTGATTCTTGAAGTCCTATTTACATGAAGAATAATACTTTCAGAAGTAATTTTTTAATATTTCTTTCACAAGACATAGATATATTTTATCATTTTCTTTTTTTGAGGGAGGGAGGGGGGCTTCAGCCCGACCACTTCCCCCTCCCCGTAGATCCACTTGTGAGGTACATTAATAAGATGACAAATAATTAATACATTTTATTTTTCGCATTTTTGCTCCTCCGAGGAATGCAGTTTTTCATTCACAATTAAATAAAACGAATAAATTAACAAAATATAAGAAGAATAAAAAATGAATCATAGTTTCCCTTCACATTTTTCAATTATGCACTAATTCAAAAAACATAATCTATTATTTACTTTAATGTTATGATTTAAGTTATGATTCTGTGATGATTTATGTTGATGGGTGTTTTGTGTTGATGATTTATGGGTGATGTGATGATGTAAGTTCTAAAGTTATGATTTAAGCATAACTTTAAAACAGGGGTGCCCATCATCCTCCTCCCCCCCCCAAGGTCGATGGCGCAAGAACCTACTCCCCCTCTTCTCCCAATATATTTTATTGCTCACCTCACCTTTTCTTATAATCAGAGCAAGCTTAGATAAAATTAGAAAAATCGTAGATTATATACAATTACACATCCTGCTGTATGTTCCATGTTTTCTCCTTCTCCATTAGTCCGAAAATTCATAACTCCTTCGAAATTTGCTCTTCTTAAAAATTCAAAAATCCGTCAAAACATGTCCCCCTCAAAAAATTTCATGGCGCAACGTGCGTCATCAAACCCCCTTTTGGGCACCACTTAAAGCCTATAAAAGTTACCAGGTCTAGAGGAAAGAATACTGGTATGGAGAATCTAATATGGAAACTATAATGAATTGTTTTTTTCAACTTTTAACGTCCACCTTCAGTTTCTAGACCAGAAATAACCAAAATAAAAGTCTCGATAATTCATTTCTCGTTACTCCTGAGAAATTAATATTAGCTTTCCCAGATGTGAATCGAACCTAAAACGTAACGAGTTGAGGATCCTTGCAGTAGTTTGCCTGGCCAGCACGCGATATGTGTGAGATAGGATTGACTATAGACCAGCATAAAAAATATAACAATTCTATTAGACATTCCGTAACCTTATTGTTAAGGAAGCGTCAATATATCCTCAACTTTCAGTGGATTTGTTTAAAGATGTTCAGTTCTTCATGACGAGGAAATATTATTAGATCTATTCCAACAAGAGTGAAGAATGCGTAGTACGAGTTTTCCTTTCTAGAGAAATGTGGAATACAGTTAGTAGTTAGTAGAATGGAAAAACTGTATTGCGTATATGACTGATAGTTAAAACTCGTATTAAAATACGGTTTTTCATATTACGAGTACGACATAGACTCCAGAAGATATAGGAAGAACGTAGATCATAGGTTCAGCTTGTCTCAATCTAAATTTTTAGCTTTGTATGGTGTTCAGATTGTTGAATTTAGAATTAGAATTATTGTTAATCTCCATCAAATCAGCAAAAAGAGTCTTCAAACTTGCATACTGCGATGCACAACGCTTCATACTTACATACAACGAAACGAAAACATTTATTATTGAAAATTGGTTTACATCGCTTCAGTGATCTCTCAATCAGTTACTAAGATTTAAAGGACCAAACCTAGAAATATCGCATTCCTGGCAATGTTTTAACGACCAATCCATGGATTATCTCATGCTTATTGCTAGTAACTTCTATGTATGAATGATAAACCTCTATGAGTTTTCTATGTAAATATTATTGTCTTTTAAATTTGCACTAATCACTTAAAATCTTAAAAATAAATGTTCTGTTAACCTGAATTATACGTTTTACAAATAACTTCGTAATTATCACGATGGATGTCAGTAATTTATGATCTGATGAAGATTTGATAAGATTGTTTACAAGTTCTGGCGGGAAAATGTCTCAGCGTAGCATCACGTCTGTATTTAATTAAAAATTAATCTATTTTATTGTTAATTTTAGTTTTCTTTCACAGTTTACTGAAATTTCTATTTCATTTTAACTCCTGAATTAAGGAATCGAAGTTTAAATTAGTATTTATGTATATGTATTGTTACTGTTAATTGTCTCTCTGTGTCCTTGTACTTAGATTTTATTATTAAAGAATACCCAAATTTAAATCAATTTAGCATACTGCAGCTTATATTTACTATGTTAAAATCTTTGTATACTGTCTTATAGTTTTATTAAGCTCTTCACAATTCTATTTCAATGACTAGCTGTTCTTTACATAGTTTGTTTTTATTTTATTTATTACTGTAATAGACCTTTTCTTGATTTCAAATTAATTTTGCTTTAGATCTTTTTTCTCACGATCTTCAGCATCACAAGTTAAAAAGACTGATGAAAGTGATGAATCAACATTGGGGTATGTAAATTTATTACAAAAATGCTAAGACGATTTCTTTTATCTAGCATTCTCTCTGTGAGATCTCAGAGAATTTTTATGAATGTTTACAATCATGCAAATAATTCAGTTATAAATAAATTCTGCTTCTACAACAGTGAAAATGGTCCGACTCTTGCTAGAATTGGAGATTCCCCAATTAGAAAGTATTCAGGAAAACGGAAGCGACCTCAGAAAATATTAAGTGACAGTGAAGATGAAAGCGAAACCAAAAGGTAAACAGATATTTTTTTATACAGATTTATAATTTGTTTAATAAATTGGCATAGCGTTGAGTTGTAACTTTAATGGCAGTCAAAGAATGTTTGTTATTTATAAGTGTAAGGTCTAGTTGTCAGAAATGTCAAGAGCACATCAATCATACTAGAGACGAGATTCTGAATGTAGCCTAGTATTGACTACTGTGATTATGTGTTAACTTGCTTGGCTCGCTCAAAGGATAAATAAACTCCTGACAGATTCTTTTCATTTTAGATCCTTACATTGGAATTTGTCATTTTTATATTTTTTGACATACTTAGATACTTATAGGGTTCTATTTACTATGTGATCTTGATCCACCTGCAAATTAGATGTGCCATTTCTTAACTAGTATAATTAATAATTTTGAAATTTAGTAATTTTATTTTATTAAACATTTTTATAATCTTTAGATAAACTTTATACTGATTAGTGAAAAAGCAATTTGTTTTTATTAGGGTGTTTATTCTCTTTAGATTTGAGTAGTGTCTCTAGAACTAATAAGTATTTAATTTAATATATTTCACAAATCCCAATTTTGATTATTTGACCAGTCCTCTTTTTTATTTTCTTTGCTGTCAACACTGGTAGGGTGATTAAATTTGACAGTTTAAGGAAGATCTTCATTCATTAGTTTTAGTTTTTCTAAAGATATATGTGCTATTTTAGTCACGTTAATACGTAGTAGCTTCAGAACTCCAACCCATACTATTAGTATCTTTTAAAATCCTTCTGCCATTGTCTTCATTATTAAATTTTTACTTATTATGCGTGTATTCATCCCCAGCTAGGAGTAATAACTTTTGTAATCAGTTATGCATAATGAATAGCATGTTGTCAGAATAAAGATAAACCTTTTAATTATGATTCCAGTAAAGAAGATCCCAAACCAGAAAATAATGGCAATGATGCTTTGGAAGGTAAATATATTTTTAATTATTACTTTTTTTTGTTTTAAATTTTATACAATATTAAAATTATAGTTTTTGAATTCTTGAATTAATCATTTCATTTAAACCTTTGGAAAAATATACAGTAATTCTCTCTCATAATTATAATCTATGCTGCTATATAAATTGGTTTTAGAAGCTATTTCATTAAAGGTGATTTTTTTTTTTTTACACTATGTTTAGTAAAAATTACTTTTCTGATAAGACTGGGGGATACTAAAATTAATAAAAACTCAAATATCTGAAGATTTGTGTATTAATAGTACAGATTACACATTGTTTATTGTATTATATTTAAAAAATAACTTTATATGTCTACAGACAAGGAAAATGAAAAAAATAATGAAAGCGAAGAATCAAATTCTACTTCTGAAAAAGATTTCACTCCTCCTTCACCTAAAAAGAAAAAGTCATCTGAAATTGAAACAAATAAAGACTCAAAAGATAATGAAATTGAAACAAATGGAAAAGAAAAACCAAAAATCACTTCTCCTTCTCTTAAAAAGAAAAAATCATCAAATGCTAAGTCAAAAAAATCCTTAAAAAATAATAAGACTGACACTAATGGAAAAGAAGAATCTAAAATTACTTCTCCTTCTCCTAAAAAGAAAAAATCACCTGATATTAAATCAGCAGATAAAACGTCGAAAGATAAGAAGGCAAACATAAATGAAGAAGAAAAATCTGAAAGCATTAAGGAAGAATCTAAAAGCACTGATGAAAAGGATGCTGAAAATAGTAATAAGAAAAATATTAAAAATATTTTTGGTGAGTTTAATTTATAATTGTTTATACTTATAGCTATAATAGACTTTAGTCATTTTTTTCTGTTATTTAAGGGTTTCTCTTCATAAAGTGAAGTTTCCCTCAGCCAAACTCCTCCCTCATTCAGTTCCTCCACTTCTCCCTGTCCATCGTTTCCTCTTCTTTCATCCCTCTCCCATACTCTCCGCCACACATCTCTCCATCTGACACGAGGCCTTCCTCTCCTTTTCCAACCCTCAGCCCTCCCACTCAAATGCTGTTTTGAGAAGTCGTTCACTATTCATCTTTTTCATATGTCCATACCTATGTAATCTTCTTTCTTCCGTTATTTAGAATAATATATTATTCTTAACTTCCACCCTTTCTCTAATGGTCTCTTTTCTGATTCTTTGGGTCCTTGAGACACTAGCAGATCTCCAAAAATTCATCTCCACAACTAGAAATCTTTTGCCCTCTGATTTCTCGAGCCACATTTCTGAAATATAGAGCATTACGCTTTGATTTTTAAGTTTTAGATATTTAATTTAAATCTTATAATAGACTCTGTCTTCTCCTTTCTCATAGGAACTGTTATTCTCCTAAAAACATGATCTATTTTCAACATGAAACTTATTACAAAATTTAGGGGTTGGCTCAGATTTATGTAAGAGTATGAAAAAAAAATTCTATCATTGGGATGTAGGCAGTCTTAAGTATGATAATTAAAAAACAAAAGTGAATTCAAATCTTTTGTAACCATTGCATTTTTAGTTGAATTGAATCGGTTTTGATCTTTTTAAGCTTTGTTCAGTGGTATCCAAACTTTTACCTCCCCTGGAATATATTGTAAAAATGAGAATAATTTTTAATACTACATTATTGATTTTATTATCTTTTTGTTTATTATAAATCATATTTAACCTTTGATAATGAATAAAAACACTAGGTGTACAAAATGTCATTGTAGTTATAAGTTAATATAAGTATTTCTTCATTTCTTTTGCCTAATAGAAATTAATGATTTCTCATTATTTTCCAGGCGGGTTTAGTAATCAGACAAAGACTGCATCAGAAAAGAACATTGCTGCGTTTGATCCATCTAAAAGTAATTACCACCCTATCGATGATGCTTGCTGGGAACATGGTAAAACGTATGTTCTTATTTAATTTGATTTTATATATATATTCCGTTTTTGTCTTGTTTTCTATATCGTCCGTGGTAAGACTCCTTTTTATCAAATTATTAACGTCTGCCTGAAAATACCAAAATAGCTTCATCTCATTATAACGTTCAACTATTTATTTACCAAAATTCTCAGAATTTTGCCTTTATTAATCTGGAGATCGGCAAACTTTGTCTATTTAATTAGGTACTAAAAAAATAGTCATTTGGTTTTCACTTGAATCATAAGATGATTTGATCACAAAATCGAGAAAAGAGGTAGCCTACAAAAATATTGGACCATTTGGCATGGGCCTACACCCTCAACATTTCAAAATAATGAGGTTATATATGCCTTACGATACAAGTGGAAAGCAAATGGACGTTTACTAGTTTTTATTACCTAATTGAAGAGAAAGTTTGCCGATCTCCAGATTAAAAATACCCTTGGTCCAAGAGTTTTTGTAAATAAAATAGTTATAGATTACGATAACATGAAGCTATTCACGAAGTTTCAGGCGGATGTTTATAATTTCCTATGCCTGTAATTATATCACGGACTAATATTCTATGCCTAATCAGAGTTTAAAAAAAAAAAAATATATATGTATATATATGAAAGAAAGTCAAGTATTAAACATTGCAATTTTTTATTTATATAAAATTTCGTATTTCTGGGTTTCAAAGGGCACTAAATGAATCTAATTTACTTTTTTCATAACAAAACTTTACTGGAAGCGCCTTTTGGTTTTTTAAAATATTAGCTGCAGTTACGGTCCCCGTGGTCCAACATTCGTCTCGACTACCAAACGGCCGGGATTGTTTAGAATTTTATCTATCTTACAAAGTTTCTAAAATGGTAATTTTTAAAAATATTTGAATGGGAGTTGGATAGATGTATGTGATATAGTAACGAGTGATAATTCGATTATGGACAAAGATTATTTACCTTAATCAAATTCATCTTAAACGGAGGTTGAGAAGGAATATGAAACGTACTTTGCTTATCCACAAGTGCCTAAAGCCTCTGCCCAAGGAGTTATCAAACGGGATCATAGATGGAAGGTAGTACAGATAGGATCTACGAATTTTGATTATTATCGAGAGTATTTTTACAAGTATTTTATATTTTTGTTATTTTTATTTTATATATTTTTTAATTACATGTTTTCTTATTATTTATTTTTTTCTCAATTTTGTATATAACTGTAAGAATATATACATAGAGCCTTAATACCAAATGCTCTTGAGGCAGATTGTATTATTATTCTTCCTATAAAAGTTTTATTTTAGAGAAAGAAAATGTAATAGTGAATATCCAAATATCTATGAATAATGTATAAATTATATCCTGAAAATTGTAATTATATGTAATAAATAAACTTTTTCTCAATTCATTTTCAATATTTAAGATTTATATCTCTAAAAATAACACTTGTTTACTGAAATAAAGAGAAATAATAAAAAACTTGGCATCAGACGTCGGAGTCCACTCCTACGATTACTGGGCATTAATGAGGGCACCATCAACAGATAAAGACTGTGAATAGGGAATTTAGTTCACCTTTGTTGTTAAAAAATAGCGGTGTACCTGGAAACTGATATATATGTCTTTGGCGTCCGATGCCGTTAGGAACTTCATATCTAGTGTCGGTCGCCAGGGACCGATATCCTCGGGAAAGACATTTAAGAGATATGATGCTCAGCAGCTAACATGTTAAATTTATGATCCATTTTAACTCACTTAATACTATAATCAATATTTTTTCTTAGTACAAAAAATTAATCCATTGATGTATAACCTAAAAATCCGGGCAAAGCAAAGGAAAAACTAAATAGTATAAATTTTGTTTGAAATGATGTAAAAAAAATTTTTTCGACTCCAAGGCCCATTGGACCAAACACCCGGGATAAATATTCAATATTTTTTGATGTAGTATCAATGAAAAAACTTTGGTTGAAATCGTCGACCCCCTTCATTGTAGTCTCCCCTTGTTAGTCTTCATAATAAATTCTTTAAATAAATATTACATACGTCTTAAAACAGTGTTATTTTACTTTTCTGTTAATATTTCCTTCTGTATATATCTATACCTCATATTACCTTGCCAAAAGGGAACGGGCTAGCATCTCTGTCCCATGTTGGCCATCTAAAGGTACTATTTCGCTGGCGCGGTCCACGACCGCTACTGCTCGCGGTTGACCACTGCTTTAGTGGAATAGAAAGGAACCTATTTCGCTGGCGCTGCTCGGCAGTTTAGGTATGACGTCATATCTAAGCTGCTCGTATCTGACTCCTCTTGAAGCAGTGGAGCTGTTGGCGGTTCGGCGGTTGTAGGTTATGTTATCATATCAGAGCATTGTTTTGATGATAACAGTCCCGTCGATACGTTTTATTTCCTATGTTTCTTTCAAGTCTGGCAAAATTATAACAAATATTGTTTTAAACTAAAACAATGCAATAGTAAATTATTTTTTTGAGGTTGAAGTAACAAGATTATTTATTTATTTATTCCACCAGCAATATTTTACAGCGAAATACAAATATACCTAAATCCAAATGATATTAAATAAATTAAAGAATCCAACAAATTTTATCGTCAGGTAAATACTAAAATCCACCCATTGAAAAAACGATTTGTATTTTTTAATTAAAGTGGTGATTTACTGATTACTATTGATAAAACTATAAAACATCGCTTGCTGAGATTTAATTACAAATATATGATATTTATTACTAACCAATTATGTATTAATTACTATTATTTTTCAAACTAATAATATGTAATATCAGAGGAACTTTGATGATCGAAATACTGATATTCCTTCTCTTTATGAACAACATTTTCTCTTCTTTTTCCAACTCAAATAAAAAAGCGGTAGTCAGAGATGTTCATTATTATAGGAAGTTCATTTTTATTCTTATATTATGTCCATCTTTTTATCTTCGAAGATACAGCGAAATGTTCGAAGGTTATAGGCAGGTTATAACAATCCCAGTGAGCAGTTTCAGCGAAATAGCTATGCCAACAGCGATTGGCAGGGGGAAATAGCGGTCGCTGTCGTCGACCGCGCCAGCCAAATAGTACCTTAACAGGAGTTAAAATAAAAAATTGTAAAAAAAAAAAGTAATAAAAGTATTGGTGTTAGAAAACGAACTAGACATGTTTATGAAATAACTATACTGCCTAATTTTGCTATTTCATATTTTCAGTCTCTTTTTACAGGGTACCTTATTCAGCTTTAGCTAGAACCTTTGAGAAAATTGAAGAAATATCTGCAAGATTAAAAATAGTAGAAATCCTCAGTAACTATTTCCGATCAGTTATTGTCCTCAGCCCTGATGACCTGCTGCCTTCTGTCTATTTATGTTTAAATCGAATCGCTCCCGCCTTTGAAGGAATTGAACTTGGTGTTGCGGAGACTAACTTAATGAAGGTAATTAATAGTCTATGCTATCTTTAGCTCTTGTTTTAAGACGTATTTAGTATTCCATTATGAGGGAATTAACAGTTAAGTGATAATAGAAAACAAATATATTTCTATGCATTTTTTTCAGTTTACTTTTCTGAATGGGAAACAACAGTATATTAAATTTCATCCCTATTTTCTATTATCACTTAAAGATTTACTTCCTGAAGTTTTACTTTTCTAAAAATGTGTCATCATTTTTTTTATTATATTGAATTTTTTTTCCATATAATATTATTTTATTATTCTATTAATTATTGACATTTATTTATTAAAATTTAATCTATAATTTACAAATCAGAATTATTATGATATGATAGTGTTGAAATGAAGTTTTCCTCTTATTATTATGGCGCTACGGCCCTGCAAGAACTTGGGCCTCCCTTCTCCACTACAGCCAACCTATCTCCACAGTCTTGTGCTATTTCCCTCCATCTTCGAATGCCCAACCACCTCAGATCGACCTCATCCCCTAATTGACCTCAGCCATCTAATCCGAGGGCGCCCTCTACTTCTTTTGCCATCCGGCTTCTCATGCAGCATTCTCTTTGGCTTTCTTTCTACATGTCCTAACCATTGATTCTGGCTCTTTTTATCAATGACACAATATCAGATTCACCATAAAGTTTCCGTAGCTCCTCATTCTTTCTTTTTCTCCAAATTCCATTCTCTAAGATTCGTCCTCACATTCTTCTCAATACTATTCTCTCCCAGGAGTTGAACTGCGTTATGAGTTTTTGGTTAAGGTCCAAGTCTCGTACCCATACATAACCAACTACTGGCCTTACTATGGTTTTGTAGATGAGGAATTTGATTCTTTTAGAGAGTGATCTGAATTTCAAGTCTCTTTGCAGTGAGAAATAGTGTCTATTCCTGCTGCTGCTATCCGGGCCTTTATTTCTCTCTCTATTTTATTATTGCATGTGACCAGGCTTCCGAGATACTTGAACTGGTCAACAGACCTAAAATTGTGATCCCTTACAACTATTTCTATATTCACTACCTTTTCCATTTTTTTTTCTTAACTGCCACTATATTTATATATCTGTTGTTTTTATTTTAGGCTATTGCTCAAGCAACCGGTAGGAGTATGGCACAAATCAAATCAGATGTTGCTTCACTTGGAGATTTGGGATTAGTCGCTGAACAAAGTAAATCCAGTCAAAGAACGATGTTTACTCCAGCACCACTCACAGTTCAGAGCGTTTTTAATAAATTGAAAGACATAGCACTCATGACCGGAAATGCTGTAAGATTAATTTAGAAAATAAAATTTTAAATATCAAAACTCTTCTATTGTGGATACTTGTTATGATTATCCAATTGATCAATCCATGTATATTTTATACAACTTCTTTATAAATCAGGTTAATTTATCAAAACAGTATTAATGCTTATCAGCATAAATGTTAAATAAATGTTTGTTATTTATATTTCTTATTATTAAATGTTTATGACCTGAACACTGATAATTGTTATAAGGTACTGATAATCCCTATCTTCATATGGAATTAGACTCTCGTATAATATAAAAATATATTTGAAGAAATAGAAATATATTTGGTGTTGCCTCTTTTTTTGCCTGTTTCTTATTTATATATATATATATATTAATAAGAAATATAAATATAATAATACAGTAAATCAATAATAAGAAATATAAATAACAACAACACTTTAAATAACAAGATAACTGCAGATAGCAGTCTATAGAGGCCGCATCGCTCACAAGTACCTGCAATTTTTTTAAGAAATCAATTTTTGCTTATTTTTTTACAAGTACATTTGAATTATTACTGTCTACCTTCACCTCTGTAATCCCTAGACATGTCTCAGTTTCCTGTTTTTCTGATGAGTTGAAGGTTTATACTTCCTAACATAAGTATTTTCTAATATCCTTCTTTTACTGAGGTATATAATCCCATAATATTTCATATAGATCCAATATCTTTAAATTATAATCCTCTAAACTATAAACAGTCTTAACCTAAAAAAAAAATAATAATGAAATAAAATTATATCTTAAATTAATATGTTGATAAAAACCTTTGTATTATTATGTTTTAGTCTCAGGGAAAGAAAGTCGACAAAATTCATTCTATGCTGGTAGCTTGTAAAGGGACAGAAGTGAGGTATCTAATCAGGTCGCTAGCTGGAAAATTGAGGATCGGTCTCGCTGAGCAGTCCGTTTTGCAGGTAAGTTAAAGATGACCCAATTAACACGTTGACAAGATAAACCATAATTAGTGGTATGTGCCTACAATGTCAATTATCATTTATCTCGTAGCATGTTTACTTGTCTTGTATTTTTTCAGCTACAATGAAATTTATTGTACATCAATTATCTTAAGTCTAATTATGAATAGATTCCATCAATGAAAAAAAAAATTGTGTTAGTTTATTTGTCAAAGGCATGTAATTTGAGGAAAAGGATGCTTCTCACTATTTACTTTAATGCATTTTATTGCATACGGATCGTATTAATTATTATTGAAAACTACACATCACATTATATATAAATTTTATCTGCAATAGATCAAATTATAAAGAACATATTGGATTGGCAAATAAGTCCTTTCGTTTTTTTAGGGTGAAATAAAATTCAATGTATTGTATTATAGACATAAAATTTATTTTAGTCTATAATATATTGACCATTATTTAATATGACTTTTGCCCATCTTTTCACTAACTGCATATATGCCATGTTCATAGAATGTCTGTTGTTTATTTTTAAAAAACTGATCCAAGTGGTTTTTGATGTCCTCCTCCATTTGGAATTTTTTTCCATTCATGGAGTTCTGCAAAGATCAGAATAAGTGGTAGTCACTTGGAGCTAGGTCTGGTGAATAGGGAGGGTAGGGCAAGAGGTCCCATCCAAGACTAAATAATTTATTGCGAGTAACCAATGAGGTGTGGGACCTAGCATTGTCTTGGAAGAACATAGTTCTAGGCGTTTATTTTCAATTGATTGATCTAATTTTGTTAATTGTGAGTAATGCAATCCGGGTTTTGACATTCTTCTAGGAGTCTCACTACTAGGTCCCCATGATTTTCTACGGACTACATTGTGTAAAATTTCAAAAATCAGTCATTTCCGTGATGCATCACAAACAGAAATGCCTGTCGCCAAGTTGAATTCGGTTAGAGAGTGAGGGACCTAAACATTAAGCCTGGAAACATAGCCGAGCTTGTGTAAATGGTTTTCTACGCTTTTGTGTGACACATTTAGGGCCATAGCAATCTCTCACTGATTAGGTGGGATGTTTATCAACAATGGCCTTAACATTGTTCGTTAAAAATTTAGTATTTATTTGACCGTTCCTCCCGACCAACTATTTCTCATATTTTTATTCATATTCACAATGCGATAGTAAAGACAATATTAAGCTAGTTCCAACAAGAGTTAACATATATAGTTGTTGACATATTACAAACACGATAAACAACCCATCTCATGGATTAATTCATCAAATAAGAAGTGTATCATAGTGGCATAAAAATACACAGAAAAACCGAAAGGACTTATTTGCCAACCCAATAACAATATTAGTTACAAAAAAAAAATTGGTATCTTCTAGAAAAAGGAGTTACGAGCTATTGCTTAATAAACTACCCAACAGGATATATTATAATAAATTGTATAAGCTTATAAGTAGAGAATTATTTACTTTTAGATAACAGAAAAAAATCCATACGAAGTAGCAATGACAAATAATACAAAGATGTCGGAAATTATTCTGAAACAGATGCATATATAATTTTTGGTAAGTTGCATTCTTGGGTAAACATCTGCTATTTCTTGATCACCTTGCATTGTGAGCTGTTGATTGCCAGTCAAGATTGGGATATCTTCTTTCTTTCATCTCTTACTGTTTATTTTTGATAATTGATTGCGCCATACAGTAGCTTTGAATAGAAATGATTTTATGTCCAAACTATGTTTATACATTCAATATTCCATATAAATTTGTTCAACTGAACTAGTCACAAACATTTATTCTTCCTTACCAACAAAAACCTTCAAGATTTCTTTTTTGGAGATAAGATGATGGCATAGATAGATAAAAATGTTATCGGCAGGCTTTATGTCATATTAAGATTGTGTTTTTTTAATTGATAAAAAAAGTTCATATTTAGCTAAAAATTTGTAGTAACAGTGGTTCTAGGAGGTGCGGTTGAGACTAGGATTCTGAGACTATTTTAGTGTGACTTATTACGAAACTCTTTAAGCCTCTCTCTGCTCTAATTTATAAAAGCTAATAAAATAAATTTTAAAATAATTATTTCTATTCGGAGACGACAGGATGAGTGAAAAAATTGATAGATACTTTCTTGGATGGAAATTGCTAAGCTGAAAACACTATTCTAAGCTTTATATTAGAAGATACTTAACGCTATGAACTAGGTGCTGACAATTCATGATGTATCCGTGTCTCCATTCTCATCATGCAGCTCTGTCCCACCACTTTTCTTTAATGCTCATTATATTCGCAAATATACATCAGAAAAATTGGGAGTTTTTAAATTTTTTATTGATGTAACCTAATCTCTGTTGATAAATTGTAAATTCATGTAAATATCTTATTGAGTTAGTCAATTTTTTTTTTTTTTTGACAATTTGCCTGTTACTGACTTTGTCCTGTCTTTAATTTTTTAGTCATAGGTATGAGTAAAACACATCTGGGCTCAGATTCAAGTCCTGGCTGTGAATTTATTTTATTCTGTTTTATCAGCCATGAATTTCATCTTGGAGCAAAGATCTTCCTTGGAGAAACCATTATTTTATTTATTTTAAACACTGATTTATTTTTTTAATTTTAGGCCCTGGCACAAGCATACATGATGACTCCTCCTTCTGAAAAATATCCACCTGAAGTTATTAATTCTACTAAAGGATTGTCGACAGAAAAATTCAAAGCCAAACTGGATGAATATTCCTTAGTTTTAAAAACTACTTATTGGTAAGTTATCAAATAAATATTATCATTATTATTACATTTTTTTTTAGCATATATATATATATATATATATATATTTTTTTTTTTTTTTTTTTTTTTTTAAGTTAAATCCACTAAACATTAAGTAAATTAGAGCAAAGTAATTGTGTTTTTAAAATAATATTGGGTCTTTTTACTTCCCCTCCATTCCAAAAAGTAATAAGTTTTATCTTATTTTGTTTAAATGTTTCATGGTATCAATGAAGGAAATCAGATCTCCTTTCTGATTGATTTCTTATCTATATTTAACTTAGATGCCAAGCACATTGGGACATGGGTCCCAGAGTGTTTGATTCTGAATGTTGTGAGTTCGATTTCCAGCTGGGTGTGTTAATTTTAATTTCTCGGCAGCTCCGGGAAATGGATCTTGACATTCCCACTCTGGCAAGTATGCGGTGGCAACCTCAAGGTAGCCGTCAGAGGTTGGCAAAAAGGATCACAATAGAGCCCACTTGCTGGACTAGCTCCCCTCACCAAGAACTAATGTCTTTAATATAATTCTAAATGAAATCTAAATATTATACAATAAATGAAATATAACTCCTAAATAACTACAATATTTTACCTCATCAGTCCCACATTTTTTATTAAAACCTATATTAAATCGCTTGTGCTATCAATCCAAATTTCAACTAACCATTTATTTATAAAATGCATAGAATGACTATAGTTATTATTTATTTTATTTTTGTATGTTAACTTATTGTTTTTGTTTTTTTCAGTGAATGCCCAAATTATAATTTAATTATTCCTGTTTTATTGAAAGAAGGATTATTAGCCTTGCCAGAACATTGTAAATTAACTCCTGGAGTACCTCTGAAGCCTATGCTTGCGCATCCGACGAAAGGTGTTCAGGAAGTACTGAAAAGATTTGAAGGCTTAAAATTCACTTGTGAATGGAAATATGATGGTGAAAGAGCACAAGTAAATTTATTATTTATTTATTAGTTTATAGACATTCCTTCCTTAATTGTTATTTTTTTTCTCACTCTTTGCCCAAATGTCTAAATTACCAAAAAAATTGAATATTTTAAAGTTGACCGTTGTATTATTAAGGAAGGAGATGGTCCGGTATGGCAGTCATAAATAGACTAAATAGTGGTAAAACTATTTGATTAAAAGCCAACGTTTCGACCCGACATTACATGTCTTCTTTAGATATTTTTCACCACATCCGGCTCCTTGTATAGGTTGTCCAGTTCTTGATTGTCTAATTCAACATTCATCATTGTTCTTAATTGGGCCAAATATCTTCCAAAGGACCTTCCTTTCAAAATCTAATATTTTAATCTCACTGGCCTTCGTCAGTGTCCATGTTTCACATCCGTATGTCAAAACCGGTCGTATAAGGACTTATACTCATTACATCTTATTTTCATTATTTACATAATTAAACTTTGTATTCCTCTTTTATGCAGTATGTTTTGATAGATTTTATAGTATCTTAATTTTCTATTTAAATCTATTATTTTCTTTATATAACTTCATATTTCTTTTCTCTGTTTTACATTTTTTTCTTTGTCTATCTCATTTTATTTTAGCATTCTAAGACATCTTATTTTAGCAACTACATCACCCCATTCATTCTTAATTAATTTTTTTCTTCCTTTTGTTACCTAATTTCATTATTCCCTATCTCAGTTTATTTAAACAAGTTTATTTCATTAGTTCCTAACTTTCTTGCCGTTATTATTTATTTGATAAGTTCCTCTCTGTTACTGTTATTATTTTTTCATATGTTTCTAACATTAATATTATTTATTTTTATTGTTTTCTGTAAGTTAATAGTTTCTCATACCTGAAATTTAGGCCAAAACATCAGCAAATATATAAGTAAACATATTGGTTGGGGTGTTCAGTCAAAAATAAACAAATTAAAAATTAATATTTTGCACATAGTGGATTCCTATTCAGTCTGAGATTGTGCATTTGATAGTTTAACCTACCGTGGCCAGTGTAGATCGCTTAAAAAGTGCTACTCTATCCAAACTGAATAGCAACTTGCTCCTTTTATCACATGGCCTTTCAAGGAACAGCTTCGAATGCCGCTGTACCTTATCGGACCATTACTGCTTAAACTTATCACTATATAGCTCCCTAATCTCTTATTTTGGCAGTACTTAGACTAATTCCACATACAGGTTCCAGAGTTACGGGAATATTGCCTGGTCATACTATAGGCACTATAGGAAATAACAATAATAATACTTTATTTATTTTGGGACAAGTCACTTTAGAATAATGTACTGAGATAGAAATGTGGGCTTTGGAGCCTCAGGGAATAATTACAAAATAAACAGATTTATATAATGAATAAATAAAAGAAAAGAAAATTATTTACCTTCAAACTTCAAAAAAGAGAAGAAAAAAATGAAATAAAAGTATTTAAAACAAACTAATTATTTATATACATATTTACCACATCTATTTACAATTTAATGAGAACTGAATGGATAAGAGGTGATTGAATAGGCGGGATTTCAAGGTGGGGAGGGTATTGGAGCGACTTATGTATGATGTACTTGGAAGAGGAAGGATGCTAGGAAATACTTACATCAGTAGAAAGGATAAAGCCATTTCAGATCTTCATAATAACGGGCAACAGAGGTGTCGCTTGGGATCCCAAAGATGAATCGTACAAGGCAATTTATCAATCGTTTTAGTTTCGCCTCGAGATCCCCAGAGACACCTCCATATACCGTACAGCAATAGTTGAAGTGAGGAAATATTAAGGAAGTTATCAGGATTTAACGGGTTTCAAATGGAAGTAGATGGCGGAGGTAATCTAGTTTTAAAATGGAAAAGGCACAGCAGAAAATATCGGTTACATGGTTTTTCCAGGAAAAGGTTTGATCAAAGGTTATTCCAAGGTTCTTAATGGTAGGATAGAAGTTTATAGGATTTTCATGTAGGAACAGGATTGGTACCTCCTTCAACAATTTTTGACCAAGAAGTAGTAGTAGTACTTCTTTACCAAGTACTGGAACACAAGACTTCATTTAGTGATATGGATAAACTTAAAAATGATATATATGTTCCCCTTTTATTTTTTAGATACATTTATCAGAAGATGGAAAAATTTCAATTTACAGTAGGAATCAAGAGAATAATACGTCAAAATATCCTGACATAGTTTCAAGATTAAAATCTGCTTTAAAAGACACAGTGAAATCGTGCATCATTGACACAGAAGCTGTCGCATGGGATCTAGAAACTCATAAAATCAGGCCATTCCAAATATTGACCACAAGAAAAAGGAAGGTGAGATTTTTATTTTGATAGATTTTTTTATTTTTATCATAATTGTTATTAATTTTTTTTTTCATTTTTCCAAGGATGCTAATGAATCAGAAATCAAAGTTCAGGTGTGCGTGTTCATGTTTGATTTATTATATCTAAATGGTGAATCACTTGTTAAAGAAACACTTCTTAAAAGAAGGGAACTACTAAGGGAAAACTTTGTTGAAGTTGAGGGTCAGTGGGCATTTGCCACGAGTCTTGATACGAGTGCGATGGAAGAAGTACAAGAGTTCTTAGAAGAATCTGTTAAAGGTAACACTATTTTCATAAGTTGTTTAGAACTTAATTGTAATAAGGTTATATTGACTTTTGTTGTATATTAGAATTCGGTAAAATTTTCTCCTCGTTACTGAACTCATATGACTTAAAAACTTCTAAAAATCTTTAAATTCCTATAATTTTCTGCCATAAGTTAATATAATATAAACTTCTTAAGAATTTTTTTCTCATAAAATTAATTTAGCGTTCCTTTTCAATTTTTTTTTTTTTTTTTTTGTAGCAGTTATATTGCAGTATTGTGACTTTATTGCTCATCTGTTTTCCTTAATATATTTGTATAGTTATGTATACACTTATTTTATTACTTATGTTTTAGTTATTCTTTTATTGGAATACCTCTCTTGGCCAGATGTAATGTTAATTTGTATGAACAATATTGTTATTCTTAAGGGAATTTGTCCCAGAATAAAGTTGATTTTTCTATTCTATTTTATAATTTTGAAGGGAAAGGAACATTATATAACTTCTATAATTTTAAATTTTTTTCTCCTTCTTTTTATTTCTTCACTCACACCAGAATAAATAAAGTTAATAAAGAATCACCAGTGAATTTGCTGTCAAAAAAATTAAATAAGATGGCATTGTTGGGCATGAGAGAGGGAGTGAGAGATATTTATTACTATCAGAGTTGAGTGAAAATTATCCTACTGATGATTGACAATTAATGTTTATTTTTAAAAAAATCTTGATTAATGATTATGATGATCTAATGACTGACATTAGCCATTAGTCATGATTGACATAAAACAACTAGTCGGATATTAATAGTCACTTTAAAAAGAAATCAATTTACAATATAAACTTTTTTTTTTATATTGTATCTAGTTAAACTACGTTGAGGTGTTATATATCCCTATTTAGTGGAATGGCAGCAGATTTTTGGGGACTCCTAACTTAATTTTGATGGTTAATTTTAAAGTTTACATTTGTTAAGATTTTTTTTCTATTGTTTGAAAAGAAATTTTTTCCTATTTTAGGTAACTGTGAAGGCTTGATGGTGAAAACCTTGGAAGAAGATGCTACTTACGAAATAGCTAAGCGATCAAGAAATTGGTTAAAACTCAAAAAAGATTACATCGATGGTGTCGGTGATAGCATCGATGTTGTTGTGATAGGTGGATACTTAGGGAGAGGTAAAAGAACGGGTCATTATGGAGGCTTTTTGTTGGCTTGTTACGATCCTGAAAATGAGGAATACCAATCTCTATGTAAGGTAAATAAATTACTTTTTAATATTCTGCATTTTATTTTATTCATGTCTTCTTATATTATTTCTCGAAGATTTTTTTTTTTTTTTTTGTCGGTACGCCATATCTTCGTCAATTCTTCATCAAATTCAATTATTGAGCGAAAAAATAGTCACATTCTTCCAAAATTTCAGTAAAACAGTTATGAAGGAAAAGAAAGAAACTTTATTTGTGAATATCTCTAAAAGTGTACATTTTTATGTAGATTGCATCCCTGATTACATGATTATGAAGGATTACTAAATTCCCTACAAAACAACCAAATTTGTAAATTTGTACTGACTGACAAAGTGAGCAAAGATTTGTATTTCAGACCACAAAAAATTATTCAAACCATGATTATTTAAAAGATTACTAAATTCTCTATTTTACAAAAAAAAAAAAAAAAAAAAAAAAAAAAAAAAAAAAAAAAAAATTGAATTCAGAACATTATCAGCTGAGATACAGATTGTTGTAATTCGTAAACATTTTGGTTTTAAACGAATGAAATTTTATAATAATTTTCTTTTCCTAGGTCGATTACAATTACCAAAAAAAAAAAAAAATTAAAAATGGTTCCTTCATCTTATTATTTAACTTCCTTATTTTTTTTTCATTTTTTCACTGACCATTATTCTTTGCGAATTATTTGCACGGGCCAACTAGTCTTTATTTATTTGGGAACATGTTAACTAGTGGTTTATTTTATTACTGATGGAGCTTTTTAGTCTTAATATTATAATTTTTCTTCAATCACTTTCTGCAATTTTTTATTTATTTCTATATACACTATTTAATTGTTTCATATTTTTCTTAACTATTTCCTGTTATATTAATGTATATTCTTCATTCCTTTTATACTTGTATGATTTTATCTCTTTTTGCTTAGTCATCTTGGACAATAATTATTTGTTTTTCATTTCACAGATTGGAACAGGCTTTAGTGACGAAGATTTACAAAAACATTCTGAATTTTTTAAAAGTCACGTCATTGAATCAGCTAAATCCTATTACCGCTATGAGGGCTCACTTGAACCAGACCACTGGTTCGATGCAGTACAGGTATGGGAAATAAAATGTGCTGATTTGTCCCTGTCTCCGGTCCATCGAGCTGCCATCGGTATTGTAAGTTTTCTTCCTATATTTCTTGTTACATATAATCTAAAGCTTTTTATTTACTGAGGTTTATAATATCAAAAGATGTCATATATTTTTTTATTGTATTTTATTTAGGTTGACCCAGAAAAGGGAATCTCATTAAGATTTCCAAGGTTTTTAAGAATACGAGAAGATAAACCTGTGGAACAAGCAACTTCAGCACAGCAGGTAAAGGACATTATAAAGAAGATTGTGTTTGATATTATATTATAATTTATTTTAAAACATTAGCACTTCAGCAAATATTTTCTTGTTGGAAACTTCACAGTGTCATATGTATTTTTTAAAGGTTTTTAACAGGTATTGAGTTTTTATAGAATGAAGTTTATTCCTAATGAATAAGTTTTCATTTTATGATCAAGTCTGAAAGATTTATTCATTATTACGAAGGCAGTTATGATGGTGAAGTTTAAGCAAGATTTAAAGAGAATTATAATGCTATGTAATATGATATATGAAAAAGAAAAACATAAAGTATTTATATTAACAATTAGCTTAGTTTCAATTCATTATATCATTGCATGTTTAAGATATTATTAACACACTTTTTAAATATTCATCTCATTTATTTGATTACGTTTTTAATTGTATTATTTATATTTTCTTTTCAGATTGCTGACATGTATCATAATCAAGATATAATTAAAAATCAGCAAAATGAAAATAAAAAGATATCAGAAGAAGACTTTTACTGATAACTTTATTTCGTATTTGTAAATATAATTGTAAAAAACAAATTTTATAAACTTCTCTTATTGCTGACATTTGTCAGAATGTATAAATATTTAATGTTATTATATCTTAAATACAGACCGTTGTTAAATATTTAATATTTCATGGAATAAAACTATGTTAAAGGTTTGTTTTGTTTTGTTTTTTCTTTAATAATCTAAACTATAACTATTTCCGTTTTGTCCCTTTAATTCTGGAAGAAGTGAATGTTCTTCCCTTAAATCTCCTTCATGGACCATACGCTGTCAGTCAGAATGACATTCTGACTGATCGTTTAAGGTTGAAATTGATCAATTGATGGACTATATTCACAGATTTCCTATTAATTTTTAATTTTTTAAGATTTCCATTGGCACAGACAGACCAATGGCTAAAAATGTGTTTTTCAGACTCAGGGGGCTCTGAAATGTATAGATCCGTCGAAAACCGCATGTCGGAAATTTGACCCGATTGCAATACTATCCTTACCTACTATAGGTAGGAAAGTAAAAACCCAGATGCATGCATACACAACTTTCATTTATCTCTCTAATTTGAATAAAAATTATTTTCTGGCAATGTTGAGTAATTATAAAATTTTTAAAATGCACTTTTAACGAGCTATAGCTTAAAGCTAACAAACCATTAAGACCACTAAAATCCAAGCTTCAATCCTGGGATGTTGAGAGTGGTATAACCGTCAGTCTTGTGCTAGGTCTAACGAGTAATAAATATTCCTACTTGTTTTTAATATAAATAATTTTCTATGTCACTGTATGTTTATAGGGATCTTTAAATTAAAACATTAATCTTTTTTTATGATAATAATTTTTTAAAAAATGGAAGACCCCATTTTACTTATAAAAAATTCAATTATTAACTTAGTGGTGTATATTTGTTAGTTATTTCTAATGATGGATTGATGGTTGACTAGATTTTTACTGCAAGATAAGGTAATTGAGGATTGCTTTCAGTGAAGTACACAAAATTGTTTAATACCGTCTATAATTTTTAATTTCACTTACATTTGTCTGAAAATACTTATTTCTGCTAAGACAGTACAAATTGTGTGTTGCGCGCACTGCTCCAGATTTTATTTTTCTGTTGACATAAGCCTTTTGCCACCTTACTCTGCCTTTTTCTTTCCAATGATTTTCATCCAGCTCTCTTTGATGTTTATTTGTTGGTTCTATTTATCCATCTGGTTATTGGCCTTCCACCAGGTCTTTGGGATTCTATTGAGACGTTTATTGTAGTGTATAGATTTCCAGATGGATTGTTCTAAGGTACATGTCCTGTCCATCTTAATTTCCTTTCCTTCATATCATGTGATAGTGATTGGCCAGCTATTTATTGTTCTGTCTCCTCCAAATGTTAGTATTCTGATCCCAATATGGTCTATTATCCTCTTATATTACTGATTTTTTATTGTACTGCAATAAATTTCTTGACTTCAAGAAGGCATTTGATAGCACTCTACATGCAGGGATATTTAAGGCACTGAAAACAGTAGGAATAGAGGAAAAATATGTTACAATAATCAGAGAACTTTACTATGAAATCTCGGCATTTATCATGACAGAGAAAAAAGGTCAAAACTTTAGGGTGGAAAAGCGTGTGCGGCAAGGAGACCTGTTATCCCCACTTTTGTTTATACTTGTGTTGGAGATGGTATTCTGGCATCTTGGATGGGAAAACACAGGAATTAAAATAAACGGAAAATGGTTAAGCAACTTACGTTTTGCAGATGACATCGTGCTTTATGCCAAAGACATCCAACAACTGCGGGCAATGATCAAGCATCTTTTAAAACTGTGTGAATAAATTGGCCTTTACCCCCATCAAAAGACTAAATTAATGACAAATAGGGAAAAAGAAGAATGTAAGGTAAACAACCACAGTTTGGAATACGTAGAGGAGTATATTTACTTGGACCACTTAGTATCATTCACAGGAAGAGGAGCCAAGGAATTCCAGCGGAGAATGGCACTCGGCTGGAATAAGTTTTGGTCCCTCAAGTATATCATGAAAAGAAATATAAGTATTGAGCTAAAAAGACAGGTCTTCGACAGTTGCATAATTCCAGTAGTTACTTATGGATGCCAAGCTTGGTCATTGACAAAAGCTCTAGAGAAGAAGATCCAGGTGTGGCAGAATGAAATCGAAAGATATATTATGAATGTGAAGAAAAAGGACAGAGTGAGAAATGACAGGATCAAAAAAGAAACAGGACTCACAGTTACCCTAAGGCGGACACGAGTTAGCAAATGGAAATGAGCTGGGCATCTCCTTCGAAGCAAAGATAATAGATGGTCAAGAATGGTCACATACTTGACTCCATATGATATAAAAAGAAGAAGAGTTCACGTTTAAGCAGATAGCAAGACCCCTCTAGTAGATAGCTGCTAGAGACAGGCACTGTACCACACCTTGCACAGCAACCTGATAACTGAAGTTTAGAGGAAAAAACAATTATGAGTTCGTGTCCTAGTGTTGGGGAGCTTTTAACTCTGGCATTAATCCCCCACCCTCACCCCCTGGCCCGGGGAAACTCCCGTATAGCCTAAAAGGCAAGAAAAAAAAAAACCCTGTTGTAAAGTCAACATTTTCAAAACCAGTTCCATTGGCTGACGAATAATTTCACAAAAACAAAAGATAACTTTCCAAAGATTTGTGGTTGACAATGGTTTGATCTCATGTACCGTTTTATAAATTAAATTATCCGCCTTTTAATGTTTAATGGAATAATACGCTTTGTGTGAAATTCCCGATGAGTAATATATACTAGACTATACTACCTAAAGTTATCTGGTGTGCTACAACTAGATCTTGGAAAATAGCCATTATGTAGAGTTGTTTAAGGCAAATTGCTCCTGATTTAAGATATATTTATTCAAACTGCTAATTTATTAGTGGGAGTTTTAAGTACAGACTGCTCAGGATCAAAATTTGTATTGAAAATTAAGAACAAAACCAAAGCTGACATGATAAGTTGCTTTGTAGTTGATAGATTGAAATTATTGTATTTATCACTTACTTACAATACTTGTACTGCTTATAGTATCAGATGCAGTGCCTAAAATCACAAAAGCTTCAAACAAATCTAATTTTACAGTAACATAGAGTAAAGATGAACAAACCTATTTTTAATCGAAGAGATTTTAAACACATTTTTTTGTTATACTTCCCAGTTTTTGCTTGCTTAGTATATGGCACATTTGATTATTTATTACATTTAAATACACTTTCTAGATATTGCAGAAATATCCAAGTCATTCAGTATGATGGCGTTTGGTTAACAAACTATTTTATTAATAGATTTTTCTTTGGTTGATTTAAATAAGTAAAAATATATTTTATCTTGTAAATAAATATTTATATTTTTAAACAGATAAAAAAAAAGGTATAAGAAATTTTATAACATTTTTGGTTATTTTACATTTTGCCAGGCACAGTAAACTAAATTTGACAAAATATTGAACGGTTGCAGAAAGAGGTCCGTTTGACAGACAGTGTTTTGTTTCTTGAAAAACTCAAACCAAAGAACATCATTTTTAAATACTACAAAACATTATTGAAAAGTGATTTATAAAATGGAATAACTTAATTTATAAATTATTATTATTATTTATAAACGATTTCATAAATCAAAAGTATTATTTTTTAAAAACTTTTACACACTTCATAAGTAGTTCATTATAATCACAATGTTCTGTTTTACAGGTAAATAAAAATAAACAGACAAAAGTGGAATTATAATAACAATTTTCAAACTTTATATAAAGAAAACTAGCTATTTATTCAGAATATTGATAATAATAAATTGAAAATTTCTTTAATTATATTAAAAATCTATTTTAAAAACAGTTTAATGAACAGAAAATAATACAAGATATTTTATTCATAAAGTACATAAAATATTTCTTCTTACTGATTTCATACATAATGAGGAATGAATTCCATTTTTATTAGAAAGGTAACAATTGTTACCAATTAAAAACAAAATTTAAACCATCAATTTTACACACAGTCTTGAACACAATTTATCTAGCTTAATAAATTTGTATATAACTAGAAAAATTTGCCCAAGCACATAATTAGTTTCTGAAATACATTCAAAAGATCCAATCTTTTTCTTCGTCACCGTCGGTCGAACATTCACCAACAAATATTAAATAGTAAAATTAAAAATTGTTTCTAAGTCCATTTAATATTTACACACTGTACAACTTTAATGTTCTGTCCATGCTCGTCGAAGCGATGAATGAAGCATTTCTTCCGAACCTAACTCCAGTAGCCATTGCAGTGTGATCGTTAAAAACTTTCAACTCGGACCACTGCTTACAAACATACACCCTAAAAATACACATTATGTTTAAACATATACATAACAAATAATCAAGTATATTATATTCAACACAAAATATTTAGTATGGAATAAAAATGAAGAAATTTTGGTTTATTATTTTCAATAATGAACCATTGTAATCATTCAAAAACTTAACCCTCCTCTCAAAATTTGAGATTTTATATTTCAGAGGATACGTAGTGTAAATAACCTACTGAAAGTTAAATTTTAAATAATTTGTTTTGGCTGGAATAGGCGAATAGCCTTCCGCTTTTAATGGGGAATTGGGTTATTTACACTCGTGAATATTAAAACAAAACCCCGGCACTGGATATAGACTTTTTTGAGGGTGTTTAACTGTCGTTGGAAATTTGGGAATCTAATACCTTTTGTGTCAATGAGTGAGAAGAAACAATAAGAATATATATTTGAAATGTGGGACTTAGTAAATACACTTTGAATGAATTGACTGGCTTGTTATTCTTCAATCGTGAGGCAACTAAATAAATAAATGGCTTTTCACTCCCGTATAACAAAATAATTTATTTCTACAGCTATAATAAACTGACTCTATTCAAGTGTTATAACTATAGACTTGATCTCCTAAATCTTGTAGTAGATTCTCTTCTCAGGTATGTCGTTCCGCCTTAATGTCTCAGACTTAAGTCCGTCCTCTCTTCTCTCCAGCTTTTGCTACCTGCTGGGTACTTTCGGTACCTTCTTCATCAATTATTCATCGATATGAGACTTTTCCAATTTGTCCACTGCACAATTGAGTAAAATTCACAGTGCAACCTCAGATTCCTATATAGTATATATTCCTTCTCATACCCTCACACAATTTCACCTAAAGGAATAAATAGAGGGGGACGTCAACTACAGTAGAACTCAAAAATCGAATAAAAAAATTTTGTCTGTCAGCCATCCGTCGTCTGTGCATTTTTTCCGTGTCTACTGGACCCATTATTTTCAAATTTGGAATCAAAGTCAGAGGTCCCCACAGGAAGATCCTTCTACCTGTTAGGTAACATCCGAAACGGTGCCGAGTGCAAAGGTTTAATACAGGTAAAGATTAAATAAAGATACAATAAAGAGACAAAGACAATTACTAAAGAAACCAAATTACATTAAAAAATAAATGCCTAGAAAATAACATGAGTTGTGATGGGGTTGAATCGGAAATGGGCAAAAGTTACTCTGAGTACTGATTACCAAGTATTTTATTCAAATACTGACCTTTTTTGAGTACCAAAAAATTTAATTACTACTTTATTTGATGTCAAACGATTAACTGAAGTAGTGATTGAATTCCCAATGTTAATTCAATTAGATTAAAATACTTGGCACTCTGTATTCAGAGTAGCATTTGTCCATCTCTGGGTTGAATGGAAGCTTAAGGAATCATTTTAAATAAGGATACATGGATATATTTTTTTTTTTTTTCAATTCTTTACCTTATATCTGTACCAGCAACAGCCAAATATGTTCCACTTTGATCAAAACATAAATCCTTGATCTCGTAACCGTCGTCAACTTGTAGAGTTTTAAAATTCTTAAGTTTCCTCAAATCCCAGAGTTTAATACAGGTATCATCAGCAGCTGTTGCCAAATAGTAACCATTTTCAGAAAATGATATCGCCGTGATAGGACCAGAATGACCTAGAAACAAAATAATATAAATAAAATTATCAAAATGTATATTATATTAAGTATTTAACAATGTTCCTATATATATGCTCCTATAATTATTAAGTATTTAACAATGCTCCTAAAGTTTTTGCTACAAAAAAATATAGAGTGAAAAAATAAAATTATCAATATTTCCTAATTATTTAATGGATTAAGTCTAATTCTCATAAACATTACCTTTGCCCAACAAGTTGTAGCAATTGAATATATAAAAAGAGAGTTAGCGTTTCGGTAATGAAGGAATTAAATAAATACTACTTTTATTAGTACCTGAAAAGTTGGCAACATTTGATTGTTCTTTCAGATCCCAGATCTTAACTTGTGAGTCAGAGGTACCAGTACCAAAAATAAGGCCGTCAGGATGAAACTGCGCAGTCGTTAGAGCAACTGCATTTCCTCCTTCTGCCACCTATCCAATACACAGATAAATTCATTAAAAGTTTTTAATAAGTAAATTAAAACTACCTTAAACAGAGCAAAATATTTTTCTAAATTAACAATAATAATCCTGGAACATCATAGCAATGTACTTCTCAATTGGTGAACTTAAGGAATATAAAGATCTCTTACACCGTAAAGTTTCATGGATGAACTCACTTTGGCCAAGAAACTTAGCCATGTAAAAGGGTTTCGTTATGTTGAAGGACCAAATCATCCACGCTGGAAAATTTTGACAAAACTATAGCAACGGTGCATGAGTTAAGGAAATATAACATTCTTAAAACATGCAGTGTATCCCCCCATTTTTCTATTATTATTATCAGTGTGACTTTTTAATTTACTTATTATAATAATAGAAGAAGTATTACATCAGGCAGATGAAGGAAGAAACGGAAAGACTTGGAATAACGGACCAGGACTGTCTGGACAGAGAGGGGTATGGTAAGAGACTAAGGGAGATCACGGTTCTTGTTAAGAAGAAAAGTTCGAGAAAGGGAGTCTTGTGGACGGAGGAGAGAAAGCGGCAGCACGTGGACATAATGAGAGAGAAGTGGAAAGAAAGGAAAAACAAGAAAGAAGCAAAATGTCATGATATTCGTGTGGTCTCCGTGATTATGGCCGTTCCGTGAAAAAAAAAAAAAAAATACAAGAAGTATAATCAAACCTATTCTAACCAGAGTGGGAATTCATTCCTTGAATAATGAAATAAATTTAAACCCGTCCAGACTGGATTCTAATTGCCACAACACTCGAAAATATTAAAGCAGGCAATGCTTCAAAATTCTTGGCATCCACGGTGTAATAAAAAAAATCAGTGCCTCTATAACCAACCACGGAATCCATGAAGGGTCTTGATACACAATTTATTTAACACAACATAATTTAGTACTTTGTAAAGAAATCTTGGTCTATGGTTGTGCAGAGGGAGGTGATTTGATTGAAATTATGCTCAACCGCTCGGTTTCATCCCTTAATCAATTGTTAAATTAAGGAAATTCACTTTATAGTGGCTGGGTGTGACCAAGGAGGATCTGCTGACCACAAGTTTGAGCCACGACCGATATAACAGGATAAATAGTTACCTGCCTCAACCAGATTCAAACCTTGGAGCTGCAGCATTAGAGTACAATGGTTTACTCACTGAGCTATTCCATTCATGTTTTGTACTTAAAGCTAGTTCCAGGTGGTGGTGTTATGAATGCTTAGCTTGAAACAACTCAACAGAATATTTGTAGTTTTAAAAGAGAAGTATTCTATTTTCTAGTCATTTACAATTATGAGACATTTCTGCAAGACTAAGTTCCTGTTCACCGTTTACACTTAATAAAAAAAATTCTCAGAAGTAGAGTGGAATCTACAGCCTTGATGTTAGGAGTTTCTAATCTATAAAGTGAACGGGTATCATTAAATAAAATCAACTTCTGGCAGAAATATGGGTAAAAGTAAAAGGCAATGATGGCCAATACTTACGTGTAATGAGAATCTTTTATATTGGAACTTAAATAAAATTTATTATAGACACAAAGTTTCCAGTAATAACTTATCTTAAAGGTTACAATTGACTATCTTCTAATTATAAATTTAGTAAACAGAAGTTCAGTCATAAGAAGAGAAAAAAGTTACCTTGGTAAGCAGGCGTCCTGATCTAATATCTGAGAAGGCCCAGTGTTGGTCGGTTGATGTCGACAGAACATAATCTCCCGTAGGATGGAGGGAAAGTCCCGTTACCGGAGCATCGTGTGCTCTCAACAGCTGTAAAGGCTGAGAATTTGGCACGTTCCATACACGAATAGTTGTATCTGGAGAAGCTGTAATAACAACATCCTAAAAAAGAAATATGTTTGTTATGGCTTTTTTTTTTTTTTTTTAATAAAATGAAATAAAATAAACTGAACGTTAAATTTAAGTTTGAAATTGCAGTATTTGAAGACAAAATGACATACCTCATCTGGATGGTAAATAACCCTGGTGACTTTTTTCGTATGACCTTTCAGGATAGCAACAACCTGTTCGGTATCTTTGTTAAAAACTGTCGCATTCCTGTCGTTACCTCCAGTCAAGATTTTACTAGTATCTGCTTGATGGATGTCAAGAGAAAGAATACCAGGCACAGATGCACTATGCAAACCCTGGAAAATGAATTTTATTAGTTTCATTAAAATATATAAATATCTCGGCATATTGATTATAAGTGGAGAACCTGCGGCCTTTAAACATTTTTGAGTGATATTTACTAATCTAGTCCTAAAATTAATCAATACTTAATTATTAAAGTTAAGAAAATTTGAAAATTAATAGAATAAGTTGATTATATGTATATGGGTGTATTTATTTAGTGATAAATAAAAATAGTAATATAAAAATTTATTGCAGCCTCCATTAGCACTGCTTCTATTGATAAAAAGGTTCTCCACCTATGTTATAGGTAAATAAGTAACTATAATTAAATTAATAAATATAATTAATTATAAATATAATATAATATAAAATATAATTAAATAAGTAACTAAAATATCATTTTAGGAACCAGTGCATGAGAATTTTTATCTTTCTGATAATTGCCATTTTAAGTGCAGAAAGATGGCCATACCCAGATAACACCCACTATAGTAAAAAAATACATACTGTTGACAAACTTAAATTTAACACATTAGCTGTGGTTACGGACACCGGGTTCCAATATTCGTCTTGACTTCGGCTGGGATTTCACCGAATTTCGCTTATCTTACAAAGTCTCTAAAATGGCCATTCTTAAAAATATTTGAATGGGAGTTGGATAGAAATAAAAATAGATACAAACGTAAATAATCATTATATCTAATATAAAGCTACACTACAGGACACCGGGAAATATAACTGCAGCTAACATGTTAAATAGATAGTCTACATTTTTTCCATGTTTTAAAAGCCTGTACCGCTAGAACCCATGAAGGTTCTAGGGTTAAATACTTAGTAAATGATTCTTGATTGTGCAAGGTGATTTGACCGAAATCAAACCTAACCGTCAGGTCAACCCCCATATCAATTATTTAAGGACATCCACTTAATAGAGACTGGGTGTGCCACAGGAGGGTCTCCTGACCCCAGAATCAATCCATGGCTGGCGGAATAGAATAAATAATTTATCTGACATCAGCCGGATGAACGTGAGACCTTGAACATTGAAAGTCAGCACCCAACCACTGAGCTACCCCATTCCCTTTTAGCTAGATTTATTAAGATTCAAATTATAACAGAAAAATTTGGACATTAAAAAAGTAATTTCGATGTCATCTACCCATTAAATAAAAACTCTGTTAAAAAAATACTGATTATAAAATCCTACACATTCATGTTGTTTATATGAAATTTATATAAAAAAACAGAAAACAAATAATCTAAAATAAACAATATTCTATAACAGTAAAGCAAATTCCGTTTTAAATAAAAATTGTTTCTATTATAATTTGAATTCTAATTCTTGCATCTTCAGCAATTTGCCACCTAAATATTTACATCTATTATATTTATAAATCACTGATTTTTATGAAAATAGAAGAGATTATGAAAACATTAAAAAAAAAAATGTATTTGTTTTTTCGAATGAAAAAGCAAGGGAATAGCCCTCAGATGAATCTAAATTGAATTTCCAGATTTAGATTCATATAAAAATATACATTTAGATAAATTTAATTTAGATTCCTCTGAGACTTAGGTGATTAGTACCAATAGAAAAAACTGTATTTTTTCTTCAAGAAAACATAACTTAAAAAAAGAATTAATTAATATATATGAAGTAAAGTTGAATTAACACATTTATACATGATTTCATAGAAACTTCTATAGAAATCCGAACCATTGGTTCAGAAAAATATTAAGTAAAACCAACTATATAGTATGCTAGTTCAGTGTCGTATCTGGCCAGAGAGTGGGTCTAGATCTCATCGGTCATACTGTATATTACTCTCAGAAGCAATTGAGTTTGTGAAAATATAGTAGGAATGGCTAACTTAATCAAACTTAGGAACTAATTCAGGAAAGTATTCGATGATGAATTGAAAAGAATCCATCTCCACTGATAACCCTGACTTAGGTTTTTTAATTTAGTTGGTCCTTAATTTAAATTGAGGGTACATTTATGAGACTCGTATGAGGTTTAAGATATTCCTTGAGCAAGCGTAGCAAACATAATTGTCAACACTTAGCTAATTTCAGAATTCTATCGTCAGTATGAATGATGTGATCTTGACCCACCATTCAACTCAATGGGAAATTAATGAAATATTACCTAGAATACTTACAGGATGGGAAGCAACAGTTTTATAATTTCTAATGTTTTCTTGAGGAACAAGATCTTCAGGAACTGTTCTGCCTCTCTTCTTTCTTTCCTGAGTAAGAACGGTAGCCTTATCTTGAAGTTTCTGGATAACTTCAGCAGACATTCCTGCTTGTTCAGTAGGTTGGTTAGCCACTCCCCCAGCTTCAACAGCCAATGCCTAAAATAGAAATTGAAAGATGAGTTGTTTATATAATGATTATCCCATCATATTTGTAAAACAATAAAAGAAAACTTACTGGTTGTGGAATAGCAGTCGGTTGAGCAATGCCAGCTTGGGGCTTCAGCGTAGCCAAAGCTTCTCTGGCAGCTGTCACTTCCTTCGTTAACCTACCGATAACTCTGCATGCTGCATCATGTTGATATAAGGCGTGACTTAGTTCCTGCCTTGCAGTTTGTAATTGCTGTCTCTGAGTAAAACTTTGCAACATAACTGCATCCCACTCATCTTGCAATGTTTTTAATATAGCAGGAATGGAAGTAGCTGAAGGTGGCTTGGGCTTTACGACAGGTGTTGCTATTCAAGGAAACATAAATTAATCATAAAAAATTACCAAAAATTAAACACTTTTTGTTATTAGAAAGAAAATTACTTTTAATTTCTATGAGCTGTTCAACATTAAGATCCTTTCCATTGATTGGATCAGTGCCACTCTCAGAAATGTATTTTTCAATCAGTCTACGCTCAAATATACAACCAGAAACAGGAGAAACTACTGGATGTTCTGGAACTTCATTAGATACTGAAAAATCGAAACACAACTTTAAACTAAACAGTAAATAAACAACTTTTAAAAGGAAAAATTCATTGGTATGTTATGAAAACTGATGACTTTTAATAAAATGAGACTAACGTGCACAGCAAAGAGACATTATTAGATGTTTTTAAAGACTGGATCAGATATTAAAAACACTGAGTAACTTAAATAACTAATAACACTTTAATCTCACAAACATCACACAAAACGAGCGACCACGACTCTACTCAAGCTACACCGGCATTAGATAAAGAACTGTTTAATAATTCATATTTTTTTCAAATTAATTATTTCCAAATACTGATTATTAAAATAATAAATTTATTTTACGGTTAAAATAAATTGTATGATTAAAAAATTTTACGTATCTCAGTAAAAAAGATAATGTGGTAAAGATGTTTGGTTATTTCGCGATCTTGGCACCATCTGCTTGTGAAGTTTATCTGTACTCTAGGTTGTGAATGACGTATTATTTTTATTTATTAAATATATTTCAAAGAAGAAGTACAGTTACATCATCTAGTTAAAACGTAAGTGAAGGCCATAAGACGATAGCTCTATTATTCATATGATTATTTCCCTAAATCCTGTTTATTAACCCTCAACAAATGTAATGATAACTTGGCTAATTGGATGATAGTTATTCTAAATCTGAACAAAATTAGTTATGGCCCTAATTTTTAGATAATTGCTATTTGTGCTATGGAAACAACAAATGCCCCCGGACCATCTAAAAGTGGGAAAGATGGAGAAGAAAAAGAAGAGAACCCACTTTTTGAGTGCAACATATGCCTTGACACAGCCAAAGATGCAGTTGTCAGTATGTGTGGTCACCTATTTTGGTGAGTTGTTTACTATTAATTTTGTGTAATGTATTTTGACAACTCATAAATATTTTTATTTAAATAACATTGTATTAGTTGTGTACATTATGTAAGTTGGTTCATTTAGGATTGACAGTTATTTTAATCTGAAATCAGTAGTTTGTTTAATCAGTAGTACATTATATGTACAGATTTCATTATTTTGAGTACTGCTTTTAAAACCTATGTCGCTGGAAGGGGTCCATTCGTTTTACTATTCTATGGAAAACTTTCAGATAATCAAATCTTATCTTATCAAAAAAATTTTGATCAGCTAAGAAATAAAAATTCATTAGTGATTATGATGATATATTAGCTCATAATTTATAATTAATTATTGTGTTAGGTCTTGGACAAGTAAATATTATAAACTTGGTCAATTCCTAATCAGTTACTGTCAAAACTTCAAACTAGAATTTTGTTTTATTGTGATCTTTTAATTTTAATTTGAAGGCATCTTGAAATATAACACTTGAAAAAGTTTACATTAGTTGTAATTGCTTAATCATATTTATTAACATAATTGAAACTCAAAACCCTATATAAGCATTAATTATTTATTTCACAGTATTGTTATTTTATTTTTTTCTTAAATCTAATATTGTATTTGAACCTTTAATCCAGAGATTGAGATAACTTGACACGCCCACAATGTATTTTTGAAATATTATTTATTTATTTTAAGGCTGATCAAAAATTATCAGACTTATGGACCAGTCAAAGGTTTATTGGCCTTGTTATCTTGAACTGAAATGTAATGTCAATAACATGTTTTTTTTTTTATTTCTGTTAAGAGTGTCTTTTCGATTTTAATTAAATCTTGATATAATTTTACTTTCACTTATCGCTAATAATAATTACATTTTATGTTGTTAGGAATTTAATACGTTTTTGATTAGCCCTTACTGCTTTTTATGTTCCTTGTGCAATATAAACAATACTAATATTTTATTATGCTGAGTTAAATAGGTAGAATATTAATAATTTAATGGCTTGAAAATTACATAATATTTATTCAGTTAAATTGTTTTTGTTTTAAAATAATTGTATTGTTTTCTTCTAATTTGCATTATTTAATGGACCTTGAAACACTTGATGCCTTAAAAGTTATTATACAACTCATAAGTTATTTCAATTAGTTCATTTTATTCCTTAGTAATATATTTAATATGACTTTACTTCAGCATTTACTAAAATTTAAATTTAAATCGCCTCAATTTCTATGCAGAAGTGAATTGTAGTCTAAACAACTTTCACTTGTCTATATCAGTGATATTTTAGTTCGCATAACTTAAACCTGATAATAGCTAATGTTGAAAATAATGAATTTTGTAATCCAGGATTTAATTTTTTTATATATATAAATTATTCCAGAATCTGTTAAGTGTAGGTTCCACTCTACTTAACCTCTGTATTTTTTTAATCTTATTTTCATTCACTTTATTTGCCCTTTCTGTTAATCATCATAGCTCTAAAGTAACTTAACTACACTATTTGTGATCCTTCCACTTATGAATTTTGGTTAGTTTCACAACAGTTGCATGTCAAACCGACCATATGTCCATATCATAGGAAGTAATAACATAACATTTTGAAACTGATGTCATAACGTAAAAAGTGATACTTGAGGGGAAAAGAGTAATAATATAACTAAGACAATATAACGAATTACTTATTGTTGAATTGTTATGGTTAGGTTTTTATGTATTTCTGCTTGTTTAAAATGACCCTTAGGAAAAAAAAAGAAGTATTTTTATTTATTTGATTGTTTCCTATTACTGTATTTTAGGTAGATATCTTCTTGTGTAGTGTGTTTCTGTTTTATATTCTTTGTATTTGTTATTCTTTTTTTTTTCTAATGATTAAAACTATAGTGGTAAATATCATTAGTAAAAAAAAAAGATTTAAATTAATCATTCAGTGAATCATCTGAAGGTATTTGCATCATTGAATGTAAATAATCTATTAATAAAATGAGCATTTGAATCGTAATGAGTTTAATGTTTTATTCTATTCTTATTTTGTTTTGTGTTTGAGAATACATATTTAAAATAAATAAATATATATATATATATATATATATACAGTTTTGTTTAAAATTAAGAGAAAAAATAAAGTTTTTTAGAATATAAGTTTACTACATCGGGCTTGAAAATTAAAGGGGAAAAAAAATTGCATTTTTTTTCTGAATGCCTTAGAGAAAAGCACTTTATTATAAAAGGGGTGCTGCCATACAAACAATTTGTCTTAGAAAATTTCAAGAGGAATCTACTGAATTGATCAATTGATTTTGTATATTTAAAATATATTTTCTTTATTTTACTATCTTGGAAAGAAAATACAAATACTTATTATGTATTTAAAAAGAAAAAAAAATACAGTTACTAACAATCCATTTTATGTTTTACTTCAAAATATTTTATTTTGTATTTTAAAATATTTTATTTAAAGACTGTCCAGGTCTAGTTTGAAGTAATGTAAACTTTATAATAGAAAAAAGCTGTGTCACCACAACCCATGAAAAATCTTGTGTTTTAAGGTTTACTGGTTTCTAGCCAACGGTTGTGCAAGGTGTTGAATAATCCCAAGCTTGTGCTTAACTGCCAGGTTTTCCCTGTAATGGGAAACAATCAAATGAATAAAAATACTTCTTTTTTTTCCTAAGGGCCATTTTAAACAAGCAGAAATACATAAAAACCTAACCATTACAATTCAACAATAAGTAATTCGTTATATTGTCTTGGCTATATTATTACTCTTTTCCCCTCATAGTATCACTTTTTACGTTATGACATCAGTTTCAAAATGTTATGTTATCACTTCCTATGATACGGACATATGGTCGGTTTGACATGCAACTGTTGTGAAACTAACCAAAATTCATAAGTGGAAGGATCACAAATAGTGTAGTTAAGTTACTTTAGAGCTATGATGATTAACAGAAAGGGCAAATAAATTGAATGAAAATAAGATTTAAAAAATACAGAGGTTAAGTAGAGTGGAACCTACACTTACCCACATTATAGAAGTTGGGAATGACGCCCTTTGAAAGTTTTTTTTATTATACATTTGACTCTACTTCTAATAGATTTCTCAAAAGTTTGTTTAATAGATTTGTTGGAAATAATTAACAATCTTTCATGGTTAGTAGTAATAAGAAACAGATAAATATAAACAATGAAAAAATTTGATTATTAAGAGAAAGATTTTCCCTTATTAAAAAAAAAAATTCTAGTAATAAGAGTAGTATTGTACATGTATATATTGTTCTTCATCTTCCGGCACTAAAACTCAGTGGTGAGTCAAGGCCTCCCCCAACATCAACTGCCACTATTCCCAGTTCGTTGCCACTGCCTTCCTTACTCCCGAGATGGACCGTGAATCGTCCACCACTCCATCGGCCCACCTAAGCCTCGGCCTTCTCTTGCCGTGTATCCTTTCTTCCAAAAGTTTCTTTGTTGACCTCTTCATTCTTCATTCGAGCAACATGGCCTGCCCAACTAAGCCTTCCGATGACATTTGTATCATTATACATTCTTTCTATTTCAGAATTACTTCTTTGTCGCCAAACGTTATCACTGAACACTAGCCCAAGGATTCTTCTAAGGATCCACCTCTCGAATCTTAGGTGTATTAGTTCTTAACCTCTAGAGATCGTCCAACTTCAGAAGCATAACACAGAACAGGCCTTATGAGGGTCTTATAAAGCTGCACCTTGGCGATCCTTGAAAGACATCTACTGACATGATATGTTTCAGGAGCCCGAAATAGCATTTGTTTGTAGCCATTAACCGTCTTTTAATTTCTTGCTGCATATTATTGTCTGAATTCACTTGAGAGCCAAATAAATAAATTTGTTCACACACTCTAACTTGAATTCACTGATTTTAACGTGGGCATCCTGCCAGTCTAATGCTAGCGGACCGGGTCTCATCTATTTCGATTTTTACTCATTTATTGTTAGACCCACTCTTTGTGCCGCTTTCTGTAGAGTGAGAAATGCCTCCTTCATAGATGCCAAGCTTCTTCCCATTATGTTCAAGTCATCCGTGAAGCCAAGGATTTGAGCCGATTTCTTAAATAAGATGCCTCCAATTTGTACATCTGTGCTTTTAACAGCATGTATAAAATATTAATGGAAAGATAAAAAAATTTAGAAAAATTAATATCTAACATATATAGAAGACAATAGCTGGTCATCAAAAACTCATAATTATAAAACATATTTATGAATTCACTAGTTTTAAATAACAAAATAAAGGTAGTATTATAGTTTAATTCTTTGGACCATCTTTCATCTTTCAATCTCTCCATATGTCCAGCTCAGTTCCACTTTAACCGATGATCTTCAGCCCTTAAGCTTTTAATATTCACTTTTCGAAGAATGTCTTTATTTCTTGTTTTTTCTGTCTTCTTGGTTGACATTAAACTCCTTAAAAGCTTCATCTGCATTTAAGTCTGCAGTCCAAAGCATGTACTGTGTATATCCCAAGAGAGAACAGCAGAAAAATGAGGTGGAGGGACAAAATGACTCAGTATGTAGGCGATAACTGTGGCTTGTGGCTAGGAATAGAAGCAGATGAAAACAACTTATAAACAATATTTGGTTACTTTGTTTTGTTTTATCATATTCCTTTTGTCTTTTTTATTATCCGAGTGCTTTCAAGACTGTTCTGTTTATTATATGGCTTTTGTTTTTATCTCAAGCCTTACATAGTTATTTTATGAAAGAAATTCATATCTATTTTGTTTTATTTTAAACATTTTAATAAAAGTAATAATTTAAACATATTTTAGTACTTTTTGTCCAGGGGGCCGCTCCTGACTGCTATCACCCAATGTTTATAACCTGAACACTGATAACTCCCGTAACGCAGTGATAAGCCTTCTCCTACTTCATATCTTTGTATTATTGTATTAAATTCGTATTATTGAAAGTGTTAACAGATACAAAAACAAATGTAATAACAAAAAAAAAAAAACTTTTGTTTGACGACACATATATAATTGAAATAATAAAAAAACACTTTAAGAAGATATGTACATATAAAACTGAAATACCTTTAGACAAAATGAAATAATAAAAAAACACATTTAAAATAACATATTTACATAGAAAAGAAAAAATATCAACACTTTAAACAGCATATGCACAAATTATTTTCAGTTAATTATTCACTTCCTTTTGTCTTATTTATTTTGGAAGGCAAAATTGTTTCTCTGTGAGCCCGCCGCCACAAAAATTCGTAAAAATATGAATCAAGGTGTTGTCTGGCAGTTCCTCTATGTACTTTATTTCTCCACTTCGCTGAGCCCCATAATCGTTCTATGTGTTGAGTATGAACCCCAGTTGATGGATCGACAAAATTATACCGGTGATTCACTTGGAAATGGTCATAGTTTGCTTCGTTCAGTTGTCAGGTGTTGTATCCTTTCCAACAGTCCGAATAAATGGTCGTTCCCTCTTCAATATTTTCTTTAAATGCTTGTAATAAGGTTGTTGCCTTTCTGTCAATTATTCGATTCCTCGTCAATAATTCGATGACCTCGTTCACACAATTTCACGTCGGCAAGTACCCCAACATTTTGAAACTACTGAATTGCCTGTTCTTCTGAAGATGGTAAATCCCATATTCTAAGAAGATCCATGACGAAAATAAACGGGAAAAAAATGAAAAATAAACACTAAGGGGCCACAAACTAAAAAAAAATATAAAATAAACACAAACGGGCCAAAAGTAAACAATTTAATAAGTGAACGTAATAAGGGAATAACTGAAAACTAAACAATGCAATAACTCAAAAGTTTGGCGGGATAAGAAGAGGGAAGTTATGTGATGTGACGTTAGATAAGATAGATAAGAAATGAGGTTTCAAAACGGACCTTTAGACACAAAGTAACCATATTTTAACTCCGTTAAATTCTCCTTAAGGAAGAGGCCTTTATCAAATTAATTTATGTCAATAAAGATTATTATTATTATAGTTTAATTACAAACATGCCAACTTTTATGAATACTTTGTAAAAATAAGTATGAGGTTTCAAAACGGACCTTTAGACACAAAGTAACCATATTTTAACTCCGTTAAAATTCTCCTTAAGGAAGAGGCCTTTGTCAAATTAATTTATGTCAATAAAGATTATTATTATTATAGTTTAATTACAAACATGCCAACTTTTATGAATACTTTGTAAAAATAAGTGTTTTGTGATAATGGGGCAATAATACCATAACATACTATCAATATACGACTAATTTGACAGAATTATCTCCCTTATCCAGCCTCGGGTGCTAGGGGACTAGGAGTGAAGTGCCTTACTCATTGAAGCAATCCGATCCTGAGTAACATCCATTTATGTATTAAATAAATTTTAAGATTTTCTATCCATCAAATTTCTTTTTATTGAATATTTCCATCTAGTTTTTTGTTTTTTTTCCTCCTCTACCTCACCCTTTAGGTTATACAGGGATTTTCCTAGGCCAAGGGTTAAGTGCAGGAGATTAATGCCAGAGTTAAAAGACCCCCTGGGTCCCAGGACGCGAATTGGTAATTTTATTGCCTCCAACTTTGGTTATCAGGTTGCTGGGCATCGTACGGTGCTGTGCACAAACGTTAACCCACTCGGTCACTTCGCCTCTGTATAACCATCTAGTTATTTGTTTATTAGTAGCTATATTTTCTTTCAAGGCTACATATATAAATTCTTCTTCTTCTTTTCCGTCAGCCTAGGGGAGCATTTAGCCAGAATCGCTACTGTTCTCTGTTTCTTGTAAGGCTCCTTGCTTGATAGAGATCCTTTCCTCTCCTTTTGCACATACTATCGACGTATTCTAGGAATGAAATCCTTCGTCGGCCTCTAGGCTTTCTATCATCAGAGACAATTCCTCCTTCACTGAGAAGACTCCTAGTTCCTCGCTGATCCTCTCATAGCGGATGCTGTCTCTTATTGTTTTTCCAGCAATTTTTTTTTTTGCATAAACCTCATTTCTGCAGCTGTCACCCTGCTCTCCTGTTTGTCTCATATCCAGTTTTATGTAAGAGCACTGGCAAGTACGCCACCTTAAAGATATGGAGTTTCACGTTTCTTCCCACCTCTCGCTTTCCCATAATGGTATTGCACATCTTGTAGTAGACCATGTTTGTCTTGAATTTATAAATTCAAAGTTTGTAAATATGATAAAATAAATAATATTGACTTCAATGGTACAGTTTTATTACAGACATGTCAACAAATATGAAAACTGTGTAAAAATAAGTGTATTCCTCAAGATTGGGCTGCAACTCCAAAACTATGAAAAGTCAAGATTTAAAAGAATAACGTTTAACAACAATAAAAGGAAGAAATAATGTTTTATGTTCATTACTAAATTTCAATTTATTTTTAATGACCTCAAGGTAGTATCCTTGGTCCTATCCTATACACAGTTTATACAGCTGACATCCCAACCCATCCTGACACTGTCATCACCACGTATGCTGATGACACATGTATCGTATCTGTTAATAATGATCCATCAACTGCATCCCAAACACTCCACCTGGACAAACGACTCACATGGAATCCTCATACTAGACTGAAACGACAAGAAACTGCTCGACATTTCCGACTACTCCAATACTTACTAGACAAATGCTTTAAGCTTTCAATCAATTACAAATGACTCATGTATATGGCAATAATAAGACCTATTTGGACTTATGGAATTGAGCTTTGGGGACTCCACTAAACCATCGAATTCCTCTCATATCCAATCCAAAATCCTTCGTAAAATCCTCAACGCTCCTTACTTTGTTACAAATAAAATCATCCATAAAGACCTTAATGTTCCATATATTTCCGATTTGGCCCAATCCAGATACCTATCCTTCCATAAGAAACTCCAGAACCATCCGAACCCTCTCGTTTCAAACCTTGCTTCCTCCTCAATCCCTGATAACCCTCCGAGGCGTCTGAAAAGAAGATGGCCTCGTGATCTACTTATTTAAATATATTATTAGAGTGCTACCAAAGGGTAGTTTCTCAATAAGCGTTTTCATGTGATTGTATTATTACTGTGTGCACATTTACTAGTTGTATTTTTTTATAATACAGTTGTAAATATCAATGAATAAAAAAAAAAAAATTTAATGAAGACTAATGTTCCTTTGCAAAACGTAACTTTAAATTATTATAACTTAATTTTCAGTGATTTTAAATCATTATTTTTTTCAGTCTTATTATAGTTTATTATTTTATTTTTATTTCTTGTTTATTTCAGTCTTATTATAATGTATTTTTTTGTTGTCTAGTGTATAATAAAAATTAAAAAATTGTAGTTGGCCTTGTCTACACCAGTGGCTAGAGACCCGACCCACAAGGCAGTTGTGTCCGGTTTGTAAGGCTGCAATAGGAAAAGATAAAGTTATTCCATTATATGGTCGCGGGAGTAACCAACAGGAAGATCCAAGGTATGTTGTTATGTAACACTAGTATTTTCTTTGTGTGTGTGTGTGTATGTTTTCATTAACCTTTATTACCACCTTCCTTAGTAGTGATGTACTGAACAATGAATTACAGGTTAACAGTTACCAAATGGTAACATGTTACAGTAACTAATTATTTTAGTAACGTGTTCACTAAATTCACTATCTACCATACTGCGTATTGGCTTTATTTGTAGTAAAGGACTGTCTTGATTATCCAAACACGTAGATTGCCTGTTCAGGTCATCAGAAGTTAAATTTAAAATAATGGAAAAATTGCAGATAACAAAAATATATGTATTATCAGTTAAATATAAACATATTACAAACAAAAAAACTATTTTTTAAAATGATTATATAATGTACGTTGAGTCTCTAATTTTGTTGCAAAAGAAAATGTGTGATCTCACTAATTCCTCTAAAGTACCAGGCTTCAGCAATTGACATTGTACTATTTGCCCACTCCAAGCAAGTATTTAATACCTTTATGACGTTTCTATTACTTATCTGTAATGAAAAATGAAATGGTTGTAAAGAAATTTTCTGATTAAATTAAAAATAATCGAGAAACAATCGTGTAAAAGAGTTCATATAAAGTCTGGGTGATCTCTCCGTTTTTGAAAACCTAAGTATTTAGTTAAAATTTCTGGAACTAAATATTAATCAAGAATCTTGACTGTATAAAAAAACAGCCTTAAGAAACTGTATTAATGGTAATATTTAATATAACTAATATCAGTTGATTAGAGGAAAGTAGCTCATTGAGTTAAGTGCTGGGCTGCTAATCTCAAGCTCGCGTGTTGATGTCAAGCCGTGGATCGATCCTGGGTTCTGGAGACCCTCCTCGGGCACACTCAGGCTCTATAAAGTGTGTATTCTTAATCACATTATTAATGGAGGAGGAAAACCTGGTGGTTGAGCATTATAAAAACTAGTTGCTTTGTGTGATGGTGATACAAATCACCTTGTACACTCAAGAAACAGAACTGCTGAATCCTAAAAACCTTCATGGGTTATAGTAGCATAGAATTTTTTTTTTTTTTGAAGGATAACAAAAAAATTTTTGTTTCAGAAATAAAGTTCCACCGAGGCCAGCAGGACAAAGAAGTGAACCTGAAACCAATAGTGTGAGTTTTATTTATGCCAACATTACAAATTCATTTATATTACGAAATGTTTAATTTTAACTTTAAAGTAATACTATTCATAAAAACAAATTTTTTTTTTTGTTTGTAACTGCTAACTGCAAAAACAACTGGACCGATTTATACGCATTATTTGAAAAATGGTATATGTTGTCCCATGAAGGTTTCAAGCTATTTTCATCTGTGTTTAGAGAGTTGTCGAAATATATTTAATAATGTCTATAGCTAATTGTTACATTTTAATTAATGATAATTTTGACAAAAATGAGAACTGCATTGCTGACATTGAAAAAGGGTTTGCGTAGTGTCTTAGATAAATGAAGAGAAGAATAGTTGGGGTGGTCAGTCAAAAAAGAAGGCAAAAATAAATGATAATATTTATTTTTACATATGGCGACGTTTTGACCTGAAGTTCAGGCCTTCATCAGGGCTAAGAAAATAACCAGATAACAAGGTATGAGAAACATAAGTAGTGATGGTAAAAAAAAAAAATAATAAAATAAATAAAAAATTATAAAAATAAAATAAAAAACGTCGGCATATGTAAAAATAAATATTATCATTTATTTTTGCCTTCTTTTTTGACTGAACACCCCAACTATTCTTCTCTTCATTATCCACGACAGTCAATCATTTACCAATTATGAGTCTTAGTTAAATATTTGCTATCGAATATAAAATATCTTTTATTGTTTTAATGCATCAATATTTTTCCCTTCTCTCCTGAACAGGGTGATTCACTTCACAGTAGTGTATTAAACCCTCTTCTGTGATCCTATTATACTGTTGACAACTTAATATAATCTTAATACATAAATCTCTTAATACATATAACTATACTTCTTATATACTCTTAATATATAAGTCATTATAAAACTATACTTCTTATATACTCTTAATATATAAGTCATTATAAAACTATACTTCTTATATACTCTTAATACATAAGTCATTATATAACTTACTTCTTATATACTCTTAATACATTAGTCATTATATAACTATACTTCAATCTCATAAATATTTAAGTATAATTTTAATATTTTCATAAATGCATTAACTTGTTCTCTGCCATTAATTATATATTTGGTCACAGAACACTGTAGATTTGACATTATGTTAATTGTATTATTGTTAAATAATAACAACATAATTTTGCTTTTTTTTTTTTAGGGTTTTCCTGGTTTCGGTTTCGGAGATGGAGGTTTTCATATGTCCTTCGGTATCGGTGCTTTTCCTTTTGGATTTATCACTTCAACATTTAATCCACATGATCAAAGACCTTCACAAGGTATGTTTTTACACAATTTAAAATGGCTGGTATTCGTTCTTAGAAAATTTGAAAAAGTTTATTAAAATATTTATTCCTATCCCAACACTCATCACCACCTATGCCGATGACATTTGTATCCTACCAGTCAACAACAATCCATCAATTGCATCCCAAACTCTCCAATAAATCCCATCAAATTACTTTTAGCCTTCGTCGCAAACCTATGACTTTCTGCCCTACTGTATCTTTTAACATTACCCCACTTATCCCTGTTGAACAAATCTGATAGCTAGGACTCCACCTGGACAAACGATTCACTTAGAATCCTCATACCAGACTGAAACAACAAGAAACCGCTCTGAGTTTTCAAATACTCCAACACTTACTAGACAAACGCACTAAACTTTCAATTACTTACAAAAGACTTATATATATGACTATAATAAGGCCTATTTGGACTTACAGAATCAAGCTTTGGGGCTCTACTAAACCATCGAATTCCTCTCGTATTCAATCCTTACAATCCAAAATCCTCAATGCACCTTACTTTTTCACAAATAAAATCATCCATAACGACCTTAATGTACCATATGTTTCGATTTAGCCCAATCCAGATACCTATCCTTCCATAATAAACTTCTAAACCATCCGAACGCTTTCTCTTTTATTCCTGATAATCCTCCAAGGCGTCTGAAAAGAAGATGGCCTCAGGACCTTCGAATACAGAACTTTAATTTGAATTCTACCAATGGGTAGTTTCTCTTCATGTTGTACATGTCACGTTACCAAAGTCACATATACTTATTGTATTTTCATGTAATACAGCTGTAAATTTCATTAAAATAAATTTTAAAAAAAATATTTATTCATAGTTATTGCATAAAGTTGACTATGATCTTTGAAATCAATCCCTCTATATACTCTAAAGGAATCTCTAAACTGGAGAAACTACTGGGTTATTTTGTAAAAAGAATATTATGTCCATCCAAAACGTGATTAGAGTGTCTATCTGGAACGGGAAAAATTAGAAATTTTTTGAACCTGGAAAAGTCAGGGAGTCTTTACAAATGTGAATTTGCTTGTATGATACAGAACCATTATTGTTCTTTATAAGTTTACATATTAGTGATATATACACAGGTATAGAGGATGTGATGAGCATGTTACCTACTAGCAGATATGGGCAAACCAAAGAATTTAATTATTACTTTATTTGATGTCAAACGATTAACTGAAGTAATGATTGAATTCCCAATAGTGAATCAGTTTGAGTAAAATACTTGGTACTCGGTACTGAGAGTAGCATTTGACCATCTCTGCCCACTTGTGGTGCCTGTTCGAATCTGGCCTGAGCGGGAGTTTTTTCTAGCGGACACATGAAATTAATCTCGACTTCTCACTCTGGTTAGAATCAGTTTGGTTGTACCTCTATAACAACATTCTCTCCGACCAATCCTGTATACTATGAATGGTGAAATAAAGGTAGTCGGAAATTAAAAAACTTACATTTTTGAAGGGAAGATGGTTAGGGATTACATTCATTGGAAGTACACAGTAAAAATAAATTATAAAGGAAGGAGATGGTCCGGGGTGGCGGTCATAAATAGGCTAAATAGTGGTAAAACTATTTTATTGAAAGCCGACGTTTCGACCCGACTTTGCTGGTCTTCTTCAGGGCTAGAACGGACAAGATACAAAAAGATATAGAGAATTGTGGAAGTTCTGTGATTCACAGCTAGTCGTTTCCCGCGATTCACAGACAAAAATCAACTCTACCAACTCAGGAGTAGGAAATTTCCCCATATTACGCAAAAAGGAATTATATTTTTGAAACTAGAGTTAGTTGATGATTTTTATGTGGAAATTCGAATTTCTTACACAAAAAAGCATGGAATGAGGCTTTTTTCAAGCGAGATACAATATCAACGTAGAGCAGTGTTAGGACTAATCAGTATACTGTGTCATTTAGCAACTCAACATAGTTGGGCAACTGTTGTTTTATTGTTCTTATCTCTACATATATTCTTGCAACTATTTATTAAGGTACAATTTATGTACTAATTTAACAATATTATGGATAATAATTAAATCACATTATGTATCTTGATGTGAATTAGTGAGAGAATATAATTTAGAATAAGAGGTATCAAAGTTTATGTTCATGTATATTTGTATATTATGTAGGTATATTTATATTTTTAAATTTAGAAAGAATTTTTAGTTAACATTAAGATTTTTTTAACTAAGCAGATAATATTGCAATTGGGATCTTGTTATATTAAAACTATGAATTCTTAAAAGATAAGGTATCTCCACAAATAAACTAAGCGAACACCTCGACAGACGAATATTAGTTCATTGTCGACAAATCGTTTCATTATACGTAAAAAAAAAAAAATTTGATATGTACTTTATAAACAAATAAACGCTTCTATCCATCTATCTATCATTATGTATTTTGTTAAGATTTTTATTTTCATTGAAATTATAAGCCTTTAGAATTTATAATAATTTATTGGGTTGGCAAATAAGTCTTTTCGGTTTTTCAGGCTGAAATAAAACTCAATGTATTATAGACATACAATTTATTTTAATTTACAATATATTGACCATTATTTAATATGTCTTTTTCCCATCTTTCCACTAAATGCATTATACCATCTTCATAGAATGTCTGGAGTTTATTGTTAAAAAACTGATCCAAGTGGTTTTTGAAATTTCTTTCCATTCATGGAGTTCTGCAGAGACCAGAATAATTGATAGTCACTTAGAGCTGGTGAACAGGTAGGGTGGGGAAAAAAGTTCCATCCAAGGCTCAATAATTTATTGCGAGTGACCAATGAGATGTAGGGCCTAGCGTTGTCTTGGTGGAACACAACACCCTTCCGATTTGCCAGTTCTGGGCGTTTATTTTTAATCGATTGATCCAATTTTGTTAATTATGAGCAGTATAGAGTTGAATCAATTGTTTGTCCTGATGGCAATAACTCATAGAAAATAACACCCTTGAAATCCCACCTTGTGGAAGGCATTATCTTCTTTGGATGCAATCCGGGTTTTGACATTCTTCTAGGGGCCTCACTACTAGGTCCCCAAGATTTTCTACAGACTACATTATCGTAAAATATTCATTTTTCATCTTCTGGTACCACTCTTTTAAAAAATGGGTCGTTTTGTTGCCGTTTCGTAGTGAATCACAAACAGAAATGCGTGTTGCCAAGTTGACTTCGGTTAGAGAGTGAGGGACCCAAACATTAAGCCTCCTGGAAACATAGCCGAGCTTGTGCAAATGGTTTTTGGTGTACTACACATTTAGGGCCATAGCAATCTCTCGCACTGATTGGGTGGAGTTTTGATCAACAATGGCCTTAACATTGCTCATTTCAATGTGGGCGACCAGCATCATTGATGTCAAAATATTCTGAATGAAATTTGGCAAACCAATTTTGACAGGTGCGTTCGATTAAGGCATCATCTCCATAAACACTGCAAATTCTTCAATGAGCTTCTGCAGCACGCTTACCTTTTTTAAAATAATACAACAAAATATGCCGATAATGAATGATATTTTCTTCTATATTCACAGTGCAATAGCAAACACAATACTGAGCTACTTTCAACAAGGGTTAACAGATATGTTTGTTGACATATTACAAAAAGGATAAACAACCCACATTAGGGATTAATTTATCAGATTTGCCAACCCAATATAATGGTTAAAATTAAAATTATACATCTTTATTTTGTTTTTTTTTGCTTTACAATTAAATACAAAAACAAATTTCTCATATAAATAATTTATTAAATTAAAACACTAATTTATTACAAAGTTTAGCTAAATAATAATAATAGTACACTAATATGCGTAACTGTATTAAAAAATTAAAATTAAATAGTAGAAGTGTACTGACTCTACTTCACAGACTTTTTTTTTTTTAGTTTCTTATGTTTACTTATCATTCATGAATTGTTTAAAGATTCACATGGTAATTTTTCACCACCTCCATGTTGATTTAAGGTTTAAGTTTTAATAAAATTACTCAATATCAGCTAGTTTGTAATTTATTTATGATTACAATATATCATCTGTTTTGTTACAGCTGCTCGAGGATTGCCGAATGAAGATGAATTCATTTCGAAAATGTTTCTATATGTTGCTATAACATTTATAATTTGGCTGTTACTAGCATAGCCATCTGAAACATTCCAAGAGACACATGAATAATTATTATATTATGTGGAATTAAAAAAAGGTTTTTGAACAAGAGGCTATAACATGAAACAATGTAATACATTTATTTAATTTTACAATAATTCTTTAATGTACAACTTAAGAAAAAAAAAGAAAGGCTATTCCATATTTTACTTGTCATACACCAACCTATAATAAAAGAGATCGGTCTGGTTAATAAGGGAAAATATATATTAACTTTAAAATGTTCCATATATGTGTATGTAATGTTAAGAAATATATAAAACTTAGAATCGTAAATAAGTTGAAATGATGATATTTGTTGTGTAAGTTTATGTATGTTATGTAAATGTAAGTTACTGTAAGCAGTAAATTTAAGGTGATTTATAAGTGTAATTTATGTATATAATTTTATTGAATGTTAATAAATGTATAAAATAATATAAACGTTACCGAAATAAAGTTAACTCCAAAAAAAAAAAAAAATATTTCAGTCTATTAATTTTTTTTTTTTTTCTAACAGAATCTTACTTCGGAATTCATTTGAGACTAATAGATCCGGAACTTGTCTCATCCTTGATATCTTCGTCATAAAATGATATTCTTGTTGATTCCTTCTTACGTTTAATGCTTATTATATGAGCGTCTCTTCCTGTTTTTACCTAAAAACAAGAATGAGTTTATTTGATTTATATATTTATTTAATAATTTATATATTACAATTAGCTGTAAATATTATCGACTCCTCTTGTTTTATCTCAACCAATTATTCTCAGTTAAATAATTTTCTTAAAATATCTTGTTAAATATTACATTAGATAAAACTAGCTAATATACTTGTGCAAGAACTCTCACATTAAATGTCATATTTTATTTTTTTTTACCCTAATAAATTCAGAGTATAAGCGATAAGAAACATTTATCCTTAACCTTCTAGGCACAAAATGCTTGTAAATCAGATAAATGTCACTGATCCAAATTTTCGGTTCTGAGCACAAACATTTTCTTAATTTCGCACACAAATACAAAGCTTCTCTACCTTCTATAGTGAGGAAGCAAAGAATGGAAGTTCTGTCATTATTCCTATATGTTTTTCTCATAAAAATATATCACAAATATCTTCATATGTATTTAAAGTTGTTTTCGTATCAATTTTGATCCTTAAAGAAAATTTGTAGATCGAAGAGTTGTCGGAAAAAAGTTAAGAAAATATTCAAATAAAAAATGACTGGATTCATTATGATTTCTCTTAATAAATGTTGAAAAATTATATACCTTTTTTTTAATAAAACACTCACCACAATAAAATTTCTAGGATGATAAAAAGTTTGATGATAGTTTTGTTCTATTTTATCTGCATACAATTGTTCTATATCGTTCAAAAATCCTTCGTATTTATCATGTTTCCATTTTCTGTATATTTTATTGGAAACGGTCAAGTAATAATCTTGTGCTACTAGTTCTTTTACGGCATTTGCGAGTTTATATTCTTCTATTTGTTGGTAAATTTTATGTTCATCAGCAAGTTCCTATAACAATAATAGATATTATACACACAATCATATATATTATTATGCCCTTCCTCCTGCCCTATTTATACTAACCATAAACAAGATAATTACTATTGCCCATTGGTATTTTATTCCCTGAAGGGGAGAGCTGCTATTTAAATTTATTAAAATTTGGCAGAAGAAAAGGTAATATTAAAAAATAAATATAAAAGGAAAATTGATTATGGTTTTGTTAATAGGAGACCTAATATATTGAACTGTAAAAAAAAATATATATATTTAAATTTAATTAACATAAAATTAAAATTTTATACTAATATGAATCATTTAAAATTAACCCCTATATAAATTATATCCTTCAACAAACAATTATTCATTATTATAAAACTTAAATGATTATAAAATAATTTAATGAGTTATATTTAATAAAAAATTGGCTAATTATTTAATTGTTAATCAATTTAATTTCAACTTTGAATTATTCTACTATAAAGTTCTGCAGAATATGTATACAAATAGCATTTTACGTAATATTGTGGACTGACGAGTGTTGATAGTTTCTGCCTTCTGCTAGCGGTGTTTCATCTGGAGTCTGAAATAAAATCTGGTCTAGCTGATTCTTCATCAAAATGTCCTCCCATAAAATTAGTGTTCTGTACGGGACTTCCCACAAAAGTGCCTTACTCTTTTTCTTCCTCTTGTGTTTTATGCGATTTTTATTAGCGAATTTTTCTAGATAGGAGCATGAAAACTGCTTATCTGAATCACCTCTATTTCAGTTATAGCTTTGTGACTAAGCATGGATTCTTGTTTAATCCAGTGATGTGTTCAAATCTGGTGGATATATGAAAATGTTTGGTTATACCTGATTCAGATGTTATTTCTGCTTCGTTCATAATATTAATTATTATAATAAAATTCTAGTACAGTGTATACTAGATCATAATATATATATTTTTTTCTTTTCGGTTGGCTACGCATTTCTTGTAGATCTTTGACCGCCTGAACCAGTCTTCTCCACCTCTGCCTATCTTGGTCTACTGCTTTCCAGTTTGTAGCATGAAGCTCAGCCGTGTCTTTGTTTATCTTATCAATCCATCTGGTTTTTGGCCTCCCACGTGGTCTCTTGTCTATTACTTGCCATTCATTGTTGTGTAAAGGCATCCTGATGGATTGCTTCGAGCCCTGCCCATCTTAATCTTTTTGGCTTCATATCATGAGATATTGACTGACCAGTTTCTTTTAATAGTTCTTTATTGGTCCTTCTCTTTCATGTGTCAAGGTTCTGATCCCAGATGGGTCCTATTATCCTACAGAGAACTTTTCTTTCGAATCTCTCAATGTTGGCTTCTAGTGTGCTGGTTAGAGGCCAGATTTAAAAGCCTTAAAGAAAAACTGGCTTTATCACAGCCTTGTACACTCTTAGTTTTAGATTTCTGGATTACAATATATGTGTATTTATATAATATTACAAATCTTTTATAATCAAGCTTTGAGTATGATATTTCAATCAGGAATCAGGTCATTAATTTAATAAACTACAAATGTTTCGATCGGCTTTTGTATTTCTTATAGTATAGTGGGATCCTCTTCAGTATTTATAATGGAGCTTCAATAACTCAAGCCAGGAACACCCTGACTGCCTCATCCTCATCCATCAGTACAAATATCAAGGTATTCATAGGTTTCTACAAGTTTTGATGAGTCTCCAAGATGCACTCCTCAACGGTCGGGCGACCAAGGTTGATTCAAGTGATATTACGGCTCTAATCAAACAAGGCATATAGCTGCACATGCGAGATATTGCGGATAAACTGATAATAGGTTTTGGAACCGTTCAAAGCCATTTAAAACATTGTAACAGTTGAAGGCATATATTTCTCGAACGAATAGTGAGTGGTGAAGAAAAGTGGAGCATCTATGACAATGTAAGTGCGCTGGTGATCGTGCAAAACTGCTGGCGAGCCGCCTAATGGCACATCGGAGGCAGAATTACATCAGAAAATGATTGGGATTATCGCGGCGTGCTGTTTTACGAGTTGCTTCCACAAGAATAACCGTTTGATTCCAAGATCTACTGCACGCAGCTAACGAAATTGGACCATGCATTGTGACAGAAACACGCAGAACTAGTCAATCCCAAAGGTTTTGTATTCAGCCAGTGTAAGTTATCTTATAAAAATAAAAAAATGCGAATACATTATTAAATACAATTTATTCTAAGTAAAAAAAAATGTTATTCCAGCCTTCAAAAACCAAACGAACTTATGGATTCACCCAATATACACGGTGTTCCTGGATTAAGTGCAAAAAATGAACTAAGGACCTTAAAACAAGAAACAAATTTCCTCTGAAGTTATATCCGCAAACGCTTTGTTTAGGAGATATTCATACCTAAAGTTTTTCGTTGTTATGAGTTATGTACGCCATATTAAATGTTGTTCAAATTGATTTCCTTGGGCATTTAGACAGGCTTGGCATCTTTCTCCAACGGCACTGGATATGTGTTATTGTTTCACAAGATTCAATTATCCTTCTTCTTAAGGAATTAAGGTCATTAACGGGACTTGCTCAATCATATCCAATATCCCAATCAATGGATTGGCCGTGCAGGACCAGTGGCTTGTCCTGCACTCTCTTCAGACCTGACCACTGGACTTTTTTGTTTCAGGTGACATTAAACAAAAAGTCTATGCAAGTCCGGTCAATGGCATTAATTCCTTACGAAGAAAGATAACTAAATCTTGTGAAACAATAACAGATATCCAGTGCCGTTCTGCCACTGTTGATGTTGAAGAAAGATGCCGAGCTTGCCTTAATGCTCAAGGGAATCAATTTGAACAACATTTAATATGAATTTTAATGTTTAAATTGAATTAATAAAGTAGTTAGAACAAATAAATAGATTTTGTTTATTTCATATAACGTAAATAATTCAGAACAACGAAAATCTTTAGGTGTGAATATCTCTTAAACAAAGCGTTTGCGGACATACCTTCAGAGGAATTGTTTTTCTTGTTTTGAGGCCCTTAGCTCATTTTTACAGTTTGGCAACTTAACCCTGAAACACCCTGTATATACTAAAGAGATATACTGTTAAAAATGTAATGTAAATTTAAGAATACCTTCTTTCTCATTGTCTTTAATATTGATCTCTGACGTTTTTGTACCCTGCTTGCTAAACCTATAGCTCTCATTATCAATCTGTGCAAAACTTCCTTATCTAATGGTAGCAAGTTTATACCAACTTTATTCACAGCTCTTTGGACTTCCCAAAATATTTCTCCATACTTTAATTCTTCATAGCACAGAATTATCTGTAGTGTTATCTATAAAAGAGACATGACATGATTATCATCACGTTAGTTAAGTAAAGTGAACTCTATATTATATACAATGACATAATACAGAACCCGTTTAAGGCTCTCCGTAGCGATCGATTTTGATTAATGAGGTATTAAACGAAATTACAGTAAGATGCATTGAGGACTTCACGAAGGATTTTGTATTGTAAGAGGAATTCGATGGTTTAGTGGAGCCCCAAAGCTCAATTCCATAGTCCAAATATTCCGGAGGCTACAAGAGAACATCGACTGCATCAACAGATGGGCAGAAATAAATGAATTAAAGCTGAATGCAGATAAAACCAAGGCTATTATCATCGGGTCCAGACGTCTCACCAGCTCCTTTCCTTACTCTCCTCTACTTAACCTCAATAACCGTCCCATTCATTTTTCCCTACAGTCAAAAACCTAGGAGTAATATTTGACCAGAACCTCTCCTGGAATAACCATATCTCCCAGATTACCCGAAAATCCATAACTTCCCTTAAACAACTCCTAAGATTCCGTGATTGTATTCCTCTAAAAACCAGACAGCTCCTTGTAACCTCCTTTGTATATCCCCACTTCGACTACGGCTGCTTGGTTTATGGATGGCTATCTGCCAGGCTGGAAATGAGACTAAAGAGACTCATGAATTGTTTCATAAGATACATTTTCGGGATCCCCAGGCGTTCACATGTTTCACTCTGGTACACCGAGTTGAAGTGGCTTTATCCTACTTCCCGACTACAATTCCTCCTTGGTGTTTCCTTTTCCAAGTCTTCAGAACAAAAAACCCTCCTTACATCCTGGAACTCCTTACTCTACGCTCCTCTATCCACTCTCTCAATACTAGGTCTCAACCTATCGACTTATATATTCCCTTTCATAAAACTTCCTCCTTCAGCAAATCCTTCGTCATTCGTGCTGCTTCCTTATGGAACTCACTTCCTACCTCCATGCGTCAATTTTCCTTCAGACAACTCCTGTTCCAACACCTACTCCACATTCAAACTTCCCCTAACATGTAAAATTACTTGCATCTATACAATGTTTAATTTCAATCCATTGCACAATTGAAATAACAATTAACAGTAAATTAGTTTGTATTTTTATTATGTCAGACTAAGATCCATAAATTTGTAATTCTGTTATTATTCTTACGGGATAGTAGTTTCAGAATAAAATTATTTTTTTATTTCATTTCAGTTTCATTTCAAATAAGCCTTATTTATATGACTATTTTGTAATTAACTGAAAGCTTAGAGCGTTTGTCTAGTAAATTGCTGGAGTAGTCGGAAACGTCGAGAGGTTTCTTCTCGTTCTTTTTCTTTTTTTTTTCTTTTTTCTGTTCTTCCCTACCTCGCCTTTTAGGCTATAGGGAATTTTCCCGGGACGGGAAATTTAAAATCCCTTCCGGCACCGGGACGCGAACTCGTACTTTTTAATCTGATTGCCAGGAAACTCGCGGTGCTGTGCACACGCTTTAGGCCATTCGGCCACCCCGCCCCTTCTTCTCGTTTTAATCTTTTATGTGGATCCCAAATAAGGTCTAGGAAGTGAGTGAATGAATGAATTAAAATAATTTTATTATTCTCGGACTAGTGTCCCTTCAGTACAAATTTCAAACATATATGTATACACAAAATAAAATAAAATATTTACAAAATGATTGGTAATAAAATAAAAGGACAGGTAATGTGAATATGTACAGGTAATAAAAAATGTACATATATATGAAATAAACCAGGAAAAGTAAAATAAATAAACAAAATAATCAAAGTGGGGTAATAAGAGTCTTACTACTTATATTTTAAGTGTATTTCATGATCAACCGGATTGGGAATGGAATAGGTGTTTGAAGAGAAGAGATTAGAAAGAGGATTCTGACTTAGCGTGTCGAATATCAGAAGGGATAGAATTCAAGAGGGAGACGGCTTGATTTAAAAAGGTTTGTCAAACACAGCAGTTCGGTGAGAAGGAGGATAGAGGTCGGACGTACAGGAATGAATGGAGGATATGAATTGCATCTGTTCAACAGGGATAAGTGAAGTACTATTAAAGGATATTGTAGTACAGGATATCATAAGTTTACGACGAAGGATTAATGTGATTTTTAGAAATTTATTTCAATCCTTTGATTTCAACACAATTCATCAAGGGTGGTATTTGTGACTGACGTGTTTGGGAAGCAACAAATGAGTCATTGTTAATAAATGAGTTAACTGGTAGTAAATATGTTCTACCGGCATTCTTGATAATGACAGTGTTAGAATGAGTTGTGATATCAGCTGTTTAAATGATAGGTCTAGGATACTAACGAGAAATAAACAGCTGACTGGGAAATTATAGGACTAATCATGAGAGTTGCAAGTAAGGGTTGTGTTAATTCATAAGGACTTTTTTAACAACGTAGAACATAAAGTAGTATATCCAGTGTATAATAATTTTGAGTCATGAATAAAGTTATTTATGGATTTGGTAATATATTTAAATTAAAATAGCGTCTTATTTGATCGCATGTGACTCTTACAAAAAAATTGTGAGGTTCTAGCACCGATATTATTAATTATAATTATATTTACTGAAAAACGGCATACCTGATCTTCTGGGGTGATGGCATCTTCAAATGGTACGTTGTAGACTGAAGCTGCTAATTCCACTTTTTCAAAATGTCTTCTTGTGATCAAGTGAATTGCAAGTGCAATTTTAGGTCTTGCACATCCGATCAAATCGACTATTGCTGGGCTTGACGAAATATCAAGATTTTCAGATTTTGTTTCCGATCGCTGTATTTCACCCATCAAAGCATATTCAATCTCTGAAAATCGATATAATAAAGCAAGGAATTTTATATTTATCTTTATTTGAGAAATATTACTTGTGATTAATTCAAAAATAATCTGTTACAACAAATCAAGAAATTCTATTAGTCCGTGGTACAGACCTCTTAGTGAATTGCTTCATCTTATCTTAACCTACAACTTTTTTATATAAAAAAATTTCTCAGATATTAGACTTTTATTCATTAAATTAATTAATTTGATAAGGTCTTAAAATCATGAACGACAATTAGCTTTCCTATTGAATTTTAAGATATTTTTATCATACAATTGAGAAAAAATGTGGCTTACCAAAATATTGGGCGGCTTGGCCTATATAACCTCCTTATTTTAATATTTTGGAGGTGGATGTCTCGCCAAACGACCAAATATTTTTGTAGACCACTCTTTTTCTCGATTGGTGACGGTTCACGTGCCTGTTTACGTCGGTATAGCTCATCAAAAAAATCAAAATTAATCTAATTCAATTTTTGTTGTTGTTTTAAATAGACATAGAAAAATAGTCTGAGTGGACAAACCGGTTTTTTATTATTTGAAAAGAAAGATCTTAATATTATATACGTCCTTTACCATTGGGATTGTACAGAAGCTTATATTTACGCCATTTGTTCCATAAAAATTCATAATTATTTAAAAAAACTGCAAATCATTACACAATGGTTTATTATTGCCAAACAATCATATATCAAAAGTAATATTACTTTCCTTGATACATAAGGAAAAATAAATAAAAGGTATCCTAGTATTACCCTTAATAATTTTTTATTTCATCATTAGTAATTTTCTAATAAAAATAAAAATCATTGCTTAAAACACATCTTTGGACCAAATTGTCCGATTTCAATAATTATTATTTTATATTTTAGGTAATTTTGTAATCTTTTAAATGGCTATATACATCAATCATATTCTTTTAGAGTTATTCGGAAATCTATTTATAACATCACTCGTAACTTTTCTTACAGCTTCTTTTCGTCGAAGTGTATTATATAGATAAATTTTAAGGGTTTCGAAAGAGAAGACTTTTTCATTGAAATCGGCACATCTGTTCAGACGTTACAGTGTATACGACACAAGTCTGTCAGCCGCTATCTTGAAAGCCAAGTATTTTTCGGTTAAGTATGTTATATATATATATATATATATATATATATATATATATATATATATTTAAAAGGCATCGAGGAGAAGACTTTAGCAAAGTTTCATTCAAATCAGTAAATTAGTTTAGCCGCTATACTCTGTACCAACACAGGTTTTTCATCCACGATCTTAAAAGAAAATGGTGGATAGTAATGTCGAGGTAGGAGAATCATTCTTGAGTGACCTCTGACTTTGATTCCAAATTTGAAGAAAAAAAATCGGTCCTGTAGTATCGGAAAAATGCGCAGAGGGCGGAAGGACAATTTTTTTTTTATTCAATTTTCGAGTTCAATGTATCTTGAAATGTAAAACTTCAAATTTTGAGGGAGGGTCAGGTTTTTAAATTTTTCGGATTATTACAATGGTTCATTATTGCAAATAATAAACCAAAATTGGAAAAGTATGCTTACCTTCAATGCTGCCGTACTCATCCCTTAGAACACCTTTGATTTTTTCTTGTTTTCTCCAAAGGTCACAAATGATTTTGTAGAAGCTATTATTTCTCTCCTTCCCACGCCAGGTAACTATTTGAGGCAAGCTTTTAGGCTCAACGCATAGATCAGAACAAATGGAAAGAAATAGAACCTGTACTATAAATGGTGCGTCCTGGTAAGCATAATATTAGAAAAATTATATAAATATTGAATAAACATTATCAATAAAAAAAAAAATAAAAATATAGTTGTCTTAATCAAAACTGAACAGGGCAAATTGGTAACTTAGTTTTTTTTTTTTGGATTAAATTAAATTTTAAATTTTTTTAAGTGAAAACTTCTTTAGGCGAATTTCGCACTTTTTTGTGGAAACTGAATTAGATTGATTCGTCAGATATTCGATGTGTTAACGCTCGGATAAAATCGGCTAGCTGCAATGTTTTTATATATAGATTAAAATATCTCAGAAACTATAAACGAACGTGCATACTGTAAGCGAGGAAATTGTACAGCATTTCATCCTCTCTGTAATACGGTATAATTAAAAACTATATCTTAACGACGCCATCTTAGGGAGGCCAAAACCAAATGATAACGAGTTCTGTTGAACATATGGATTAAAATATTTCAGATACTAAAAATCTGACCTGTATACTCTAAGCAAGGGAAATATTCAGCATTCTATTTCCTTTGTAATGAGCTACTATTCAAAATTGTATCTTAGCCTAACTATAGGAGAGGGAAAAAGATAGTGAATTGAACAGTTCATGATGCAAGTGATCTTTTTTTTTTACAAACCAAGAGACATCTAATGCATGTATCAGAATCTTATTTTCAAAAGTTTGGATTTATTTACGTTTCGTGCATGATTTCGCGCACCTCCTATAGCTTTAGGCTGAATTTCCTGTTAATGGCCGGGTGTTACATTGCTACCTATGCCCAACTCAGCGTTAGTTTATTATTGACTAGTAGGCCCGTGCGCAAAAATTCGCACAGCATATTGATATCAAATGCCAAATTAATAAGACCATAAAATAGTGCAACTTATCAAAAATAAAGAAATCAATTATTACTTTATCGATAAATATAATCCACAAAGGAAACAAAAATTATTTTAAATCTTTATTAATGTTTGTAACCAACATGTTTACAAATTTCAATAAGCTGTATCTTTTCTAAAAATTGTACGATTTCGATGATTTTTTTTTCCTTTTGTTGGGAATTTAGTGATCTTTTATATAATCATGGGCATAACCTAGGGAAAAGTGTGAAATTCGCCAACAAAGTTTGTTTTCTTTCATAACTTGTTTGCCTGAATTTTCGGTGTGATTGGACTATTTTGCCCGCCTGAAGGAGAAGGAAGCTTTCGAAATTGGTGGCTCAATCCTGAGATTTGGTGAATAATTAACGATGATACGGTTTTCTGATCAAAAACACCATCGATAAATAATATAAACTCCTCCTCTCTCGATCATAGAGACCTGAAGTCGACGAAATGAGACATGTATTCAATGACAGTACTACAATTAACATAAGGTTCTGTAGATGCGAACCCTATGTCTTGCGTTTTCTCGAAAATAGTACGTTTTTGGTCTTAAAACGCAGGATCGTTCCGGAGGCACGGTACGCATAAAAATCTCCAATTTGTCCCATATCGACCTACAGACCTACCACCGTTCCAGTATTGAAGATTAGCAAAATGTTTGTATTGACTTTATTTATTTTAGAAAGAAAAACAAAATTGGAGAATACGATTCGCTAAGCATGACAGGAGCTTATATTTGGTACAAAACCAATTTTGAGCCTTACTGTAATAATGTATATGGGGATGGGGATGTGATACTAATTAAGGCGATGAACTGGATGAACACCGAGGTATTTTAGTGCTTCGTTGTTTTCTTTTTAATTTAATGATATCTTTCATATAAATATATTACATACAATTTTTTTTCAATCCGATTTTTTTTTCATGGGTCTTAGAACTAAATCCATTTAATTACGCCATTAGATGACAAGCATTGTTGACAAATAAACAACAGTCAACATACATTAATATATAAGTTCATATTAAATACGTTAAACTCATTACCTCCATAACATTAAATATTGAGTAAACACCCAAATCCTCAAAAAAAGCATCCTTCGTAACTTCATTTAAAATGATACATTGCCATGTAAAGTCGCAAGCTGAGATCAAAAAGCTGAAAATAAAATATAATAAAAACCACAATATACATATATATATATATATATATATATATATATATATATATATATATATATATATATATATTTATATTTATTTATTTATTTATTAAAGTAAATGATTGTTGAACGCTGATTACCTATTAGAAATTTTGGTATCGCTTTCGAGTGGCATTTGAAATCTAGTGAAAATCGAGGAATATAAATTATACAAATCTGATGATAATGTCTGCAAACTCTTTTTGTGATCCTGTACTAGATTTGTAATTGCACATAAACAATAATGTATAGTAGTTTGTACTAATAAATTCAATTTTAGATTTTTTAGTGAATAAAAGACCAATTCTGCAACAAATAAGTCGATAAATGTTTTTAATAAATTCTGAGATTTTGTATGGTACTAAGAATACTATTTATGTGTATCTCATTAACATAATATGGCAGTGGCATGTGGGAAAATCACCCATTACATCCTGTCAATAACCATGAATCACTATTCGCAATAGAACGAGCGTGTAGGTTCTTGTACAACAGTTCAAATATTGGCAAGCTCTTAAACTCACCTTTAACTCCATCAAAGGAATCGAATAATCGATTGTATCTAGCCGATGGACGGCAATTTATGCTGAGTTTAGGAACGATTTAGTTTAGGAGAACTCCCAGAAGGTTATAAAACAGCTGATAAGTATAAGATGGAAACAAACGCAATTAAACACATAATAATCTACATAGTAATACACTTTATTTATTCTTTGATTTCCAGGTTGTTAGTAGATATGAAACATGAATTAAGGTATTATTTGGGTCGTTTATTTCCAAAATGAACCCGATTAGGGGTTACAATGATTAATCTTGATTTATACTTAACATTCTTATATGTACAAAATCAACATTTTAGTTGAGGTTTTTAGTTCGATTTTATTTCTTTTTTTTATACTTAACTTTCTTGTAACCACACTACTAATGACCTGTCCCATCCTTTTCTATTCTTTCCTCTCCAATGCTACTCTCTTCCAGGCTGCTCCCCCGCAGGTCTTCTTCATCTCCTTGTCCCAGTCTGTCGCCGGGCGTCCTCTCTTCCTCACGTGCTCTCTTGGAAACCATTCCATAAACTGCCTGGTCCATGTTAATTCATTCCTCCTGATTACATGTCCGGTTCAGGTTCACTTCCACAATATCTGGAAGGTTAGTCTTAGCTCTGATCCATTTATTTGTTTTTCTATCTCTTCATGTTATACCGAGAAGATATCACTCCTCTGACTCATGTTATCCTCAATTTCTCACAAGCCTTCTGGTCTATTGCCCATGTTTCACTACCGTACGTGATAGACTGAAAAGACTAATGAACAGCTGCGTATGATTTGTGATCGGGGCTCCAAGATACTCCCATGTCTCTCACCACTACGCTGAGTTAAAGTGGCTTTTCCCCTCCTTCCGAAGACAATATTTCCTAGGTACGTTCCTCTACCAAGTCATCAACAACCATCGTCCTCCTTACGCCTACAACCTTCTCCAGTTCAAATCCTCAGTTCATTCCCTGTCCACAAGATCTCGACCTTCTAACCTTTACATGCCTTCTCACAGATCTGCTTCATTCCAAAACTCCTTTATTGCTAGCTCTGTCAATTTGTGGAATTCCCTCCCTATCAAAATTCGACATTCTCCATCCATATCCACATTCAAAACCCTCCTATTCCAATTCCTATCCCAAAAACAGTCAGATAATTGCTAACCATTCGACAAAATACATTTATTACATGCCATTCATTGTCAAATATCAATACTAAATGATAATGTATTTATATATTAATCAGGCACTTAATATTGTCAGATTCAGCTTTCTGTTTTCTCAACAGAAACACAAAACTTGTTTTAATAAAGAATTTAAATTATTTTTAATTCTTTATTGTTTGTTGTTCTTAAAAGTGTAGACCGGTCTATCAGTGAAAATAGCTTTAAGTATATTTTCATAGTGTTAATTGTTTTGTATACAGTTTCTTTATATATATATATATATATATATATATATATATATATATATATATATATATATATATATATATATATAAATTTGAAAAGTGGGTGACATCCCTGGGTACATCGCCTGATGATTTCTCCAGTTTGTCGTTTAATTGGTTGAAGGTGTCTAAGATATAGAAATGGTACACTACCGAGTTTAGTCAAAATCGTTCGAGTCGTTTTCGAGAAAATTGTAAACATGTGTAAAACCGATAATATAAACCAGAAGTATCCAAACTTTTTGACCCGCGTAACATCTTGAGACCTCCACCTAAGTCCCGCAGACCATAGCTTGTGATAAAAAAAGAATAATTTTCTATAAAACCCTTGCAATACCTATTTTGCGAGTAATTTTGCTAAATTTACTTTATTTTATTTTTTTTTGTTTTTAAAATTTTATCCATATAATCACAGAAAAATTCGCTGGCCAGATTCGGGATCCGTAGTTTGAGAACCCCTGATATAAAGTCAGCATTTCGGTTAGTCGATTTAAAAAAAAATGTTGCTGTAATATCCCGGGTATATTATATACCTATCTTAAATTCCTGATCTCAGTGTCATACAACTTTTCGTTTTTGAGCTAGACTGTTCATACAGCCAGACCATTTTCTGGGACTTGTTATTTTGATTCAGGGGGACCAGGGGATCTGAAAACGTGTATTTTCAATGAAAACTCAATTCAAAAATTTTCACGATCGCAATACTTTCCCTTACTCTTTTAAGTAAGTTACACATATAGGTAAGTGAAAGTAAAATAGCTTGATGAGGGTTTATTTTGTAGAGAAAGAAAAGTATATGATTCGGAAAGAAAAAGTTATACAAACTTTATAATAAAAAATCGACTTTATGTATACAATAAAGGTCCAATTAAAATATAAATTTAATTTAAATTTGAATGAATCGGTTAAAAAACCTTTTAAATGAATTTTGTAAAGAATTCTTAAGAAATTCATGTTTAATTGCGTTCATTGAAAATGGCTTAATCGGAATTTTAATTTATTTTATAAAAACTTATTTTCATACCATTTTTTTTTAATCCGTAGAATCATTTTTGAAAAAAAAAATCACCTTCGGATTCATTAGATGTTTTTACATAGTAATCGATATTTATCTGAATTTCGATAAACATCATTTAGGGATCACATTGGGAATAAACGACTCGTTTGTTAATGTTGGAAAGGAAGAACTGTGTATCATAAAAAACTTAATAGGAATGCATCAAAACACAATATAAAAATAGTAAGTATATTATGGATGTTGTAAATATGCATTAAAATAAAAGCCTTACGTAATAAAACCTCAGTGACATTCAATTCTCTAAAATGTTGCAGTGAAATTCCACTGGAAATCAATAAGTGGAGGCACAAACAGCAATTTTTAACCAGGCGATGGTTCAACTGTTTGTTAGTGAAATAGTCTATAAGTTCCAAAATCCTGAAGACAAAAAAAATTCAATTATTCCAAAAAAATTAACTGAGTCGTAAAAAAAAAAATATGAGGTGATGTATTGTATCTAAGGATTAAGAAAACAGTTATCAGTTATAATATTTTCTATTTATATGTAAATTATAAAAATAAACTTAAAATAAAAATAAAAACACGTTGAGGTATGCTAAAACTACGAAATAAAAGATAAGACTGATTCCTAAAATTGGCCCATATTATAAGATCGTTATGCAATAATTTTGTTATAATCGATTAATTGGTTATTTTGGAATATTAATTGGCCATTTATTATGAAATAATGTTTATTTTGAAAATGCGTATCACTTTTTTTACAAAAAAATGTAAATATTTTTAACTCTCAAAACATCGAATGATGTCGTTTGATTTTATTATTTTTCATACTTAAACTGAGTTCTTTTTTATGTAACCACTTGATTTCTACGAAACCTATTACTTAGCAATACATTCAACAAAACCAATTATTTGATACAAAAAGCAATTATTTGTTTTGTTTTTTTAATGTTTATGTGTACAAGATACCCCATAAGTAAAAGAAAATATTTAAAGGGATAATGCTATTATCCCTTTATAAGTCTGCTGACCTCAAGAGCTACAAAAAAGTTTATATGAGTAATGGTCCGTATTATTATTGGTGTAATTACATTTAATAGTTACATATATATATATATATATATATATATATATATATATATATATATAAAGCTTTCGGGCTCAAGCCCCCACCCAAATTAAATCTTGGATCCGCTAGTGGTTGAAGTAAAGTAATAATTACCAATTAAATTGAAAATTTATATTAATTTTATTTTGAAAGTTAAGTTACTTTCGAGCTTTGGGGCTCTACTGAACCATCAAATTCCTCTCGTGTCCAATCTCTACAATCCAAAATCCTCAACGTTTCCTACTTTGTCACAAATAAAATCATCCATAACGACCTTAATGTACCATATGTTTCCGATTTAGCTTAATCCAGATACCTATCCTACCATAATAAACTTCTGAATCACCCGAATCCTCTTGTTTCCAACCTTGCTTCCTCTTCTGTTCCTGATAACCCTCCGAGACGTCTGACAAGAAGATGGCCTCGGGACCTTCTTATATAGAAATATAAGTACTACCAAAGGGTAATTTTTCTTCATGTTGTACGTGTCATATTACTCCTTTCATATTTACTAGTTGTATTTATCGCTCCATACAGCTTTAATAAATTTCAATAATAAAAAAAAATAAGTTATTTTATTTACATTTTTTGTTATAAGCAGACTCCACAAAAGGTGAGCCTTTATGTTCTATTAAGGATGTACAATAAAGCTTATATTATTATTCTAGTTATGTAAAAAAAATATGTATGATATTGTGGCACCCCCAAGTACCTACATTTTTTTCAAAAATATCCACGATAATTTATTAAAAAGGCTTTTTTTACAAAAGATTTTATCTTAGTATTTTTACAAAAATCTCTTATATAGGAATTTACTCTTATTTTATTAAATGACTAACTAAATGTCCCTAACCCTAATCTTTTTCATGAAAGTAATTAAAATTTTCTACCTCTCCTTAAAAAATTTCCTCTTACAGGAAACCTTGTATTTACGCTTTGCTAGACATATCTGTTTTCTCTCCTCCTTTCGCCCACCTCTCCTCCATCATTGAATTTATTTGCTTTCATTAGTTTTCCAAAAAATCTTCTATAAACGTCATTTAGGTGTTGCAGATGTATATTTAGGAGGATATACAATGAAAGAACTAATTTAAGTTTCAAAGCCGTGATAGATTTTCTCTGTCGAACATGACCTGCATGTCTTAATTTTAATTCGTACCATAAATTCATAAAACAATACATCTTGAAGTATGTAATTTGAATTAGATACATGCATTTGTAAGTGGTAAATTGTATTTCAGTATTATCAAACGATAAGTATAAGGTACAGATATGTACATAGTAAAAATAAATTTATCTTCACAATCCTAAGATTAGATAATTTTTGTTTTTGTTATTGAATAATCAAGTAAGATTTTATAATCCTCACGATTGCTATGTTCAATTTCATTATTTCTTGTAATTCTCTAGACTGCCTTTAAAAGTATATATAATGTAATTTGGTTTTTAGTGTACTTATATTTCATCCTAGTGGTTTATTATTTGTTTCATGAACTATTGAAATCGACAAAATGAATAACAAAAAATAATTCATCAAAATGCAATTAATCCCGAAATCATATTTTTATAGTTTTTACATAAAAGTAAAACCATTTAGAATTTTGAGAGGGGGATTTTTTTTTTTAAACTGTAATCACAGAAGTTATAAAATAATTTTTTTTAAATCTAAATTACCCCCTTTTTTCCAAAAATTGCGATTATATTTACAGTATTTATTTTCACCAGAGTACTACGATATTTTGAGTATCCTATAATATTTTCAAATATTCATCAGAGAGCATTTTTTACAATTTTACAATTGTCTATATATGAACTATATAATGAGGAAAATAATTGTGATAATAAAAAAATAGAATTCGAGTTTTCAATAGAAGTACACGTTTTGAGGTTCCTTGAGCGTGCGTGTGTTGCTGGACAACCGATTTCAAAAATAAAACATCGAGTAAAACTGAAATTACACGTATTTAAGATAACTATATGTTCGAGACGTTAATGCAACGTTTTCGCCTTAATCGAGTTACCGGAAGTGTTTACTTATAATATCGTTGATATTATTAATTTTTACTCGTTATTTCAATGTGAAATTAAATGTCCTTTGATATCTGGTTGCTGTTAACCACATTGAAGTTGTTTGACAGGTCTTAGTCAAATATATTCATTTGAAATACTTAACCATCTCACATAGTAGAGAGAAAGAGAGAAACACTTTATTTTCATAAAATATAAAGGATTGCTGCCCAATTATATTGGGTTGCTATATACACAGCATACTCTTCTAACCTTAGGACAATATATGAACTTATATATAAATATACAAAAGTGTTAGTTAATATTAGTAAAAAAAAAAAATATATATATATGTATATATACATTTTTATTATTTTATTTTTTTTTCCTTTTTTTTTCCTTTTTCCTTCCTTTCATTGTTCATGCTTTTTTATTTTATTTTTTTGAACGTTTAGTTTCCCTTTCTCTCACTTCTCTCTCTTTATCTCTATTGTTTTCAATTATTCATTAAATAAATACATAAATTAAAACTCTCGGGCTAGCCATGCACGTGGTGGTGAATGATTCCCAGGGAGTCGAGGACTATATTTTCAGCCAACCTCGCTACGTCCTTAATGTCGACACCTAGTTCCTCGAGGAAGCTCCTTGTTCTTTTTGGGATAGTTCCGCGAGACCCAAACCAGAGGCCCCTCACGGTGAACTCTCTCTCTCCGAAGCTCTCACGGAATTTATCTTTTAGGAAAGGGATACATTTATCGTACGTGTTCTTCTTTTCCCTTTCCACTTCACCCGCCTGATCGAGGTCATTGCTCTCAAAGCGGACAATTGGATCCAAGATCAGCGCTGTCCTTCCTGTCTTGGGAAATGCGACGATATCCGCGTATCTCGGTAGAGCCTTCACTATCGAAGCAATATACCTCGTCAAAGCAGGTGAATTTCCTTTCCCTAAGGAGCCTCATCAACTCGAACTTGACCCGGTGGTGACGACGTATTATGAGGAGGGAGTTGTTGGGGCATTTTCCCAGAACATGGGCTGGTGTTTCAGACTCTCTGCCGCATATACGGCAGAGGGAACTAAAAAGAACTTAAAACTATACTGTCTGTCACATACAGATATGGTCTCATTATATCTATTTATAGTGCGGTACACGAACATACGGCTGATACACGAAGGTTTCAGATTGAAAATCTCTGACCTACATTTTCCAACTTTCTGTTAGGCGATCATAGCTATTCGGTTTTTTTTTTTTTTTTTTTTTATCATCCCACTTGTTCTTAACTGAGCGAAGGAAACATACCAACTAATTGGGATTATTATCCAGACATGTAAAGAAAATAACCCGATAGAGGTAAGGATTACCTAAATAATACTCAAGGATGTAAAGAAAGTTCAACTTTTGTAACAGTATTTATAGCAGAACTAGGTATAATGTTGCAAACCACTAGCGGATCCAGTATTTAATTTTGGGGAGGCTTCAGCCCGAAAGCTTTTTTTTCATAGAAATGACGATAATTACTTTGGAAAAAAAGAAAGAAACTAACTACCGCTATATACTGTAAGGATCACCTGTGGAATACAGTTAATCATTTCAAATGAATAAATATGTCCTAAATAATAATTGCTAACACTAACACCTGGGCGGTTGGTTACCTTAGGGAGAGTAAAGACCCAATATTGAGTGCAACCTTTTGTAAGGAGCAATAAAACACTTAAGGATAGGCAAGAACACCAAAGGACTGACAGCAGTCTTACGTGGGAATGTTTAAAGAAGATCGGAAGGCTTGTCTGAGGATCGAAGGGAACAGAAACGCCTTCGAGAAAGAGGGAACGATATACCTGCTGGAAACGACCTGGGGTGTGATCATCTCTTAGGCTACGAAAATTCAGCCAATGAGAGAAAACTACAAAACGAGAGGTGGATGACAGAAAGGTGGGAAAGAGAGCATTCGAGGAAGATGGCCTGAGAGAGCAACATGGACTGGAGAGTCTACAAAGACAGCTGGGGTCAATCTAGGAGAGTCCAGAGAGACCGCCAAGAGAAGAGAGACACCCCTCACCATGAAGAAACAGCTAAGTCGTAACATTCATTTAGCTATACATATGTAAACGTGTGTTGGCAACCATTAATAGAATCGATAGATCATTAGTAACCTCAATCAGGCATATCCAAAATAGCAGTTCTCTAATATGATCATCTAATAATTATTGTACATATATATTTGTTTAAGCTTATAAATATATTGTTAATTTTACAACCTCCCATGCATGCCACCAATTAGTAATAGAAACAAATAATAAATTTTTAAACATGTGATAACTTTTGAAAAGAAATTCAATAAGAAGTATATTAATCAATCTAGGACACTACAGTAGTGGGTCTGTGATATCTAATCTTTAAATACACAATTCGTATATTCTTCTGTTGATCGGTTCCCTTCCGGAACCGATATAAATACGAATATAAGTATTAAATACATGGAACCCCCTACTAAAAATCCGCCATGCATCATCCTTATCCACCTTTAAAACCCTCTTATTCCAATTCCTCTTCACAATCCAATCAGACGCTGGTTAAATCCATACTATGTTATAAGGCTTTAGTTTTCTTTAGACATTATTTTTTTTCTCTTATTTTTTATTGTTTTATTTTGTGTTGAACGTGAATTTTCATCACCACTCACTAAGCATTGTGAGTAGATAAAATTTGTTTTTCTTAATTTCTAATTTTTTTATTCATGAAATTGTATTTCGGTGAAATGTATTTTATTTTTTAATTATCTTCAACACACTTCTCGCTATGTGTATATATATGTATATTTTATTTTATTTTTTCTTCTCCTAATCTTTACGCATAATATCTTAGGGAACATATGTATATCATTTTTATTTTTTTTACAATTTCTTTCCTTACATATTAACAGTTATTATTATTTTTTTTAATTTTTATATTCCATCACTACAATGCTTTGCCTATAAAATTGATTTTGCGTTCCTTTCTAATTTCATTCAGTGATTATTATGCTATTGTTTTAGCTCCAATATTGTAGTACTGAACCCCTATTACCCAACTGTTCTCGTTAATTTATCCTAAGAGCTTAATTAATACTTAATTTATTACTAGTATCTTGTTATTATTCATTGTAATAAGTCTTTTGGCCAGATTTATGGTTAATTTATATGAACAATACTGTTATTCTAAAGAGACCTATTTCCAGAATAAAGATGATTTTTCTATTCTATTCTATTCTATTCTACTCGCCGTAGAAACGCGAAGTCCAGGAACATAGCACTACCTATATGAAATGGTGTTTAAGTGATTCCTTAAGTCCTTTTATATGTAATTAGACGAACAATAATACTTTAAGAGATGATTTTATAATATTTTTTTCCATAAAACATGGTTATATTTTGCCATTTTGGAAGGGGAGCTTCAGCCCGAGAGCCCCCCCCCCCAGAAGATCCGCCCGTGTTGCAAACCATTATAGTTTTGATTAAAATTTAGCGATTAGTATTTTTAATGTAGACCACTGTAATAAAACTAAATGTATTTATTACATATATATATATATATATATATATATATATATATATATATATATTTCTTATATATACATATATATGTAATATATGTATTCATATGTAATATATGTATTCATATATATATATATATATATATATATATATTTTTTTTTTTTTATCTAATATATGATACCTTGTAGTCGCACCGGAGGAGGTATACTCTTGTTTGAAATTTTTTGAAAATATAGGCAAAGCATAAAGGCAACAGTTTACCAGTTCTAATTTATGATTATGTTTCCATTTGAATGCCCACTCGCCCTCTCGAAAGCTTAGTATGTATGCCAAAGAATTGATGCACCGATTCACTGAGAGGACCTAACAGGCATTAATTACAATTTGGTCTGTAAAAAATTACAAAAAATAATATGAATCTCAAAAAATATATAAAATAAACTAAATATAAGTACAAATATATAAAATACATACCATTTTCGTAATAGGGTCTTCATTCATTATTAATAGAATAGTGATCAAAATCTTTTTAAAATCGAGATCATCCCGTGTGGGTTTGAAGTTTATCTTATTGGCCCAAGTATTGCTGATTCCGAATTCGGTTGCAACAGCCAACATTCCTATATCTAAAAAAGAAAATAAACTGTTCCAAATATTTTTTCTAACTTACTAAATATTTGCATTATTTTTTCTAGGTAATTTTATTAAGAACCTCTAAAGAACCTAATTGTTTAGCTAGCAACGTCCTTCAAGTATTTGTTTTATATAGATTTTTTTTTGTTTTCTCCGCTTCCTATGTACCGGGATTTGAATTCGTAATCTTCAGTTTGTTAGATTGCCGGGCAACGCGTATTATACACACAAATTAGTCGGCTCAGCCACCTTGCCCTCTTTTTATTTCCTTTAATTTGTTTTGTGGTGGATATAGGTTACCAGAAATGAATCAGACAATCATAGATCAGTGTTGCCGTTATAGGAGGATCCTCGTATACGTACTAGGTTATGACGTATTATACTCGTATTTTAACGAGCTTACGAGGTTTGAAGTACGAGGATTTGTCACAATGCGCGTGGCAACACTGCCATAGAGGTGCCCGAAAGTGAAATCCTCTCTCCCAAAAAATCGTATTGCTCTTCTCTTCTTAAAAACAATGCAAACGAAAGTATAATTAGAAAACAATCAATCTTGCTGTATGTTCCTCGGTTACCTGTTTCCTCGGTTTGGATGTTCGTTCGATTTGAAACTTTTCAAAATATGGTTTCATCCAAAAACTCTTAACCTCGTAAAAATGTATCTCTCTAAAAAATATAAAACCATGTAAAAAATAAACCACTTCAACAATTTTGATGGCACATCTTGAGCTTTGCAACCCTCTTTAAGAACGCTTGCATTTATATTTGATAAAGATATATAATAAATTAACCAATGAAGAAAAAAATCAAGTATGGTATTATCTGCGTCCACAAACAAGAAGAAGGCTGCGCAATTTAGTTGTGGGTAGTTATCGCTTTGAAGGTGTTCGATTCACCTATCTTGGAGAGGAATCGAACTGCAAAAACAAAGTTATGAAATCAGAAGTAGAATCATGGTTGAGGCAAACAGAGCCTGATATGGCCTTCAGAAACTAATGTAATCTAACCTTCTCACTAAACAAACCAAATTGAAAAAATATAAGTCACTGATTAGATCGCTGGTGTATATGGAGCAGAAACCTGAACACTGTATGTCTCAGACCAGTTAGACCTAAGGTTCTTTGAAAAAAAATATTAAGATGTATTTTCAGCCCAATATATTGGCAAACAAGGCAACTGGTGAATCAGAAAGAATAGAGAGACCTTACGGAGCAGGAGGATTTAATCAGGTTTGTATAATGAAGAAGGTCAAGTTGGCTTGGGTATATTGAAAGGTTACCAGAAGTACAGAGGACGAGAAAGATAATGAAGGAAGACTTTCAACTTTGAAGAAGAAGGGAGCACCCTAGAACATGCTGGTTGAAAGATGTGGGTCAGGATTTATCTAAACTAGAAGTTACTGCGTAAGGGATGAGGACGGTAGATCGGAATGGCTAGAGACAGATTATGAGAGAGGTCAAAGTTCATATTGGACTGAAGCGCCAGATAAGTAAGTAAATGACCTTCCCAAGTATCTGACATTAATCCAGGGATAAATTAGGATGTTGGAGCATTGTCCTGTTCACAACACCTCCCGAAAATTCGTAAGTTCGTGCAAGAATCTAAATTTATCTACATTAGATCCCGGGCGAGAGAAATATAAAAAAAAGAATAATAGCCACTAAGAAACATTACTTTGAATTGATAAATCTCATTTAAAATATAACTGGTTTCAAGAAGAACAAATGTAACTTATATACTATTCTTATCCGCACTATGTTGCCCTACTGAAACTTAGTCTACCTTAAAGATGGAAGACAAAATACTTTCAAGAGATTTGTATAAGTTTGATGCTGGTAGAAGGCAAAAATCTTTTCCAAATATTTTATATGTTAACAATAAAACAAAAGGTACGAACAATTATCTTAATAAACTTAGATAAATATTTTACCTTCTAAAATACCGGATCTTGAAATTTCCAACTTCGGTATGCTTATTAGGGTTTGTAATAATAATGCAGCTATATTGTTTCTTTCATAAGTTTGTCCAAACAAAACTTCTCTCCGTAACCATCCTCTTAAAATACTTGAAACAAAATAAAAATTTTAGGAGCACTGTTAAGAATTTATACCTAGAGACATAATGAATATCTATTTTAAAAAAAGGTAAATGATACATCAAAAATTGAAACAAACAAATTCAGTACAAACGAAGTAAGTTATGAAAAACTATATTAATGATTATAATCAAATATATTTTAGGGAAAGGAACATGACATTAAGACGGAAATAATGTGTTGTGAAACTATACCTATACATCCCATTCTCAGATACTTTTGCTTTTAATGTGGAGCTAAAACTGTTTCATATGAATTGTTCAATATGATGATTCTAATTTATCTTTTTTTTTCTGATGCACATTTGCAAAAATAATGTATGTTAAAGAAAAATGGTAAGGTTAATATTTGCTGTGCCGAATGGTAAGCGTCCGAGGGGTAGACCAAAGCGAAGGTGGGAAGATTGCATTAAAGCCGATCTGAAGGGACTGGGTTTGGACGGCGAACGGTGGAGGGAGGTTTGTAACAAGCGATTGGTGGTGTCGGCATCGAACCTTCGGGTTCGCTAAGCCTTTTATTATTATTATTATTAAAGAAAAATGATGGGGAGGGAGCTACGTCACGCCATGCCAGCGCCTAATTCATATCTTATTAGCTTTGAATAGTGTTTCCAGCTTCAAAACATCCAATAAATAAAGTTAGGGATAAGAAATATTTGCTAACATCATTTTTGGCAGTCGTATAAGTCACGCCATGGTGGACTCAAGCCACGCCATCCGTTTCCTACATAACTCCAAGACTGTTGATTAAATTTTTGAAGTGCAAAGTTCTTTAGCACTTTTTTGTAGAGAATGAATTAGATTGAGCAGTCATATTTCTAATGTGTAAAGCTTGGAGAAAGTCGGCTGAAGTTGACTAATTGAACTGTTTTTGCATATAGATTAAAATATCTCATTTCATTCTCTTTATAATGAGCTATTATATATAATTTATATTGCATATTGTTAATTTCGCCTAGTTGATGTTTTCACTTCTATCGTGTGATCTAAAGCACAAACTTTAATTCTTTTTTTTTTAATGAGTCTCGGAAGCTTCAACGAAAGCAAAACCCACGTCCTTGTTTTAAGGGAGAAAAAGTTCGTCCATCCACAACAGCACTATGTCGTGAGAATCCATACATTTCAAGCTGTATAAAGCTTTACCCACCTTGTGTACAAAATTAAGGATAGCCACAATGAAGACAAGGAAATAGGAGCCAGAATAATGGCTGAAACAGAGAACACTTTTCTTTTGCGAGTCTTCTGAAAAGTAGATTGTTGAGTCGTCCAACCAACTTTAGGATATGCAAAATGATTATTTGGTCAGTTGCTGCTTACGAATGTAGACATGAATCCTAACGAAGACATCGACATAATGAATGGATCTGTTCGAAAGGAAAAATCCTAAAGCGGAAGGAAGGACCTAATAAGATTTAAACTGTAGGAAGGAGTTACCCACCTGAGAAAAAACGAGGAGTTATACTCCTTGAACGGTGATCTGCCTATCTCTCTATTTGTTCGAGCTAAACGAATGAAATGGCTAGGACATGCCCTGAGAATGGATGAAGCGAGGAAGTTTTATCATGAGAAACCGGAGGGAATCAGGTCTAGGGGAAGACCGAAGACTGAAGATGGATAGATAATGTAAAATAAGATTTTTTAAAAAAAAGAAAACATCCATCAGCTGCGCATCCAACAGGGATGACTGGGCAAAGGAAATTGAGCAAGCCTAGGACCGCAACATGCGCCTGTTGCTCCAATAATGAATGAATGAAACTTTTGTTATTATTTTAAAACAACAATCTCAACCTTATTTATGTAATTTATCACTTGAATTGTATTGCAAAACACATATTTACTCATTTTTTCCATAGTATTAAACCCAAAAAACCAATTAGTATGAAACACTATAAGCTCCACAAAAAAAAAAAAAAAAAAAAAAAAAAAAAAAAAAAAAAAAAAACTGAGGATCTGCTTCACTATGCAGAAGAATAGTGAATAGTGCGAAATAGTGAATAGTGCGATACTCGCATTTGAAAAGGAAAGAAAATACGTATCTTCTTTTTATATTTTCTTTGAGCTGTGACAATTGTTAATCATTAGACAATCTCCGTCACCTATATATTAATGTACCTCTACCCACTTCAAGAATGTTTATATGCTCGTCTAATGATCTTAAAGCAAAAACATGGTACTAAAAAAATCTTAGAACGTGTGTCCACAAAATTCTGCTATTTTGGGGGAATGGCTTATGATAAAAACTATGTTGAATCATACCTCAGAGATTCAGAATTCAAAGTAGGTTCGTCACCAAATTTGTCAGGACAGCGCAATACCGACCAAAGTAAATTACTCGTCGTTTCCTTTATAGAGGCTTCTCTGATACTCAATGTATTTTTAATGGCTACCTTCCTTATCCAGTAATCCATGCATCCCAGCGATTGAAACAAGTTCCCTGTTAAAAGAAAATTGGACAATTATTCATATAAAAATTTTGATATTTATTTATACAAGTATATTTATGGATAAAAGTAAAAATCATTAGAAATAAGTCGTCGAACTCACCAAGAGACGGCTGTAAACTAAGCTGGTACATGATTTCGAGTAAGGGTTGATACAGATCATCTCTTATAAAATACATAAATGAGATGATAATTTCTGAAAGAAAACTTTGTTCAACTGCTTCTAGTCGAATTTCAAGAGTTACTTCCTCAGGTTTTTTTTCTTTGTATGTTATGAGAAAGAGTATGACATCAAGGATCGTGGATTCGACAGTATTATCTGCAGCAACGAGTAAGCAGTTACCTGAAAAAATGTAGTTATTTTAAATGATCTTTTCCTGTTCATTATCATAAGATTGGTACAAAAGTCCTTGTGTATAAGTATATATTTATTTCATATTACATATTTTAAACATTATTGAGTACTACTCTTCAAAGTAAAGTCCATGGTTTTCAACTATTTTCATCCATGTTTCTGCCAGTAATTAGGTCTATATCCATAATAATGGGGCTATACCCAGGAAGAGACACACCGTTTAATACTAACCCTACCGATAATTTTTCCTTGTTCAAACGAGAACGATGTTCAAATATGAGGAGTATTATCGTCTAAAAAAATGGCTTTGCTCCTGCTGACCAACGCGGAGTACTTTGCACTTAAAATTACATAAACTCTGTCTAGCTATTCACAGTAAGGTTTGAGTTCACTTCCTGACCATCAGAAACAAACTCAAAATCTAAAACGCCTTCGAAGTTCCACCAAATACAAAGTATCTCTTTTTTCCTAAACTAATCTTGGTGAAACTTCGGATGTGAAGCTTCACCTAGCCTACCCACTGCTTATATTTGCTAGTTTTTTTTTTTTTTAAATATCCACTTTTTGCCACTAGAACCTGTCATCTTTCGGATTTTGAAGCAAAATTTAGCACATATCAAATCGCTGCTGGGCTTGGTCCTCTGTCAAGTCATTTAGGTCGAACCTTGTTTTTAAATTCCGTACGCCCAAGTTTTTAATATGATGAGTCACTGTACCATTAGAATCTCCTACTACGGCAGATAAATCACAAGTAGTTGCATGTATGTCCTGGTTCGCACATTAAAGAAGAATTTCATCATCAACCGATGGGCGGCCTGATCTGGGTTGACCTGCCAGCATCGTAATCCCATTGTTGAAATGCGTGAGCCATAGTGTGGCAGTATTTTGAACTGACCCTCCTATGGCATAAATTTTCGGCGACTGTCTTCGTGCTTAGACCTTTCTTCTAGTAATGTTCAAAAGACCGTGAGTCAAATTTTGTTATTCCTACATTGCTTGCGCATTTTAAAAAAGAAAAGAAAAGCAAATCGAAGATCACATCACTCCATGACATCCAATCACTTTTTTTTCATGTCTTCCCCATCCTCAGCTTTTAGATTATACGGTATTTTCCCGAGCCATAGGGTGAGGATTAATGCAAGAGTTAAAAGCCCTCCACCCCTCTCCTCCCCTCAGCACCAGATCATGAACTCGCAATTATTTTATCCATTTATTTTTCATCAGATTGCCGGCAAGATAACCTTAGTCACCCCGATCCTCTGGTGCTTCAAGTGGAGACTGGAGAATGAACCGTGGGGTAACGCATACTGCTGCCAAACACGATAATGTTCATCCTCTCTCAGCTCTTAGCTTATTTTATCTGTTAATAAATGCTAATACAATATATTTTAACTAGATATTTTAAATCAAACGACAGAGTGAAAGAAAGAATGGAAAGATCATTCTTGGATGGAAGTTTCGAACCGGGAAACACTACGAAATGCTAATAACCATAAGATATCTTAAAGCATGAGCTAGTAGAGGTAATAGAAATAGGTGCCGATAGTCTCTTCTGGTGACAAATATCTCTTTAATAACAATAAATTCTTTCAGATAAGGGTTTTAATTAGCGTTCGTTTTTATTTTTAATATAGCTAGCAGTATTATTGATATTACATTTTTACAAAAAATAAATGGTACAGATACTCACCTAGAGCAGAAAAAAAATTCTGGAAATTGTCAACGGCGGAACAAGCATCTGATGATTTAAATAATAGAATGGGTTTGAGTAAAAGTTTTAAACATTGTAAAATTAGCCTACAGTACTGAGGTTCATCAATTGTACTTTCACTGAAAAATTCTAGAGGACTCATCAAATAAGGCAAATCAACCGATTTCTGAAATGTTTCAATAAGTCTGTTAAAAAAAAAACTAGTTAAATGCTACATCTTATGGTATCATGGCATAATGTAGTTGCGTAAATAGGATCAGGGAAAAAGTTCTTGGCGTTAAAATTTGGCGTTCTTGGCCCACCTAACCAATTACTGAATTAAATTATTGCTAGTGTGTTTATTTGGGTTTAAGTTTGTTTACTCCCTAGCTCATCATATTCTTGCATACGGGAAAGTGAGTATTGTTCAAGAAGAACCAAAACTATTATAACCAGAGTGATTCGGTCGAGATACATTCTCTTGTGTCCACTACGAAATAATGTTTAGCCCATCCAGATCAGATTCGTACCGATGTCACTAGATTTGAATATGTTAATGCAAGCAACATTATGTTACGTTTAGTCATTACGACCTCAATCGGAAGGTTGTTGTCTCCTATCATGACAACACCAAGATCAATAATAGCTTGGCCAACATTAGAAGTTTTTGAACTAGGAACATTAGTTATATCAAACCAATAGTCATGACGCAGGACTTTCAGATTCTCATTTGTCCCATGAAAACTCCCATAATGGAGTGAAGTTAATCTCACAAAGGGGATTATCCAGTTTCGACCAATAACCATAGCAATAGAATTTTAGTTATGATTTTAGAATCAATTTAACTACAAAATTAATTGATTTAAAATATAACTTATATTCTCGCGAAGAACTTTTTCTTTTATTCAATTTGTAAGAAATCACTATTAATGAAAGGAAATTCTTTACAATCCCATCCTGCCTGAGGTCAAGGTAGTCATTCATCAAAATTATGTGTCTTTTTAATAACGTTTTCCCTTCTTCATCATCTAATGACATACATAAACATCTTAACAAATTTATACCCTCTTCCACATCTTGATTATCGTCTTCCATTAAAAAGCGAGGAACATCCATTTGAAAGGATAATGCCAGTCAAGAAAGTAGGAACCAATCAGTATTAAACAAGAGAGAAAGTATTAAAGTAATTAGTTTAATTAGAAAACAGGCAACTTCCACTAATTTCAAAGAATTAATTTAAATAACATATGGAGAAAAAATGATCTATTTTAACAGACCAAGATAACTAATTCTAAGTGTCATCCTTAGACACCCCCCTGTAAACATTAAGTTTGAAAATGTTTATTATTTACTATTTTCTTTGGTTTTAATAACTATTACGATTTATATAATTTATTTTCTTGATTTTAAAAAGAAAATTAGAATAAAAGAATAATATTTGGTGAAAAATTGGTTAAATTTTTTCATCAACACTGAAAAGGCTGATTACTAACCTGCTTTGAAGTGAGATAGGGCATTTACGAATGTTAAGAAAGGCTCTTTATATTAACAAGGTTTTAGTGTTTTAGTTTTTTTTTGTGAATATTATTTTGGGAAACATTTTATCGAACGTCATGGTTATCTCCAGTTCATTTTATTTAAAGAATGGTTCGCTTTAAAAATAGGTATGTCTAGTGCAATAATATACTCAAAGACGTATAATTGTTTGTTGACTATTTATAGTTATTTGTGTAAGAAGCAAAATGTAATTATTGCGTGCTTTACTTTATCAAAGATTAAACCAATTGAAATGTTTTAGGTATATTTCAGTAGAAATTGATAATGGTTTATCAATTACTCAGCCATTAAACCTTAACACACAAGATCTTTATAATGAAATAGCTAATAAAGTGAAGTTTATACATGGTATTGTAGGATTAGGTTCAGTTAAACCAGGATTAAAAGGTAATGATAAACTATTTCTTATTTTTAATAAATGCATTTGTGTAATCCAATATAATTATTATTTGGACTTCTTTTAGTTATTTATTGCAATGAATTGACCAGAATCGCTATTATAAGAGTGAGACATGGTCCGCATAGACTGATTTCTAGTGTTTTGCCTCTATTTAAGAAAATAAAAAACATTGATTGTAGTTTCAAAATAATTTACTTTGGAGCAACATTACAACACTGCTATAAAGCTATATTGGTGAGATTTTTTTTTTAATTGTAGCTGTGCATAAGTTATTAAATTAAACTTATTGCTATAGATTGGATTAGATGGCAATCCTCCATTGTTGAACATACCCATTCACCATTTTTCTGTTTGCAGAAATACCAGAAGAAAACATTCTCCGGTGTCCTTCCTTCTTTGAATTTTGAAGAGTGGTCTGAGAATAAATCAAAATTTGATCGTCTAGGAAACCTTAAATCGGATGAAATTTTAACTCCAAGGAATTCTTCACAATTTTAATATCATTTACCCTTAAGAGTCCTGAAAGTGAATGGGTCAGGATTGCAAGGGTAATTAAATATAATAATTTAATTTTAATCAAAAAATGAATTTAATAATGTCATCAAATTATTTAAATCACCCTCTATTTTATAAATATGTAATCATCAGTATTATTTGTAATTAGTGTAATTCAAGAAAAGTGCTACATCATGAATAGTTAAATTTCTTGTAAGTTTTTTAATTTCCTTTTCCATTTTAGTGCCTGGCACTAGTTTCCAGTTTCATCCATTTTATTTGTTTATTTATTAGCAGGACAATGCATGTAGTTATTCTGAACAAAGGATCTATTGTTAAGCATTATCAATAGTTTACTTAAGCCTATAATCTTGGCTTAGTTGGCTTCAATACTCTTTTATTCTTCTGGTCCTGGTGTTATTTTAAACGCAAATTGACAATTTAATTTATTTTATTTTTTTAATAAACTAATTGCTTTTAAAAAGCCTTGTTTCATTTAGTAAGTTTTCAGACGATTAGGAATAGTAACCTGCTGCTTGCTAAGCTGAACAGCTGATGTTTGTTTGGTTATTTCGATTGTTTTCGTTTTTCAAGGCTCTAGCAGCTGCGCAGTGCTAACCTCTTAAAATTTGTCATTAAATATAAATGAATTGATAAGAAGTTGAATTTCATTCACAAACTTATAATTAAAATGTCAGAAATAACATTCAAAGGATTTATACAACATTTGCGTTGTATTGAAGGACTTTGTTTCGTAGCAGAACTTCATAAAATTACTTACGTCCGAGAGGGCTTCCATCCCCTCCATTTTTTTGATCGAATGGGTTTATTGGGTGCCATCTTGTTGTTAATGGACAAAGCTTAAGCGAAACTCTTTATAACTTCTGAGACGGATTTTTACTGTGAAAGTTGTTTCTGCTACGTATATAATATGTCTGATTTACTTTATCCAATGTTTTCATAGCTATGGCTGCAACTAGAAAGTTACAAGGTGAGTTATGGCCATAGTAACGAACTCACAACGAACTTTCATTTTAATTCTGTATAATAGTGTATTTTGTGCGAGTGATTATGTTTTTTGTGGCAGCGCCTATTCTTTTGAAGGTTTATTTGCACTATTTTGTATATATGCCCTATTTAAATCTCGTGTTTATATCTGAACATAACCTAACAGTTCGCTTTTGAGTTGACATATTTGATTATATTCCTGTATATATATCCATTTTTCTAATTGCTGAAAAGAAATTAACTTTACCAAACCGCTAATTCATTAATATTTAATGGTTTAGTGTAATTATCAACAAGCCTGCACACATTGTAGCTAACAACAGTTCCATTTGTGTATACATCTTGTTTCCTGTTCAGGTGAAATTGAGAGGTGTCTCAAAAAAGTGACAGAAGGGGTTGAAACGTTTGAAGATATTTGGCAGAAAGTTCATAATGCTACTAACAGTAACCAAAAAGAAAAATATGAAGCTGATCTCAAAAAAGAGATCAAGAAGCTACAAAGGCTTCGAGATCAAATTAAAAGTTGGATCGCATCAGCAGAGATCAAAGATAAAAGTACTTTGTTGGAATACAGGAAACTGATAGAAACGGTAAGAAAGTGAATTTCTTATTTTGTGACTTGTTTTTATTTTCTGATTAATGTACTAATCATTTATACTGAAATGCACATGCTACTAATTGCCGTATTATATTCTATTGATTGAGTTGCTTCTTAATAATTTTCATGGAAGTATTAATCCTTGTCTTGTTAAGTGATTAATGTGTACCAAGCGGTTATGTATGAAGTCTATATTTTAACACGATTTTTTTGTTTATTTTTTTTTTTTTCAAGACAACCTCATTACTAAAACTTCATGATAAGTTCATAATACTGTCAGTTTTATTGGTTTTATTCTTTTATGGTGTACCCTAGATACTTCATCCCAGTTTCTGTATTTACCATTGTATCTTTTCATGTTCGAGCAGGTTTTGATTATGTCTTTGTGGGCTATTCTTAAAGTTTGTCAGGAATATCATAATGTAATTGTGATTTGTGTGCTAGTAATATTACTACATCATAATAAATTTTTTTTTCGGTGATGAGCTTATCGATTGTTGTAATTGAAGTAAAGAATGCAAAAAAACGTATTAATTCAAGGTTGTATTGTTATGAATACACTATTGTTGTATCATTCCTCCCCATGTACAGTATTTTAGACATTTATTTTTGTGAAATAATGTTTTTATGAATTTACGACATTCTGCTGTATTAGAAATGTTCAGTTAATAATTATTTTATTAAGCTTTTGAAAGAATTACGATAATTAGTTTCCTATGTAATATTAATTTGGTAGTCTTATTAAAAATTTATTATCTTCGTGAATATTTTAAAAACAGGAAAGTTATGTTTGCATGGATATCTTCGATGCATGTTTTTAATTACATCAAAAATTGTTTTGTATCTCTTATCTTTATGAACTTTAAAGGTCATTGTCTTATATTTGTTTACGGGTCTGTTTACTATTACTATATCCAACTATTCCTGGCTTTATCTGTATCTGATTTGGACTATGCATGCCTGTATTCGCGCTAGCACATGTAATGTATCGGGGAGGCTGAGATAAGATTGACATACATGAATACTAATAGTGTATTAAACCTATCAACAATTAATAAACTGTAGTATCGACAGCCACACTGCAAAAGCCTGTAAGAACAAAATCTTAAAACGTACAGTAAACAAACAAAATAAAAAGCATAATTTTTATTTTAAGAACTTTATATTTTCTTTGTTTTTGGAGGCAAGATGAATTGCACATTGTACCATTTTTTTTTATATTTCAGCATTGGAGTCTTTTAGAGCCATTTTACTAACTTACGGGAATTTACTTTTAACTTACAGTTTTTTACCTACTTTAGAAAATAATTATTAGTTAGGTAAAATCAATCAAATTTATTTCAATAGGACCAATAACTTTATTAACAACGATCATCTCATGACAGAAAGAACAAAGCCATCTCGGCTTTTATTTTGTGCTTTTAATGTTTGGGTTAAGTAAAAATTTTGATTTTTTTATGTCCTATTATACTTACTCTAAATCGCAGGCAAGAGCTTCTCAGTTATCTTTAATGCTTGAAATCCAATTTTATGTCAAATGTTCTTTAAAATTGTGTATACAGACAATGTCTTCTCATCGGGTTTAGGGTGGTATTTTAGCGTTTAGATCTTTCTGCTTACTAAGTTCTTATGTTAAATTTTTCCAATGAATGAAATTAATTTTTCTGGAATGCGGCGGCACTGTAGCTTTTTTCCTGCCTGGCTCATTTTAAAGTTATTTGGAAGTTTTAATTGTTTTAAATATTATAACCAATTTATAATTCATTCAATATGATAATCACTCTCTTCTTTGCTTTGTCTAATCCATGACAACCCCCCCTTTTTCTATTTTTGTCTTCTGGCTCATTCTTATGTTTCGAGTTTATTTGAATATGTTACTTTTTTTTTTTAATGTTTTTCTTGATGATACTTCAGTCTGCTGTTCTTCAACTCCAATTCTCTGTTAACACATTCCTTACTGGCTTACCACTTCTTTTACTTTAGACATTTTTATAATGAGCAAACTACTCTCCATTTCCGATGCACTATATTCTGTTGTCATCACTAAAGTTACAAGAAAAAAAGAACTGAGTTGCTTCAATTTCCTCATGATAGTTAATTTCTCATAAGAAAATAAAGGAGCCAACTTATCAACAAATACCGAATCTGAAACTATACAAGATAC